GCGGCTTTTTTGAAGGACCAGCTGGTTTTGTTGCAGAAAAGGCTTTTGTGATATAGAGAAACTATCAGAGAGTTGCGAAGGGGGTTTAATTCTGGTGTCCAGTAATACTGTAATAATGAAATAACCGGGGGAAACAAGGCCCTGCCGAGGTGATGCGGAGAAAAGGTCCGAGAGCAATTGAGCAATTGCTACCTTATCTAATCCGTATCCGTAGACACCAGCCAGCAGCCGCAAGTAAACAAAAGCCCAGCTCCCATCAAAAAGAAGGGCATCGACGCTGCATGTCTTGATCCCTGGAGAAACACTCATGCCGTTGGCTTTACATCAAATCAATCCATTGATACTGCCCTATACTGCACTGCACTGCATCTTACAGCGAAGAATTGATTGAAAAGAGAACCTTGAAAGAAGAAAAAAAGCACCAAACCCAGACAGAGAAAAAGCCCGCCTGCTGACGTCTTGCCCACTAAAAAGGCGCTGTATCGCTTCCCATCCACTAACGCCGCCCCCATCAGCTGCACTGCGTCTCCATTTTCAGCAGCCCTTTCTGAAAATTTACCGAGCTGGACGGGGCTCGTCTGCCTAGAAAGTGACGGATTCTACCGGTCAGAACATCACCAGTCTGGGGTCAAACCGCCTGCACTGCACCTGCACTACACTACACTGCACTGCACTGTACTGTACTCACAACTCAACGTTCTCTCCGCCTTCTCTTATCCTCCCGACTCTTTTTTTCCCTTCTCCCCCCCCAATCTGTCCTGCTTCGTCCATTGTCTGCCACTGCATCTCCTGTTCCGCCCTTGAACAGCAGGTTGATGCTCTGTGGAGTTCTAGGACAAGACTTGCCTCCCTTGATTCCCCCCCGTTCGAACCTGTTGCTCTCCTTTGCGTTGCATCGTGCGTTGCTTTGCTGTTCCGGTAAGACAAGACCCTCTCTCTCCCTCTCCCCTCCATGCACTCCCTTTTTCACGCCTTCATATGGCAAGCTCTTGGGACGCTGCAGCAAGCAAGCTAACCAGACCAGCTTTTTGTTTTTTTTCCGTTTTTCTTCTTTTCTTGTTTCTTCGACCCCTTTGCAACTTTGCAGAGCCAGTGCCGGATTTTCTACGACCTTTTGCATCTTGTCATGACCGTTAACGAGCATTTTGGATAATGAGAAACGAGCCACTGCGATTGTACACCAATTTTGCCCAAGCAACCACACCTTCGACCGTCGCCTGCACACCTCTTCCGCACCCTTCGGTCTGATCTTATACCGCCCTCCCCCTCCGACGACGAAGCACATACGACATACGACCACATTTTGCACCCAAGGGGAATTGAAGCCTCCCTTGCAACCTTTACACAATCTCTTCTGTCTCCCACGCTTTTTTTTCCTGGCCTTTCCCCACGGCCCGAATTGGCGGTACACGCACTGGGATGCTTGTGTCTGGGTTATCATAGCCAACAGGAATTCAAGCTGATATGAGCGAGGATCAACAGCTAGTATCAAGGCATGTCCGCCTTGCGAACACTCTAAAGCATGCCTGCCCTCCGCTCCCTCCAGCACTGGCTAACCAATCTTGTTGACTCCGCACAGCAGTAGCTTTGGAGATCCAAACGCTCACCCACCGCCCACGCCAAAGCAGACTCCAACGTCGGGTGCATTTCCGAGCCCTATTTTCGAGACGCCGAAACCCCCCCAGGGATCCTTCGCCGACACCAGCGGCCTGACACCTCGCTTTGCCGAAGAATATTCTGTCTTCAACGCAACGCCGGGTAATCTGAGAGGGGCTCAGTTTCCCTTCGCAGACTTTGTGCCCACCACTCCCTTCGCATCGTCGTATCTAGGGCACAAGCGCCTGCTTTCCGTCGAAGAGCTAGCTGTCGAGATTGCAACCCGAGCCAACATCCCGCCGTCGAATCCCAACCTTCCACCGCCGCCCGTCGACCCTTCACGACGCCTGCCCTCCTCCCCGGCCGCTTTGATATTATCTACAAAGGCTGCCGCCGCCGTCAATTCCGACGCACACCTAGGTCCTGCCTTTTCCTCCTCGCACACCAAGTCGCCCAAGAAGGTCCGCCGGGGTACAATTGAGGGTTCCGACGCAGCACAGCCTCTGTCGCCGCCGCCGTCGGCTCACAAGGGCGGCCAGAAGCTTGCACCCAAGGTCAATATGCAAGATGACCGGGCCTACGGTCACCCGGACTTTGGCGACAACTTTCAGGGCCACCACGACATGACTGCCATGATGGGCGGCGCCGATGACATGTTTGTATATCCAATGTCTGCCCCCCCAAGCCAGGCCAATTTCTGGGACCCGGCCATGGGCATGGACTTGGATTTCAGCACTGCCGGCGCCACCTTCTTCCAGCCCTCACATCGCCATACCGGATCTTTTGACTGGAACAGCGACATTCAACTCTTTCAAGATCCCGTCCCGCCCCCTCCTCCACCTTCATCGAACCAAGAAAATGTCCAGCCAAACGCCCAGAACATGCACCAGCCTGCCCGAAGGGAGAGGATGCTGGCGCCCAAGCCGCCAATTACCGGACAGTCCGCTGCTCCCGTATCGGCAACTGCCATGTTTCAAGCGTCGATGGAAGACTCATTCGGCGTCGTAACTCCCATGGAAGGCGTGGACCCAGGATTGCTATATAGCCGGCCCCCAACGGCCTCCATGAATGCCGACTTCAATCCGGCCATGAATGCTGCATCCGCGGATATGGCTGCCGCTGCGGAAGCCACCAACTCTCGCATCATGGCTCAAACTCGCCGGACTAATAGCCTGAAGGAGGTGAAGAGGGGCAAGATGCCAGACCGTACAAGCTCCCCCGTCAAGGCTATGAGCCGTCCAGAACTAAATCGTAGCCTGAGTGAGGGCCGAACAAAGAAGGCTGGGGGCCGAGGGGCATTGCCGACGTTGGCACCCGCTGCACGGCCATCATCACAGGCTGGGAGTTCAAATACAAACGCTGAGGCGGTAAAGTCGGCGAGGTCGGCCTCTGGGAGGATGTCACCACTAAAGAGCCAGCGACGACTGTCCAGTCTAGCATCTATCCCCGAGTCTGCCTCTCAGCCACAACTGAGTCGACCTCGAACCTCAGTGAGGTTCACCATAGATGCACATGGACGTGCTCGAGCAGAAACGACGGTCATGGTCGAAGAGGCCGGCGGCATAACTCGCAGCCGAAGTTCTCGGGAGCTCTCCTCCACGCGAAGAAGCTGGGAGTCTTCTGACGACGAGTCTTCGACGGACGAGGAGCCCATCATTATACCTAGTCGAGCCAACTCATTCAACGCATCCTTTGCACTACCAGACCCACGCAAGCCAGTAGGCTCGATATTTCACTCGGGCCGACGGAGTATCAGCGATAGGAGCAGGAGTGCATCGACACCTTCTCTCGTGACGCAGAATGACGGTGAGAGCGAAGCTGAGACGGTTTTAACAGATCACCAAGAAAGAGGGGGAGATGCAGCAAGCGAGCTGCGCAAAGTGGTAGAAGACCGTCAAAAGCGGTCTATGCAGATTGAGAACTCCCGATCACAACAACGAATCCTCAGCACAAGTAGCTCAGGGAATTTCAAAGCAAGCTCCATATCCCCGGTCAGCATGGCAGACTCGAGCTATGGAACGGATAGACGAGGAATTCGATGTGTATGCAATATAAATGAGCGCGATGAAGCAAGCCCCTATATGGTTCAGTGGTACGTTGCAATCAGAAAGAAGGACTCCCTGGAATTTCTTGCCCCCTGTTGGTGTTTGAATGTGACGGCTAGTTTCCTTTTGTTTTGATGCTTCTGGAGAGACATTGAGCCCTACTGACATGAAACCGTTTCTAGCGAGTCATGCGAGATGTTGCTGCACGGAAAATGCGTCAACATTAGCAGGCGTACCATGCCAAGCGTGTATATCTGTGCCTTCTGTGCCAATACGCCCAATGTTGCCGCACGACGAGCGCAGCAAAACATTGGGCGGGGGAACAATGGAGGATCGTCAGCGTTATCGTCGATGGCGAACAAGACGCTTCGGTCCCTTCGATGACGGTGTAGGAGAGGATAAAGACGGCGAAGAAAATGATGAAAAAGAAGGCATGTTATATGATTTTTTAAGAAAACAAGCAAGCGGAGGCCAAAAATGCTGGTAAAGCTGGGCAAAGGATTTTATGCGTTATGTTGAATAAGATTAAACAGGGCTCTCTGCCGAATTACTACTTACTGCTCCTAGGGACTCGGTACATATTGGGGGGTGGATATAGTACTAATACTATCCATACTTTTTTCTTTTTTGGAGAATCGAGATTGGAGATGAAGAAGCCGTAGAGAAGCAGGAGCCGTAAAGTTATTTGCCATGGCCTTGAAGCTAAGCTGGAGTTTATGTAAGGGATCCAGCGTGAGCAATTACGTCGATGATGCTCCACTGAGGGGAGGCAAGGGGGGATTTTGGCTGGAGTTGCGGCAGGGGAGATGGACAGCAAACGATGACGGTGATCCAATTGATTGATGCCTTGAATTGGAATGATTTGTGGGTGAGCATTTAGTTGCAGTTCCATGGGGGCCATTCAGATGCTGTTGCTGCTATATAGCACCTCTGTATTGTTCTGTTCTCGGCACATTCGGCATTTCACTGCCTCCCTTGGTATTATCGCATACACGTTCTAGGGATCTGATATATCGGTAATGGATGTCGCTAATTTTAGTTGTTGAACTTTAATCATCTCAGGAAAAAGACGGTGGCGGGTGTGGCTTTGCAGAGGTGCTGATGCTTGCCCCGCGATTCGCATCGTGATGCTCACCGAGTCTCTCCATCTTCCCCTGTCCCTATCAAAAAGGTGTATCTCCCAGAAGATCATTGATGTATATAACTTATCTGGTATGCGGTGGCTATCATAACACCAGAATCTCCATACACTTTGTAAACAAAAGAACATGAACGTTAAGATTTCCATAAAGAACAGCCTTCCCAAGCAGTCATTCAGTCATCATTTCATACAAGAAAACAACAAATGCTTGCAGTTTTTCATTCCCTCTCTCTGCTTGTCAATATTCCAGCGCCACTCCAAAACAACGACAGAGCACCTATAACGACCGTTATAGGGACAGAAGCATTCTGGAGGTCATCGGGGTGGAATTTGAGCCACAACCCCCAAAAGATGAATGGCCCCGCGACCATCAGACAGTGATAGGCAAGGACATAGCCAAATGAAACCGCAAAGACGGTTTCAAATCCCCATATAGGCGAATTTGGGTCGCTCTCGAATTCTCTTGTTCGTTTCGGAATTCGAGCTAAATTATACGTGTTCGTGAGAACAGGTATGCAGTCATGAGGAAAGGGCCAAGTGCATGGAGAACAACAGGCATAGAATAGAGTCTGGAAATGATGTGGTGAGATAGGAGGGTTTCTGGCATCCCGTTCGCCGGCTCGAGGATCATAGTGATAATCTTTGTCGGACGGAAGATCTCTGTGCTCTCGAACTATTCGGTCAGGGGCAAGTCTGCTGAACTGGCAATGGCATTAACATAAGTGACTCGCAGACTGACTCCAATTTTGCATACGTACCTTTACCACGTCACAGTATTCCAAGCGCCAGACTGAGAACCATAGTCTTAGTCTACCACGATAGATCTTATAGCTTCTCTTTAACTCCTGAAATATATCGCCATCTGTTGTTCGGCTGGTAACGTGTATTTGGGTCGGCTCCAGCGTTCGCCGGGCTCCTTTGACGCCAAATAATATCCACCATTGTTGATTACTAGCAGATTCTGGAGTTTTCTCTTGGATCTGTTGGCTAATTGTCATGCCTTGTGGCTGAGGAAGGGTGACCGCCCTTCTGAGTCTGTATTGTTGGTTCTCAGGCGGCGTAGAAGAGCTGTCACCTTGGGGAGTGTATCTGGTAGCTGCTCGCGACGGCAGGGCAATTTTTTCACCTGTGTATCGTAGAATGCCTTTAACAGAAGATAACAGAGTTGCTTTTGCCCCTCTCACACCGCATCGAGATGGCAGTGGCGGTGTATCATCTAACAACTCGAGTATTCTTTCCACAAGCTCGCGTTGTTCAGGTGATATTTCATCCCATTGTTCTGTGCCACATGTCTAACACCCTTTAGTCCCCATCGGCTGTCTGTAGATTTTATAATGGTAAGTACTTACACATTGCCAGAATAGTCGCGACTCTCCGGGGGTAAGCATTCGCTTCCGTGGGCTCAATGGCCACCAATTCCATCTCACCTTAGTAGCACTCTCCACTGAAGCTTTGAATCTATTTGAGATTGAGGCATCCTGTTCTTGAGATAGCCAGATGTTCGCCTTTGATATTGATTGAAGCATGTATCCTAAATCAGCGGATAAACATATCAAAGCGAGTTGTATTTGAAGACTTCGAAATGCCTTAGATTCTGAAAGGAATTTTTTCAGCTCAGGAATGTAGGGAAAGTTGCGTGGCTCGTCGCTGCCTTTCAAATCGTTGTCTTGGTTTTGGTCGATTGCCAGTTCCAAGTCATCACCTGCCGAGGGCTTTATTGCCTGAGAGATCCAATTCTCGACATCTTGCATTTCCGATGGCGGAATCCCCAGGTCTCTTTTGCCGAAATATCGAACCTCTTCATGCTCCATATCAATATGTGTTGCAAGCTGCTCGCTAATTCCTCGTCTGCTTCTCTTACTTCGTAGCAACCCAGCGACAGCCTTTTCAGCTTCAGAATTAGCCTCCTCCGCCAGCTGCATGTGAAATGAACTGAGTAGCAGGCTCATATTCTCAACGAAGAGCCGTCGATTCATGTTGACCAAAGCCTTCTTACAGAATTCTTCGAACTGTGCATGATCGGCTAGAAATGCTCTGATGAGTACTTTGCCGGCCATTGCTTCAGTGGCAGTGGCATCGGAGGTTTGCAATCGAATATCATCACCTTCGGACAAAACAGACCTAGTATCTCCATCGGAATGTATTTCTTCACTTTCTTTTAGCGATGCGATATTATGATCGCCATCTTGGTGACCAAAGACTGAAGACACTCGGCTGGATGCTGGTCCACGTTCGGCCGGAACGTATCCGGATATTAAAGATGCCTGGTGAACACGGCGGAGAGGTTTCACTTCGCGACTCTCTTCTGCCATTTTAGGCGGATCTACAGGTACCTCTGGACGGTCCTGTTCTATGTTATTTGATATCAAATTCTGCGAAAGACCAACCCATCTTCTTATAGGGCTTTTATAGCTGGTCTGATTTTCCGTCGGGTCTTTTTCCTTTGAGCCCTTTTCCTTTGAGTCTTTTCCCTTGGAGATTGACAGCCTCCACCCTGGTACATCGGGTCTCCAATTCTTGTCGGACTTGTTTAACGTATCCCATCTTTCTTTATCTTGCGCCAACAAAGACAAATACTCACTGGGTGGTGTTGGCGTCCGCTTCATATATTCTCCGACTTGCGTAATAGCTAATGGAAGGCCGTGAAGCTCCTTTAATAAGGCAGCAGTCTCGACTTCCTCTTCTTCTCCTTCTCCTTCTTTTTCTTCTTCTCCTTCATTTGTTTTCATACCCCAGATTCTCTTTAAGAACTCTTTCTCCTCATCCCAAGATATCTGAGGAACCTTGATGGCTCGTGTTACATCTACAAGCGTCCCCGCAATGTGAGCATCGCGAGAGGTCCATAGCACTGTCCCTGTAGATGTTTGAGGGATATATTGAGATAAGTTCTGCTTCGATGCTTCTCCAACACCATAGAGTCCTAAATTATCGGCACCATCGATAATAAGCATCCAATCTGGTTGTGCTGCGATTTCTTCACGAACAGTCGTAAGTAAGTCTTCGCTTTTGAGATGCACATTAATACCGAATCCTTGCGCTATTATTTTATAAGCGAGTAGAAATGCTGCCTCGTTCTTGGCATGTACCCAAAAGACAGAGCAGCTTGTATTTTTACACCGTTGATATGCGTAATTGAGCGCAATTTGCGTTTTCCTGCGCTGTTTTAATGATAATCCCGATGCGTGGATGCTGGAACTTACCCTGACCCCTCTGGACCCCAGAGAGCGGCTGAGTTGTAGGAATGTGATGTCTGCAGTAGGAGTGTGTCGAGCTTATTCATGAGATCAGGGCGATGGACCAGATGCCTATTACGGGGATAAGGAATAATGCGGACGACGGATCGAGGTGGTTTGGGTAGATCTGAGCTGTCGTGGTGGAAGACATCGCCCTGGAGAATGGTGGCATTGTCGCCGAATTGAGAGTTGGAAAGCTCATGCAGAGAGCGTGCAAACCGTTTCATTATGCTGGCACATGCCCGACGAGATAAAAGCTAATGGTGGTCAATCTCGGACATGCCACTCTGTGCATTCAAGGCTGTAAGGCTGTTCTACCAAGATCTTACGTCCAAGAGAGCTGTGAGGCGGGGAGCGTCACGAGACCTGCAGCTCCTGGTTGGTTGATATCCATCTTGACATTACATGAGAAGGAGGTCCAAATACACCTACCCATTGGATGGAGTTTTCCCCCATTGGATTTTAATCCTGTACCTCTCCTAGATGCTATCCACATAACCGCCAATAATGATTGCCATCGCTTTACTACCTCTACTAAGGTAGGTATCTAAACCACCACGCAACACCCATTGTAATAGTAGTACTAAGACAGCTTGTTGCCATTGAAGGCAACATACTTCCCAAGGTAGCTTTCCATAACAATAATTGACAGAAAAGACCGGCGTCCATCTCGGCACTTGAAAGCCAAGCTCTAGGTATTCCCAGCCGGCCATTTCCCTCGTGATGCTCACCGAGTCTGTCCGTCTTCCCCTGTCCCCATCAAAAATGTATATCTCTTAGAAGACAGTTGATGTGTGCAACCCAAAATCATATGTTACGCAGCAACCGTCATAATGTCGTATTGAGCTCAAGACTAAGATTTGATCAATAACCTCCCTGGATTTCGTGTGCAAAAGAATGTGAACCTTGACATTTCCATCCCTCTTGTTAGCAATCTCCCCAAGTTAACCATTCCAGTCATTACCTCATACAAGAAAACAGCCCATACATGCAATCGTTACTTCCATTCTCTGCTTGTCTATATTCCAGCACCGCTCCGAAACAACGACAGAGTCCCTGTAACGATCGAAAACGGCTTTGTTGGCTATCCGTCTTTGTGTTCATCACACCATCTAGGACGAACGTTATACTTCTAGCAACTACTATAGGGACGGAAGCATTCTGTAGCTCATCAAGACTGATAGAATATGATCTACATCAGCCAATAGATGAGTGATGCCGCGCCCGCAATCATGACACCTGCAGTTCCAAACTTCATGATAGATCGGGAAGTTGTTGTTGGCTCTCCCACGCATCGAGGTAGCGATTTCGGGACATCGTCTAACAACGCAAGTAGTATTTCCACAGCCTCGCGTTGTTTAGAAGATAATTCCTCCCAATGCTCTTTACCGTTTGTCTATCTTATGTAAGTATTCGTCTGTTGTCTACAAAATGTTTGTGAAGGTAATGAATGTACTTACTTGCCAGAGTAATCTTGACTCTCCAGGCTCAAGCATTCGCTTTCTTGCGGTCATTGGCCACCAGTCCCATCTTTGCTGGGTAGAATCTTCTACCCAACCTTTAAATTGGTTCCAGATCGAGGTATCTTGTTCTTGTGATAGCCGGAAGTCTTTTTTTGGTACCGATTGAAGCGTGTACCTCAACTCCTCGGGTAAAGACAGCAGCGCGTCCTCTATTCGACGTTGGATTGCCTCTTGCTCCACTTCATGTGCCACTTGCTGTAGTTGATCTATCAAGCCATTTTCGCCAATATTTTCAATTTCTTCGAGCAGCCTATCACTTTGTGCTGTGAGTGCCTCCTTAACTTTTCTGCTGCCTCCCTCGCTTTTCAGCAACTTGAAGAAAAGTTCTTCAGTTTTAGACCCGCCTTTCCATCCCACCGATGTGCAAAGCACATCGACAATCTCGGAAACTGCCTTAGGAAAGCGATCTTTACCCGTTACAGCTATGGCCACCCTAAGCATTGTCTTTACTTTGGGTTCCTCGGCGAGATACCTTTCAACAACTTCTTTGCTGATAGCTTCTTCATCGGTGATGGTATCGAGGGTTTGAAATCCAGTGTCAACGCCTTCGGACACATCAGACCTAATACCCCCGTTCGAATGCGTTTGACTATCTTCTGGTGATGCGATAGCGTTGACGTCATCTTGAGTAGTAAACACCGAAGCTGCTTGGCTTGATGCCGGTTCATGTCCGGCTCTATTCAAGCATTCGAGCATCGAAAGGGCATGCTGACTATCACGGGCAGGCTCCATTTTGCGAATCTCTTCTGTCAAGATGGGGAGATTTTTAGGTGTCTTCTGCCGGTCTTGTTTGGTGTTGTTTGAAGTCGAATTCTGCAGGGAATCAGACGTCTTCTTGTGGTCCTTTTATAAGTGATCTGGTTGCCCTTTGTGTCATTACCCTTTGCATCTTCGTCCTTTATGACCTTTCCCTTTGTGTTTTTATCTTTGTGTCTTTGTGTCTTTGTGTCTTATGTCCTTATCCTTTGTGTCCTTATCCTTTGTGTCCTTGCCCTTTGCGTCTTTGTATCTTATGTCTTTATTCTTTACGTCTTGTCATTTACGTGCTTGTCCTTTATGTTCTTATCTTTTATCCCCCCATCCTTTGTTCCTTTGCCCTTTGTGTCTTTTTCCTTTGACCGCTTTCGCCCTCCCCCCACGCCCTCGGGGCCTGCAAAAGTGGTTCTCTGAAAGAAAATATAGCATTTCGGTGTATCCTTCCCACAAGTATAGATGAATCAGTCTTTCTTTCAACAAATTTATGGCTTCATTAGGACTGAGATTAGGAGATGGTCCTACGATACTATAAGAGGTGTGTCACAGCCTCTAAGGGTTTGGAAATACCATCTCCGAAGAGCACTAATTGCATATGCCACCGTTACTATTACATGTGATTGTCACTTGTTGTTCATGTGAGCATCGGTATAATGACACACTCAGCTTTGCCAAAACGCATAGCCCTCGTGTCCGCATCCAAGCCTTCTCCATATTGATTGCAATCTTCTTCAGTGAGCTTATCTCGGGCATCTTGAGAATCTATTGCTAAACATCCGACGCAATCATACCGATATGGAGAGCAGGCTCCTGCGCCTTGCTTTGGTCATTCTTATTCTTGGAGTCTTTTATCTCGTCACAAAGTGCTCGTCCCATCAAACTAGAGTTGTATTGATGATGAGGGGTCAATGCGCCGTGATGGTAACCCGAGCCGATGCCGGTATTCGTGAAATTCACATCCTTTGCGCGCTCCCAACTGTGTACATACTTGCTGCGATCCGAACGGACAATCCCACGCACAGGATCAGTTATCAGTCTACCTTCTTTTACTCTGTTTAACGGTCACTCCATTATTAAGGATGATGGATCAGGCCATGCCTGGGACACCGAGGCCTACTCCCGAGCTGAAGTCGAGCGTGTGGCTCGCCTGGCGGGCTTTCTGGCCCGAGGCCGTGGCGAGACCAAGGTCTGGTCGCTGGACAAGGTCATGACGGAGACGTTTTCCAAGGAGTTCCCTGACCTGACGGTTGAGCACCAGCTCATCGACAGCGCTGCCATAATCATGGTCAAGAACCCTCGCGGCCTCAACGGTGTGGTGATGACGAGCAATCTGTTTGGTGACATCATCAGCGATTAGGCGAGTGTGATTCCCGGCAGCATTGGCTTGCTGCCAAGTGCCAGCTTGAGCAGCATTCCTGATGGAAAGGGCAAATGCAACGGCATTTACGAGCTAATCCACGGTACGTAAACTATCCCACCTCATCTTCTCTATATGAAAGAGAAACAGCTAATCGAGCGAAACAGGCTCTGCCCCTGACATCGCCAGCAAGGGCATCGTCAACCCCATCGGCACCATCCTGTCCGTGGCAATGATGCTGAGATACTCTCTCAACCTGCCCAAGGAGGCCAAGGCCGTCGAGGACGCCGTCAGAAACGTCATTGACGGCGGCCTGAGGACAAAGGATATGGGTGGCAGCTTTGGCACCAAGGAGGCCGGCGAGAAGATCGTCGAAGAGCTTGTCAAGGTCCTCAAGGCATGAAGTCTACTTGACTTGCCTATGAAAAAAAAAAAAAAAAAAAAACGTAAAACGAGATTTTAAAAGAGGACAAAAACATGATGGGATTGAAAGAGCTGAATAGGAAAGTTATGGGATACATATGCAATGGCTGATATTTGCGATGATAAGGATACTCTTGCAGAAAGGATAGGGATCACCGTAACGTCATAGGTCAAATGGCCAGTTACAAACAATGGCCATATATGAAACAAAAACTGTAAAGCAACAAGTTAGCAAGCGTCCTACGTGATTATTCGTTTCACTACTCCGGATTGGTCACAAGATTCGTGTAGAAAGAAGACACAATGCATCATTTGACGTCTACCTAGGCACCTAGCTCCATTTCCATCCAGCCCGTCAAGACTCAGAGTATTGCCCAAGGCCAAAGAGATGATAAGAGACGGATTAAAAGGCCTGAGGCAGTCTCGGCACATAGAGTCCATTTCGCCAATTAAGAGGAAACAGAGAGGGGGATTAAAGGGGTATCAAAGACAATTCTCACTCTCTGCACCATCAATTTTCAACAAAAGGCAAACAATAACGTAAACTTCTTTTCTGTTTTCTCTCTCTCCTACTTCCTTTCCTAAGTACGGGGGAAAAAAAGCGGGAGAAACCACTTGGTGTGCAAATATACCTAAGTTAAAAAAGGAGACTCAGGGAAAAAGGGGGGGGAATATAGCATAATTCAGCCATTTGTAAAATTGAGTCCCATCGACACCCAGCGGAAACGACCAAACCGTCGAGAATACATGGTCAAACTTTTTCTCTTTTTTTTTGATCAACTATCAAAACATAAAAGGCTTAAGCGTCCTCCACACACATTGGGGATTTTTTTTTGGTCTCTCTAAATGTGGGAAGCGAGATAAGGTGCCCGATCCATCAGCCAAGGAAAGGGTCTTTGAGGACTCGTGAGTCGCGGGCAGTTTAGTTGCCACCGAGGCTGGGGAAGGCAGACTGGTCGCTGGTGTTGATAGAAGCGCCCTGGCCACCACGTCCACCGCGGAAGTTTCCTCCACGGCCACGCTCACCTCCACGGCCTCCACGAGGGCCACCACGGCCACCACGGCCGCCGCCACGGGTTCGCTCAGGCTCGACGAAGCGGGGGTCGAAGTCGACGGTCTGCTTCACCTTGCGCTCACGCTCACGCTGCTTCTTGCCGCCGGAGCCGGCAAAGTAAACATCCTCATCCTTCTCGAGAGGCTTGGCGTTGGCCCACTTCTTGTCGAGCTTGCTTCCCTCGTTGGCGGCACGGATGTTAAGGTCAGACTCCAGGCCGGCCTTCTTCTCGGCCTGCTGGGCGAGGTAGTCGGTGTAGGAGATGCTCTTGTCCTCGGGCTCAGCGGGCTCCTCGGCAGCGGCTTCCTCAGGCTGCTCATCCTTCTTCTCAGACTCGGCAATGGCCTCACCGGCCTGCTCGTCCTTAAGCTCGGCATTGCCTTCGGTGGCACCCCAAGACTGAGCGGCTTGCTTATCGGAGCCACTTGAAAGCAGAAAATGGTCAATACGACATAACTGGTGAGGAGGCAGCCAGGAGACAAAACTTACGTGGTGGTACCGGACTTGTGGGGATGTCTGTCGTCACGATCGCGGGGGAATCGTCCGCCACGTCCTTGTCCCTCGTTAGTATGAATCTTTGCCAGTGGTGCAAAATTCCCTCGAAAGAGGGCTTTGATAGAATTGACTCACCTCCACGGACGCGAGCACCCTGACCGCCACGAGGACCATCTCTAGGGGTCTCCTCGGTGGAACGGCCCTGGTTGCGTTCCCGACCAGCGGCGCGGTCACGGAAAGCTGCATGTCGGCGATTAGCATCCATATCTCACATCTACCGGACGGCGCCACGTCCTCGGCAGCGCCAACGAATCAAGGATTGAGACAGAGCAACTTACCGCCCTCGCTTCCGCCGGGGCCACCACGGCGGTTGCCGCCAGTCCTCACAGGGGCCTGGGGGGCCTGAGGCTCGACATTGCGCTTAGTAGTGCGGGTTGTGGCCTTGTCGACGGTCTTGACAGGGACGACGGGCTTCTCCTCGCCATCGGAGTCGTTGCCTGCAGGGGGGAAACTTCGGTCAGTGACCTGCGCTTAACGATTCTATCGTGGCGGGGTTCGTTGGAGGGGTGAGGGTCAAAGTAAAATTTGCGGGAGGAGGGGCGTCAGTACCAAGGTAGGCGAACCGGTTCTATAGCAAGCGGCAGTCAGCACCAGCAACACAAAATGGAAAAAAATAAATAAAAATAAAAGAGCAGCTTCAGGGCCTCAGCGAGCGAAATATTGCGACGACAGCACCAGCACCGAGACGGTGAGGTAGCTTAGCTGTCGGCGCGATACGTGTAGCTCAAGCTCAAGGCCTGGCGGCAGCACGGCGTCGACCATGCCGCGAATTGCAAAGGGACGGACGGATGCAAGACAATATGCATACCTGGGAGGCGACCTGTGACATGTTGATCGCTTGGGGAGCTGGACGGTACTGGCGGCGCTGAGGGTAGTCTTTGCTACTTCTTGGGGGGGGAAACGTCTTATTAAGATCGCATGGCCCTCCTGGCGCGCAAGTCGGTCTTTCTGTTTCTTCTTGCGAAGGAGGAGAAGCACCAGAGCGAGGTCCGGAAAACTGGTGTGCTGCTGATGCAGTTGAAGAAAATGCACGATCCGGCCCTGTTTGGGGGGGTTCCGCTGGCTGCTCAATGCGGGCAAACTCTCTCTTTGCTTTCTGTGCTGCGCCAACCCACTCCGAAAAAAAAGCGACCAGCGCGCTAGCACACTTGTTTTGGGGGCTCGCTTAATTCCCGTGAAATATTTTGTGGTGACGCTGTTAGGGCTCCAGGGCGCTGGGCCGTTAGTGCAGCAGGTACCGAGTCGTACAAGCCGGCTAACAACCCAGCACTCCAGGAGCCGGCTTCAGCTCGCATTGCCCAGCATCAAGCGCATTTCAGCTGAAGCCGGCCATGATGATTCTACTCTTTCAAAGGTCTTCTACATGACCGGCATTGAAGGCGTCTTGAAAGCTTCTTTGTTTGCGCCATTGGATCCAATGCCGCATCCGGGGATTGGGTTGCTGTGGCAAGCTGGAGCTACAGGGAGATACAAGCTGAGCTACGACGCAGCCGAGGGACAGACTAGGGCTACCGCCCACTGAAACTGCGCTAAGCTCAGAGGTACATGCTCGAGCAGGAGCTACCTTGCCCTGGTACCCTGTAGCACTGACGCCCGCAGCTAAAGCGGCAGCAGCAAGCAAGCTGAGCTGGTAACTGCTTGCCCGAGTTATGGCCAAACCTCAGTGGCCCACCCAAGTATCATGATAACGTCATCAATACGTGCCTCCATATTGGACATCTCACGGCATTGATGCCATGGCATGGTTCTCTGGATGGGAATTAACACTGTAAAGGTAGGCCTGCTGACCAAGTTAGCGGTAGTGCCAATCTACAAGGCAAAACGCAAACCGTTTTCCGGGGAAGCTGCAGCAGTCTAAATGTTACCTGTAGGTTGCCAAGGTAATTTGCTTGCCGAGGCTTATTAAGCGTGAAAGTGACCGCAACCATAGCAACCTAAGCAGACGGCAGCTCTACGAAGCTAGCACGGAGCTTCTTGCTCATGCCCATTGCAGGCGACAACAGGAGCAAACTGCATAATTTGAGCTGAGTCTATAACGTATGGCGAGGCTCACATATAAATCCAAGGAGAGAGATTGCACAATAGCACCTGAGATTTGGTAGCTGAGGGCTGGCCTAGGGTAGCATGGTGTATATCTCCATCTTGACCTATTAATAGGGCTGGATGTTTTCTAGACGGACATGGCAATAATCTCGAATTGAAATAGCTCCCCAATTTATCTGATGTGTCAGACCAATGAGTCTCAGATCACAACAAGATTGGCAATCACTGAACACGGTAGCATCAAGTTGGTAATTTCTGCAAACACGTAGCAAACATGAAAGCAATTTGCGTTACTACTTGTACACAAGTCGACTAAGTCGCCCTTATCTCAAACAAAGAAACAAGCAAAAAGATGGTTTTCCCTAGCCCTCCCATTTCCCTTTCCAGCGCCAAGCCAAATAACAAAGAAGAAAAAAGCAAGCGTAGCTCTCAAAAGAGGCCATATCCATCCACATTCATACTTATCGAGGTATAAACAATCTTATAAAACGCCAATGGCTCCGTACCGAGGGATACCATTATTCCCTGTGACGTTTCTTCATCAAAGCAAAAGCATCAACCAAAGATGCAGTCTCCAACGCCGAACCAGCAATACATCAAGATAGCTGCCATGCAAAACCGCCTCCCAATAGACCTGAAAGGCTGCTGCCAATTCCATCGAGGAAAGCAAAGGAAGAGTTCTACGGCCGATCAGGAGCTTGCCTGAGCGGGAGCTCACCCATTTTCCTTCGTAGTGCCCATCTGGCTACCTAACCACGGTTCTTTGGGCGGGCGAGCATGTTAAGGCGACTCATGCTCAGTGTTGGTCTCTTCTTGGAAGGAGATGACGAGCTAACAGCTCGAATAATGGGACGAACTGGGGTTTGGCCGACGGCCTTCTTCGCGCTGGCAGAAATAGAAGGAGTCTTGCCGAGAAGACGAGGAGCCAACAAGGCCTGTCCCTCAGGAACGTGGCCACTCTTGGCCTTCTTTCCAGCGCGATCGGCTGCCTCCTTGTCAGCGTCTCCTGCGTCCGACCCGGCGCGATGACGCTTCTTGTTGGCCATTCCGTGTGGAACTCCTGGAAGCACTTTGGGCGGAGTAGGCGCCGTGTTCTCCTTATCCGGGTGAGAGCTGGGCGAAACTGGATCAGGGAAGGTGCCGGGCATATCTGAAGCAGTTTTGATAGAGTTGCGCACATGACGCACGCTCGACTGGCCATGAGAGGCACCAAAGCCAGATGGCGATGGGTTTCCAAACTTGATTGTGTGATCACTCCTGAACGTAAATCTGCCTGGAACTGAAGGGGTAGGAGATTTGATGGCCTCCTCAGCCGTCGAATCAAGGAGGTGCTTGTAGCTGGACAAATCGGGATAAGTAATATCACCCGATGATTTTGCTTCTGCCAAAGCCTCCTCGACTTCAGAGCGCTCCAAGGCCCTCTTGGTAGTAGTCGACTTATGAGGCGATGGAGTGTCTGGGTCAAAAATGGTTCGCGTAACCTCCGGTGTGAATGTCACATGCTTAACTGTCTTCTTCGTGGGTTGAGTGGCAGCAAGTCGGGTGATGTTCAGAGTAGAGAGACGAGACGGAGCTGGCGGCGTCTGCGAAGTGGCGGGAACCGGCTGTGGGATAGCACTCTTTGCCTTGGGCGAGAACAGGCTGCTTCCAAATACAGATTTCATCACCGATCGCTTCATAGCCGAGTTGGTAATACCGTCTGTTTCCTTGGGTTCTTCGGACTCCTTGGGTACCTTGGTATCTTTGAGCTCCTGAGATCCCTTTGACTCCTTGAGTTCCTTGGATACAGCTAACTCCTTGGGTTCCTTTGACTCCTTGGGTCCCTTTGACTCCTTCAGGTCCCTGGCTTCTCCTTGCTCCTTGAGGCGCAGCTTCGGCGGTGGTGCAGCAACAATAGTCGCCTCCGACTTTCCGGGACTAGACAAGCGACCAATTGATGACTTTGTTGGGCTCATCAAGCGAGAAAGGCCAGGCCGAATGAGTCTAGAAGTAGCAGGACTCTTGACACTGGATACCGGGCGAGGAATCGAGGTGACATCTCGCGACACCCGTCGGGTTGTTGAAGCATCGTCTTCCGCATTCTTCTTTACTCTTTTGGCCGAAAGTGAAGGCTGCTCGTCCTTTGCAGAGGCTTGATCTTCGGTAACACGAGCCTTGGTGCCCAGCCTCTTGGCAGAAAACCGCCCGAGACTCTCAAACGTTGACGTGCGCTTCCTTGGCTCAGTAGATGGCAGCACCCTTTCGAATTTTGAGGGAGTCTGCTTTGTATTTTTCTGAGGTGCGTCAAGGTCGGCCTTGGATAGAGACCGTTTTACGCCAGGTTTGATAACGGGGGTGAATCTTCCGTCTTGTGCTCTCCAAGCAGAAGCATGCCCTTCGATAGAATCCATCTTCTTGAATTCAGCCATATGGGCTGCACTGAATCTTCCAGATTTTCCCTTGGGTTTAGCAATTGTGCGGCCGTTGGCATCGGTTGATGCGGACGATGTGTCGTTTTCTTTCTTAGCGAGGAGGTCGGCTTTGTACTCTGCAGCCTTTTCCTTGAGACCTTCCAAAACACGTAGGGCTTCAGCCCCCAATCCCAGCTGGCTAGCGGTGGTGCCAAGAGGCACACGAAGAGTGAATGCAGAAGATGGCACACCGCCAACTTTGGATGGAGTAGATTGAAGACCTGCTCCATGAGAGCTATCGCGTCGTCGTGCATCCTCAATATCTGTGAAGCCCAATCTAAGAGCGGACGATGGTTCGGCGGTAGTTGGATGGAATTTGCTGGGGTGCATCTCTGTGCTAGGGGGCTTCACTGCATGGGTCGCGGGCGTTGCAGGCGCCTCGAAGGCGTCCATTTTCTTAGGAGTCATTCTCTTGGGAGTTTGGCGGCTGACGGGCTCGACACGTTCCAATTCTATTGTGTACTCCGGCTCAAAAGGCGACTCCGGGTTGGCATTGACCTGTGCCAACATTGTTAGGTCACGATGGAGTTTTGCAAAGAGTGTCGAATCATGGAAAATCTCACCTTAGCAAGCCGGGCCGAGCGGCGGGGAGGCGCAGACATGGTCTATAAGGCGCTCAATTCTGATTAAAAACTGCAGGGTAAAATGGTATTGATAGCAGTACTTTGGATGACGCAGCTGGACGATGAAATGTCTTGAAGACCTGGCGAGGAATGTCGTGATGGAATCCTGCGTGGGAGGAGATGACATGAAAACAAATGGCACGAGCTTAGCGGGGGGTTTGTTTACTTTCTTGCGGTCCAAGCTCGAAAAAGGGCACAAAGTGGACCCACAGTGTCCATGGCGTTAAATTACCGCGGAGAAAGCTCTCAATTAGCACGGTATGATGATTCTATGGAGAAATAACGTGAGCTCTCATACGTCGTCTGCGCACGTATCAGAGAATTAATCACATGCTTGATCACAGGATCTATTGCAGAAGCGCATTTTCACACAGCTGAGATCTATTTTATTCCAGATCTCATGATGTACTAAGCCTTGTGCTGAGGCTGGCCAAGTTATGTATTTGCAAAATGCCCGACAACACTAGTCGGGTACCTAGGCAACGGCTGACTGAGCAGCTGTCAACAGCTTGCGACTGTATCTCTCGTGGAAAAAAGACACCAAAGCGACCCCAGAAGAAAGGCAAAAGAAAAAGAGAAAAAAAAAGAGAGAGAGAGACAGAGAAAATCAAGATGTCTGCTCCGTGATAGCGAAATTTCAATGCTGCCTAGTATTTCTAAGGGCAATGTGCAGCTTCCTGACCTAAATGCCTGAACAGCTGCCATCAATCATGTACCTGTTTCTGGTAGCATACAGGCAGGAGGGGTTGAATAGAGCGATCTCCATGTAGTAGATCATATGCTATCTACCTAGGTATATAACAACACGTAGGTGCCTTCTTATGCTGTATCACCTATGAGTTGAAAACATGCTGGCTCGATTAGATTGTGTCATGGCAAACTCCGCAGCTATTACTCCACGGATGGCTTCGGACAACGAAGAAAGCGGCGTTGAGATGCATTGCATGTCAATTCCTAAGCGCTCACTCTAGGACTTTAGCCAATTCATCCACGACCCAATCATGCTCTCCTCGAGGGCCAGAGGACCCCCAAAAAAGCACGACACTGCGGAGTCCTCCGCACTCCGACCCGAAAATCGGAGCACTACTTCTCGATGTGCTGCGCTAGAATCCTTCCAGAAATCGCCTTGCGATATGTAGCTGCCAGTGCCAGGTGATGACGATGATGACACTAGAGAAAGGCTCTTCCAGTAGAGTGCCGTGACATCCGCCGTACCCGATGCTTATTTTTCTCACCGGATGACCATATCCGTCCTCGGTAAGCCATACACAGAAGGGACATATCCAAGTTTGTCCCAAGTGTCGGCGAAGAGCGTTGGGATGGATGGAAAACTTGTAGGGACGGGCTATGAGAAGGTGGCGTCTAGCCCACCAGCAGCCAGAAAGAAATGATCTTCATCGATGACGGGCCATGGGATTTTTGAAGGGCGACAACGTGTATGTATGCACTTTTAGTATTTTCGAAGGGCGGCATGGTTGGATACTTTGGTTTGCTTTTTTGGAAGTTGTATACTCCGTATATAGGTACGCGTCCCTATACGAAGTGCTCCGTATATGATGCTAATCCAGCTAAGTGGTGGATAGAAGCCTCTATGCGTACCTATTTTCAGCTCGGCGTGTGACCAATTGGAGCTGAAATTACGCCGGATGCCGGCTGCCACAAACACTGAACCAAAAGAGAGGGAAAAGATTGCTACTTCGCAACAATTGTATGCTGCTGGTTCATCGCCAGACCAACATCATACTGTACGCATTCAAAGTATAATGGACAGCGCGCTCACTCAAACTGGGTGAAATCTACTCGGCAGTTCAACAACTTGGACACACGTCGCAACGGTTTTTATGATTTCTTGCGTTAGCGGCGAACTCCTCTTGGAGCTAGCCCCGACAGCCGAGAGATAATCTTGCTTGATGGGGAAGCTGATTGGCACATCTCCGAGGAAGCTGGGGAAAGGTTGGTGGCGCTCAAGTTGGAATGACTTTGGCCCTTGGGACCTGGGGGCTGGCGGTTTGGAAGCTGATATCCCATGGCTTTGTGGCGCTGACGGGATGTTTGACATGAAGCGCTCCGTATTTTGCAAGGGAGAACGGCGCTGGCTTTAGCAGGCATCGCTCGGATGCAACTTATGCAACGACGGAAATGCTACTCAAAACATGACCCTTGCGTGGTGGTGAGAGAGCAGTGGCCCGCTTACTTGTAACGCAGCATCAGTGGCAGGTCTGCGCTTGAGCTGGTTTCAAGTGAAATCGGCTTCGAAATAGGCCCCCGAGACAGCTTGCTCGAAATGATCCAGAGGGAAAGACATTTTTCAGTCTGCCTCTCCGCCCTCGCCCGCTGCTCTGATCACGCGGGATTGTAAACTTTTGGGGGCTTGTTGAAAGAGCTCGGCAAGCCACAGCCTCACCACCACATGACTTGCGGTTGTCCACGGTTGTCTCAGCAATTGGTGAAGAGTCCTGGGATAGCCTTGGTGATGCTCAGCGCCCGTCCCTAGCTGGACCACCCTTAGAATAACAAGCAGTCCCAATTGCGGAGTTTGCTTGCTTGTTGAGAGATGGTTGGCTGAGAGTTTCCGTGTCAGGGGAACACTACTTTTCTGCCCCCGTAGTTAATGTCGTGGAGTCCCCCAGAATGGGGTCGAGGAAAAGGAGATGATGCTCGGTGAGACTAAGAGCCACGACGCCACCAATTGGCCAATATGAAGACAACAGGACGCCTCGACCGGACTTCCGGCACAACGACGCATGCAGACTCGTGCATATACATAACCGCTGGCAATGCGGTCCAAGACAACGCACAACGCATTCCGACACCGCGCGTCACAATCCCAAGGCAGGCATTCATTATTGGAGGAGTCCCCGAGACGAATCACGGATACATGAGTTGGCAATTGATGGAGTTCTCGTACTTGCAGCCTGATGACGGCTCACCAACGAGAAGGCGTCGGATCTGCAGCAGGGCAATCCGCGCCAGAAACCAATAGGCTGGTGTCTCGGGTGAATGGTGGGCTTTTTTGGCTGATCGGTGCTGCCTGCTAACGCTCCTAGCAGTAGTGCTAGTATTCCGCGGGTGCATCAGGCAAGGCAAGACACGCACATTGTCATCGAGATGCTCGTCGAGGGCGTGGTGAGACCAGGTTAAGCTTAAACAGAGGAGACCAGCTCTGCTGTACAAGTATGTACGCCCGTTTCAGAGCAGACAAGCACGCAGTGGGATCCAGGTTACCCATGCTGAACATGGTTGCGTGACAACCAAAAAAAATCCTGATATTATATTACTCGGTCGATGCCATTGATGGTCGTGCAAAAGACAGAACCTGAACGGGCAAAGACCGTCTCGAGATTTGCAACTAGGCAGGTCAGCTGGGGGCCGCTTGGATTAGTTGCGAATAGCTTCGCCGTAACCGCTGCAAGCCTGCCAAGGACGAACACCGGAGTACAAGCATTCTACTTGAAGCAAATCTCCTTCGCCCTCCTCCTTTCCGCGGCCGTGTCGTGGCCCCGCCAGGTCTCGTTGGGGTACTGCAGCCAGTCGGCACTAGAGCCGCTGGTTTTGTTGTGTGGTGGTGTGGTTCAACGCAGCTGCTGATCAATGTCACTTCTCTTTGCTGTCATCTACTCAACGTATTCGTGCTTGGGTTAGTACAGTACGGTAGTGGTGGTCGATATTGCTGCTCCCTTCTCATCCATGCAAGCCATGCTAATATTCGCTCATCCGCGCTGTGCTAGTGAGCAACGAGGCTTGCGGCTGGCGGCGAATGTGTCCGAGCTGCAGCGAAGGAGTTGTCCGTTACCCCTGACAGGAATTGCACTGCACAGCACGCAACGGACGTCGATGCATGGACTACTGAGGCTAGCATCCATGGCTAACAATTGAAGGCGGCACTGGGGGACATTTGGAACGGGAGGGGGGAAGGATTTGGGCCTGCAAAAGAACATTGGCAAGTAATCCAACACTGTACGAGTATCGGCTCAAGCCTCTTGTATGTACTCGTAATTGTACGAGCACTGTAATACTGTATGTACAGTTGGAGTGCAGGAGAATTGATGGATGGGAGAGGGCAGCACAGCAAAGCGGGGGTCCACCCAGGAGACTTCCAGGCTGCCTTGGTTGCTTGGCCAAGCCGATGAAAATTTCAACTGCAAGCCGTGGTGGAGAGAGGGTGGAGTGCGCAGGAAAAGCAGATGATGGCCATTCCACTCCGTTGCCCGTCCCCGGGGCCCCTAGCCCAGACAGTCCCAAGGAGTTCTAGCCCAAGCGACCACCTGACGCGTCGGCTGGGGAAAAGCCTCCAGACTGGATCGAGGCGAAAGCCAACCGGTCACAGCCCACAGCACACCCACTCGCAGAGGGATGGTTGGCCGATTTTTTTTTTTTTCTCTTGCCATCCATGTACGGATATGTACGTAGACATGCGAGGGCGCAGCCTCTTGTTTTCTCGTCGTGAGGGCGCGAGTATAGCGGTACTGTACAGTACTGCACAGTACAGTGCCAAACACACTGACCTAGTACCTGTCAAGCCCGTACTATATTGTCCTGGCTCTGTCTCTGGGGTCCAAATGCCCTTGATCGGAGTGTCGGGTCGCATCGCCCTGTGCCGGCCTCAGGCCATGCACATCGTTTCCGCTCCCTGAGATGCCGGTGCGCGGAACCGGGGCCTCAGATTCGCTCTGGCGCCACGGGCTAAGCAGCCAGACACACGCCGACCGCTGTGACAAGAACTTGCACGGCTCACGTCTCACAGGTACCCGCGCAGACCTGCAAGCCCCGGCCCCATCTCTCGTACCGGCCGCTCGTTTTTTTCTTGCATCCTTTGCCTTGTCTGGCCACGCCAGCGCCGAGCTCGCTCATCGCTCCACCTTGCGCTGGGTCGTCGGCCGACCCTGCAGTCACCAGTCAGTCGCCAGCAAGCCTCCAAGTGTCGCTGCGAAGCCTAAACGCTGTACCCCGTTCGCTGTGGCTAGTTCCTGTCTGGTTCTGGGCTGGGCGGGCTGGGCTGGGCTGGTAGAAAATGCCCATAAAGGACGGGGGGCCAGCTCCAGCGCAAATGTCGCCGCCAGATCGCTGCTGGCTCCCCTCTTCGCAATTCCCATTACATAAAAGAAGTCGCGGCGCCTTTTCCCACCAGCTTTTCGAGGTTCTGTATCTTCGACGACCCTCTTGGAGCCTGCAAATTATCTTTCTGGAAGCTCGGGCGACGCTTCCTTATCTCTCGCTGCCTATTTTTCTTACGTTTCTGCCCGCCAGGCACATCCTCGGCCGCTCATAGGCGCCACAGACGCGCTGCCGAACGCCTATCTCTCTGGTCGACTTTTTGCGCCCAGAGACCCTGCAATTGCATTCGCCCGCTGCCTAAACTCGTTGATAACAGCTTTCCTTTGGCGAACCAGAGACGTCCTTTTGTCGGCTGGCCATTCCCTCTGATAACCGCCGCCGCTCTTGCTGATACCGGGCGTCCCACCCCCGACGACGTCACCGGGACGCTGGTTTGTCTTCTTGAAATCACTGGGGCGCTTGCCGCAGCGCGGCTGTCGTCTCGAAGGGCCCCCGCGCCGTCACCCAAGGCATGGCCGACAAGATGTCCATCGACAACAAGCCGCCGAACCCTCACCGGGATGAGAGCGAAGAGTCGACTGGTTCCACTCCGGAGAGGGAGCAAATCCCTTCCATGACTGCCGGCAGTGGCAGCACAATCATCAACGTCTCTCAGGATGGCCAGCAACCCAAGAGAAAGGGTGGCCGCAAGCCCGTCAGTACCTCTACTCTCCTTGCCTCACTTTCTTACATCTTCTTTCCCATTATCGTGACTTTTTTTTTATGCTAGACGACGATGCAGTAGTGCTGCTAGTCTGTCTCGTGCCTTGACCAATACTACCCCTCACTCATCCTACTCTACACACTACGCCCTCCCCTTCCAGGCCAACAACACCCATTCCCTATCACAGCTATAGTGCTATCTGATAGGATGTCAACTGCCACCTCGCATCAGTATACATGTATATACCGATGACAACTTCAATGGCGGCTTGTCTTATAAGACGGCCGCATGGGTGGTCATGGCGTTCCGCTACCCTTTCGGGTAACTCGCTTCAACCCCCTCAAGGCAACATCATGGCATGGCTACCACTGCGCTCATGTTAACACGTGCTTCTCTCTCCAGATCTATGCGACGTCTGAAGAACGCAAACAACGCAATAGACAAGCCCAGGCCGCCTTTCGCGAACGTCGCACCGAGTACATAAAGCAACTCGAGGAAACGATTCGCGTCCATGAGTCCAACCTGCACAATCTACAGGCTGCGCATCGTAATGCCGCCGAGGAATGTCTAATGCTCCGCTATAAGAATTCGCTACTTGAGCGTATCCTTCTTGAGAAGGGTAGGTTGCTATACCACGTATGACCTTCGAACTCGCAACTGACGCTGTCCACCATTCAAGGCATCGATGTCCAAGCTGAGCTCCAAGCCAAAACTGGCAGTCCCAACTTGGCGCCTACTCATATGCCACAGAACTTGGTGCAGCCGCCTCCCCTTCAACGCACCATGATGCATCGGCACCATGCACGCAAATCTAGCATTGCTCCCAAGACCGAGCCTGGCACCGCTCTTCCGCCACCTCTACAGCCTCACAAGACTGCGCCATCTCCAAAGAATCGACCAGCACCTCCTTCTCATGCCAACTCCCCCAATACTAACAGCTCGGCCTTTTCTCCTGCGGCCTCGGATACCATGTCCATGCGAGGATCCATCTCTGGGCTATCCCGTCAGCAGATGACTCCCATTTCTATCACAACGCCCTCGGCAAGGCAGCCAATGATGCAAACCGGGGCGCGCGGGGCTATGGGCTCTGGTGCGTCGTTTTATCCGACACCCTCATTCCAGAATCACATTGAGCAGCTTGGTAAGATAGACCAGTCTTCTTGTAGAATGTTTGTGGTGATTGCTAATGCGCTACTGTGTATAGAGCAAGAGTATGAAGCCGACATGGTCGAGGATTCAGAGATTGAGACGCCCAGTGGCCCCGGCCCATATCCCGGGGGCTTTAACGGCGAACAGCAACCGATGCTTCTTTCACCAGCTTCTACCGGGCCAGGACATCAAGTGACGGCGGCTTCTCAGTATCCCACAATGACACAGCTGTTGGATCAGCAACCCGACTGGGATCCCTTCGGCCTCAGCGCTAGCATGGCTTTCCCAAATCAGCCATTTCAATTCGACCAGACACACATGAGGTGACTGACCCAGGCTACAACACGGCCTCCGCGGATAGCCTAACGATGCTAGCATTGCCTATCGATGCGACGGAGGTCTTCTGGTCCTTCCTGGGGCGGATTTGCACTTCCTCGGAGTCGAAATGCATCTTCTCCTTCAGCATTAGCTCTTGAGACTGCATTAGCATGGGATGGTTCTCTATCCTAATACTAAGCTTGGGGGATGGACTCGCGGTGTCCTGAAACGGATGGCCAATCATCGGACCTCTTGGGCAGGGTTGGCATAACACGCTCGTCCAACCTCTCGGTATGCAAAACACGTCAAAACACAAGATACTGCTTTGCGGTCCCCCCCTTTTACCTGGTTGGTCCTGGGTCCCAGAGCCTGGCCCCGTGTAAGACAGGGTTGTGGAGAACAAGAATTGAGATGTTTCGTACAATTGTTTAAACTCCGCCCGTTTCAACGACCCCAGTTACGCCAAGGCTCAGGACCTTGGGTAGCAACAAAACACAAAACACAAAACACAACTATACTACTAGCACTAATCCAAAAGCCATTCAAGACAAGGAATATATCACGATTACCGAAGGGTTATGCCTCGCATATCATATGATTCGAGCCATGGCCCCGAATATTTTTTTATACGTTTTTAGCCCCTCGATGTACGAAGTAAAGAAGCATCACTTTGGTGGCATGGGCCATGTCTTTGGGCACTTCTTTTTAGCCCGGTCCGAGGAGGACGACTTGGTGGATATACCCATTGTACCACTGGATTGGTGTTACTCAGCATTTTTAACACAAGGATGAAAAAAAAAGGTGGCTATGGATTATGGTAATGAAAAGTTATCTTTTTTTTAATCGTTCATGGGATGTTACTGGCGGCTATGGAAAAGAGATACAAAAAAAAATCAACGAAAAAAGGAGACTGGAAGTTTCCGCTAGAGCAAAGCAGGGGCCCATGAGGTCGGATAACATGATTTCAAACGAATACAGCGCATGTAAGCTTACTTTGGACTCTGGTCTACTATATGTGGTTATGTGTCATGAGATTTAGTTCCAGTTGTATTTCCACGTTTTTCTCACTTGGTATGTGGGTCTGGCATGGCTTAGTGCTGCGACCAGTGAAGACCGCAACTACTATTAGAAGCCGGCGTGGAATACAAGTACATATCTCTATATGTATATATCGAGTTTATGCATCTCCGTCGGACCATAAGTGAGGAGAGAGAAGGCGTCCGTGTATGGGGATAGTCAGATCTGGGTTGCCAGGGGCCAGGTGTTGTGTCGGGTCTGATCCGTAATATTACCCCGTGCCTCCACGGTATTCCTTGTAATGAGATGAGGGTCGGGATAGGATGGCAGGCGCTGAATCCCTGTAGTGAGAGATCAACAGGACAATTACCCGTTATTCTACGGAAGACAGGGGAGTGGATGTTGCTCTCCGTACAGGTGAGGATTCAGGGGAGGTTGTCTAACATGAGGAAACGCAGAACAAGCTTGTCGGAGGCGGCACAAAATGCATTAAACTCGGATGTCTCGCATCATTGACGAGCCACTTTGTGTATGCGTATTAGTGATCTCGTCTGAGAGTTTGCACTATTAGCCGATTGGCGAATAGTGGCAGCTTTGAAGGGAGAGACAACAAATAGGACGGCAACGGCTTGAACCTGAAACCACATCCAGCGTCTACTAGTACTAGATAGTGTATCGTGTTACGGCTACAGAGGCTGTTATAAGCAGAGTGTATATGTATGAAGATGATAGTCTAAAAGCGTTAAATCGTTAACGTAAGTCATGAAAAATCGTAAATCCCACGCTTTCATCCAACAAACAAGCCATACAAGGGCTGCTCCAACAGCCAGCATTAAGAACCGAGGCAGTATATACTTGCATGGATGTACTGACACCCCGTGGTTCTCAAGAGCAGGCAAGCGTCCAGGCACGTCCAGACACAGCCTGGCTCTGGTCCATAATGACGGGTGCCTAAGCGAGGTTCAAAAGTCCTTTTGATCCATCAAACCGCCACGAGCCAGACAAGACTCCCAACAAATAGGACCCACGCCCATGCCAGGCCACTTGCGGTGTCAGCACCGACTATCCGCGTGGCTGTGCTATTCCACAGCATAGTGGCGACTCCCGCTTCCGCGACCTCGTCGATGCTGCATACGACCTTGCAGCTGTCACTGCTTGTGCGGGACGACAAGTCTCGCCGCCGGAGCAGTTCTCCCTGGGGGCCCGTGTCGCGGCTCCAGAGGCGACTGGGATCCCTCCTTGCTGGCGTCTGGGCGGAGGTGTTGTATATCATCTCGATCCACTGGATCTGCAGGCCGGCCTGGTCATACACGCTCATGTTTCCGCTCCAGCTTCCGCCGTCGCTCCATGCATTGAAGTTGATTCCCGAAGCTTCCTGCGGGACCTGGAATGTGACGTTGGCAAGCTGCTGACCGTTTACATACCAGACGCTGCTCTGTGAAGTCCAGTCGAGCCGGTAAACAGCCCATTGGCTCCAGATCATGCTGTCCGGCAGCGTGACGTTGCGCGTGGCATCTGGATTCACCTGGCCATTGCTGTTGAAGGAGGGCTGGTTGGTGAGCTGGACTCTTTCCCGCGGACCGCGAGTCAGGACTTCAAAGTCTGCTTCTTGCACGCTAGATGTCGACGTGGCATCTCGATACGTGAACATGGCGGTTACGGCTCCTGGACCGCCAGTTGTTCGGGCCAGCATGCGCAGAGACACGAACTGATAGTCCGACGTCTTTGTCTGGAAGGCTGCTGCGGTCTGGAATTTGGGAAGACGCTGAGTTCTTAGTGCCATGTACGTGTCTGATGCGGCATTGTCGTCGCCGTTCTTTTGGATGTACACGTTGCTTGGAGAGTTGACCATTAGGACCGTTGCCGCGCCAGACAGGCTCTTGCCCTTGCCCTCGCTATTACTCCATCCTTGAAGCTGCCATACACTCGTCCATTCATCGCTGGAAAAGTACTCGCTCGTCGGACGGGCGATTGTTGCCAGCGTCTCGTTGGTGATGAGTGCTGGGACGCCGGCGTCCTTGGTCAGATTCCGAAAGTCGAAGAACATGTGATTGGAGAAGTAGCTGGGCTGCGTGCCATTGGAGAGGAAGCAGTCACAGGCGGAGTCACCGTTTGGCAAAGGCTGGGGGCTAATTTTCTCGCTTTGGCTGGCGGTGGCGATGCATGTTGGCACGAGGATGGATATTACGAGTAGTGAGACGGGAGAGAGCAGCGGCCAATGCATACTGATGAGCGGTTGGAAGAGTACGGCTTACTGATAGGAAGGGGAAAAAGAAGAGAAGAGAGACTCCAAATGGCAGAAAAAAAGGGTAAGAGAATGTGAAAATGCAGCTCAATGTGTCCAAGAGCTCTACCTTGTTGGCATGTGAAAAGGAGAGCATCAAGTCATCTTGTTCCAACGCCAAAGCGAAAAGAAAAAGAAAGTGAGAAAACCGGGAAAAGGGAGAAAAGAAACAATGGCCAGGATCTACCGTCCATGCCTATTTGGCGTATGAATGCAGCGGTAATGTGGGCTCTTCAACTTACGAGATGCAGGTGAACTGATCACCGTTGGGTCGTCGCATGGGCTCGTATTCCGCAGCCCCAGTGTGACTTGGATGAAGTTGAGCGTCGCATCTTGAGAGGCTTGAGGACTAGCCTGAGCTGGCGAGCTGTCAAGAGCAGCGCTAAAATAGCAGCATCTTGGTCAAATTGCTTTCAATTTTTTCGGCGCTTGGCATCAGCAGCTACTGCTACTAATCAATGTCTATTTCTGCTCGTTGCGAAGCTCTAGAGCAGAGAATAAGACACTAACCATGAATTAACGTTCCGTCTTGCCGCCGTCCCGAACGAAATCACATCCATCCAATCCCGGATTATTGATATTCCCCAAGGCTGAACTGCCCCATCCACATCCACATCTAACTGCCCACTTTGTCACCCTGCTCCTTGCATAAACACACACATACAAGCTACTTCATCCCTACAACATTGAAGCATTTACTACCAGTATCCAAGGTAGCAGTGGTGCTGAGGCTGCATCACAATAGTTGCGAGAAAAAAGGCGCGCGACAAATACTATTCAGGTACTTACTTGTTGCTCGTGCGACGCGAAAAGGCGGAACAATAAAAAGCGAGCCTATAGCAATTGTGCCTTTGCTCCAAAACTACATATTCGTCCCCGCCTGCTAAGCTCTAGGTGCATAAGTATCATGTTGATCATGGCGTTTTCAGGATACTCACGGTTGCAGATGATTACAGGTACATCAAGAACAAGAACAAGAGCAAGATAACGCAAAGACGACGGCCTGGGTGCGCTGTTTTTGATCCAACATGTCGTCGCCAAGAAACGCCGCCACGACTACACATGAGCAAGAGGCCGAGTCGTCAGCTGCAGTTGTCGGCCATGTTGAAGAAACCGCAAGGGATGAACACGTCGATGACTCCGATGTCGAGGCTGGGGAGGTGACCGGGGAAGATGAGTCTGACGCAGAAAAGAAGGCCGACGGAGCCGATAAGTCGCCAGAAGAATCACCATCCCCTGATGCTGATGCTACTGCTAATGGAGAGGCGCCGCCGCTGCCCAATGAAGCCGTTCCCGGCGGTCCACCCTTGCCAGATGAGCCGGTGCCGCAGCAGTCAGAGGATGACGGATGGGATTGCCAGTGGGATGCGAATAACCAGGCTTGGTTCTTCTACAATCGTTTCACAGGCAAGTCCCAATGGGAAAATCCTCGAGTCCCTGATGCTACTGGCGCTGCTCCCGGCGGCACAACCTCGCAAGGGGGAGAGCCCCAGCCGCCTTCTCACGAGAAGCCCGTTGCTGGAGGCTACAACCCTGCCATTCATGGTGATTATGATCCAAATGCATGGTACGCCAAGAATGATGAAGAGGATGAGAATGCGTCTGCTGCCTTGGCCAGCGATCCTGCTGCCATATATGCCGCTACAGTTTCTTTTAACCGCTTCACCGGCAACTTTCAGTCTGGCGAGGCAGGCCCCGAGCGGCATTCCGACGAAGCAAAGTCTAGACGTCAGATGAACGCATACTTTGACGTCGATGCCGCGGCAAATGCTCATGGTGGTCGCAGCTTAAAAGCCGAGCGGTCAAACAAGAAGCCAACCAAGAACGAGCTCAAGGCCTTTAAGGAGAAACGTCGAGCGAGGAAGGAAGAGAAGCGCCGAGCTTGGCTACGCGACTGAGACGCCCCCTAAATAGCCTCTGTGGAAAAGGGCCTTTTCTTTGTTCTCATATGGCTTGGTTTGATTCTCTTGCATCACGTTCATCTTCCTATCCCCGAGTTTAAATTCTTGGGGAAGTTTTTCTATATGCCAAGATATATCGGCTTGAATTTCTCGAACAAACAATGGCGTTGGAAAAGAACAAGGTGTCAAGGTTTATCATCATCATCATCATCTCTCTCTTTTCATCTTGGTTTTCTGTCATGATCTGGCAATCTTTTGGCTGCCTTATAACTTCTGCCTCATGTCTTATTTCACTATGCTGGACTTTTTTTTTTTTTTTCTCTGCATCTTTCTTCTATTTCTTTCTTTGCATTTCTCGAGGGTGTTTATCATATTCTTCGTTTTTAATTAGCAGGGTGGTCATGAGGTAGACTACGTCTTATATTCTATGCAAATATACCCCATACAGGCTCATGCCACGTTTCTCTACCTTATTTCTTCCCCCCTTCTTTTCCCTTATAACCTTCTCATAACTGCCACCGTGTTGTCAAAATTACTCATCTTCATCCTCGTCCTCTTCGTCCTCTTCCAGCTCCATGTTCAGGTGCACGCTTCCATCGCTATCGCTATCTGAATCTTCCTCACCCCCTTGTGGCAATGTAGCCAGGGCAGCAGCAGGTTCTTTTTTTTCAAGCTCTTGTCGCTTAGGATTAAGGGGGACATCAGGCCCCTCGTGCTTTCTCTTAGGCGGAGAAACTGCCCTTTCAGTGTTTGAAGCCCGAGGTTCGAAGGGGTTGGGTGCAGTGGTTGAGGCGGTGCTCTGGATCGGTAGATCGGCTTTGGTGTCTGACAGCGATGCGGCGGCTTTTTCCGGAGATTGTTTTTCGGCATTTTTATCTTGCATTTCTTCATCGTGCTGCTCTTCTTCTTCTCCTGCTTCTTCTTCATTCTCCTCATCAATTTGCTGCAGCTCAGCAACTTCGCTTAGCGAGGCAAACATTTCGCTTCCGCTGCCTGCAACGGCACTAGTGCGGAGGTTGCTGCGAAGAATCTCCAGGCCTTGGTCGTGCGGGAAGAGCTGTGACAAATGAGGCAGAATGCTAGGATACATCCTGCCGTGCTGGTCCCTATAGGGGTTGAGGACGCTGGCGAGCATGGCGTCGCGGTTGCGTGTCAGGATGGCCGTTTTGTCGAGGTGGCCGCGGAGGGCGGGCTTGAGATGAGACTGCGGGAGCTGGGCTATGATGGCTGTGAGGAGCTCGTTGGCGGTGTTTCTATGGTCGGCTTCCAACGTGGGTGCTTCCGTAGCGGCGGCTGCTGCTTGGGGCTGGAGGAAGAGATCGGTGTTGACTGCGACGGCGCCGTTCTTTGTGCCTTTCCCGGTAGTGGCGGCGGGTTTCTCTGCAGGTTTCAAAAACCCGGCGTCTTGCTGTAGGTCGCGACAGCATGCTCCAACAAGAGGGTCCAACATGTCTACAGCAGGTTTAGATAACGTCGGCCCAGCAAGCTGCAGTATGGTGTTCAAAGTGGTATATCCTGCGATCCGGACGGATGGGATACCAATGCCAGACTTGAAGACGCGAATTAGGTGATCCAAGATTTCAGGGACCAAGGGCAGCATGTGTCTTTGCAGTCTTTGAAACAGAGCAACAACGAGCTTCATTGCTGCAACGTGAATATCAGGCATCAGGCTCCATAGCTCCTCCTTTTCTTCTCTGCCAATGGCTGGGTTGGTCTCGACAGCTTGCTCCCAGGTCTGGGACTTTGAGAGCCGAGCGACCAGGCAAATTCTCGATATGGTGTCGACCAATCCGCTGATTGGAATGGCAACTGCAGCTTTGGTAGGATAGCTTAGCAAATCGGCCAAGAACTGGAAGAGCCCAATTAACCGGTCAGCGCCAGCCTCGAGGCCGGACCAGGGAGGTAAATGCTCGCTAGAGCTGCCTTGGCCTTTTGGCTCTCCATCGACATCGACTTTGGATTGCGCACGGCCACTAGTCGCCTCCCAAGACTCATCGACGGCTCGAAGGACTTGGTCAGCAGTGAGGTGAAATTCTTGGAGGATTCCGTCGACAAGCTTCGCCCATTCATCACTGCCTCCCGACTTGGCTGCAACGAAGTGAAGAGAGGTCACTAGACGCCTAGCAGCTCGCTGCAGGCCCTCCGGGACAGAGATGTCATCTGAACAAGTCGGCGCAAGGTAGACTCCGACTGCGGTTCGGACCTGGGCGCTGAAAGGGCGAAAGGTAGGTGGATAAAGGGGGATGAGAGTTGAAAATGAGCTGCATATAGTTTCAATCAAATTCAAGGGCGTAGATTCAGATTTTGTCTTGATGAGCTGCAGGCAAGCCGTTCCAAAAGCCGGGAGGAAAGGTGTAGCAACTTCCCGCACGAGGGTTTGGTAAGGATGAACCAACATGAAAATCTTGGTGAGAGTCACGACTGCTAGCTCTTTAGACGCTGCAGGGTCGCCTTTCTGAAATATGTATTAGCCTTTTGAAATCCGTCATGACATATCGATATGCGAAATAGATGAGTCCGTACCTGTACAATTGAGAGCAGCCCGCGCACCCAAGCCTCAGAGCCGCGGAGAGTTTCCCAGCCTCCAACATCGACGGCCGCCTTGATTAAGCCAATGGCAGCGAATCTGCCCTCGCGACTCCGACCGTTCAGGTGAGTGGTGATGCTGGTCTTGAGCTTGTGCACAAGCATAGAAGTCTGAGACGCATCGCCTTTGAGCTTTGGGTCCTGAGGGGCGGATAGCGCATCGCGGCATCGAAGGACATGGCGGATGAGAGCAGGGAGGGAGTGAGGGAGTTGCGCCGGCGGGATGGAAGTGAGCTTCCGTGTGAGGACCCGGAGGTCTGTGGAGGCTGAAGAGGACATTTCGGAGTAGGAAAATGAAAGATATGATGTGATAAGATGGTGGTTTGAATATAATGAGACGAGATGAAATGGCAGAATTCTCGAGAGAAATCTGAGTGACACCGGAAGGGAGAAGATTCAATGTCAACAAGCTCGCAACCCACCAGAGGTGAGTGACACTTGTAGTGTCGACGGAAACGTAAACCGAGTGCCTTTGATATGGATATGCCCGAGAAATTATCGCCAATTGGTGTCTACATGCATCGGCTTGAGCTTCCGATGGTTGTAGTATCTGCTTCAATTGCAATGGCAAACTCGATTTTTTTTCTTTTTTCCCTTGCCTGTCTGGGCAAGGTTCAGGTACCTTGTCGGGCTACGTGGGGTTCCGTGTGGCGCCGCTGATTGGCCGCGCGGGAATCCTTTGTACTGATACTGAGATTGCTGCCCGCCCCGTGCATATTCAGTGCAGTGATAGTGCAGTGTCTTCGCTACAGGCGCTACCAATTAGGCGCTGTAATTGCCTGCCGCTGCCTGAGCGTGCGTTGATCCCAGCAGGTCATTGACCATCGGGTCTGTGTACGAGTACAGCCACGAGCTGCACTACGTCAAGGGTAGGATTTGCCTCTGCCACATGCCCCAGCCTCCCTTGGACATTGTTCATCTCTCAAGAGCCTCACCCCCCCTTTTCGCGTCATCGCGAACTCCTTCGTTTTTGCGTCCAGGTGGCTGGCCGTCGAAGCTTGAGCCGATCTCGTCAGCGGCGCTGTTTTTGCCTGCGTGTCGAGCTGCGCGTGTGCATCTGGGAGCTGGACAGCCGCTGGCCACCTTTGCCGGAATCCTTCGCTCCCCCCCTGAGCTGAGCTGGTCGCAAAATGACTGTAAGACAACTGCGGCCGAACCGACGATTGACGATTGACAACCAGATGCTAACGTGCTGCCATCAATCTCAGACAAAAGCAGCTCGCTATGCCGACTTGCTGGACGATGCCCGCTGCGAGGGCAACTGGCCAGATGTTCCAGAGCTGGTTCGCAAGGTCCGCAAACACGATCCGGCGCGAGAATGTATGTCAACTACACGGATCCGAAGCCCCCAATCGTCGTCTTCGCATGGAAGCTAACCGCAAATTGGCTTGCCACAGGCCTGACATTGACCGCCGAAACAGAATGCGCCATCTCCAAAGTAACCGCTGCTGGCACGCAGCCAACCGACCTCGACGTGCCCAACAGACTTCCGAAGCTTATGGCTGTGGTTGAGGCCGAAACTCGCCCCGAGGAACGATTCCAGGCTCAAGTCTGTGTTGGATGGCTACACTGGGTGGTTGGCGAGTATTCTTTGGCGCTGGAACGACTGCCCAAAAGTCTCAACGAGCAATACCCAGATATCGACCCGGCAAACACAGCATCGGAATGGACCAGCGTGTGTGCATTAAAGGCTGCCTACCTCAGGGCGAACATCCTAATGAGAGATGGACAGAGATTAGCAGCGCTGGCTGCGTTACAGGAGGGTCTCCCATCTTTGGATCGAGTCTGGTGTGGCCATGGCATCCGTAAACAGTTGCGGTACTGGTCGGAGCTGTTCCTGACTGAGCATTGTATGCTCACCAGCGAGGCGCTCCATAACAGCGAAATCTCCCTGGACGACCCCAATTCCATCTCCAGCTTTCGATCTTGGGCAAAATACTGGAAAATCATGTCCGCCCCCGTCGCAGGCGGTTTCGGATTCAAGGGCTCCGTACCCCGGAGGAGGATCTGGAATGAATACTATCTGGCGCTTTCCCGAATCTTGGAGAATGACCTACCTTATCCAACAGGGCAGGCTGAGAAGATGGTCGAGGATATGTCAGCTCGAAGTCAGTTGAGGGTAGAGGTCCAGCGGGCAGAAGCAGCCTATCAAGCCCTCTTGCTGGGTGAGACCGCCTTTCCACGAGCAGACGAAGAGCGCGCGGAAATTGAAACATTCGTCAAGCAAGTCATGATGAATTGGTCCATTTTGTGTGGCCGTGGATGGAGTGAGCAGGACTTGGGCCAAGGGGGCCGAGATCTCCTTAGCCGAACCGTGCTTGATACTTTGTACAGTGCCGCAACAAGGACCTATCACTCAACAGCCATTCTTAGATCTCTATTCAACGTTCACTTGTCGGTGGCTGAATTCGACCTGGCGTTCAAGGCGCTCGATTCCTACCTGGATATTCTTAAAAAGGGCAAGGCTCGAGTGGAGAAGACGGGACACCCAGAGCCGAGCTTGGATGATGACAAAACTGCTCTCGAGACCATGTCGCAAGGCATCATGATTTTATGCAGTTACGGTCACCAGGAAGCCGCAGAAAAGGCCCGACATCTGGGTGCTGAGCTGGAGGACTGGCTATCTAAACTCCCACACGTAAATGGGCAGGAGAATGGCACCCCTGCGATTGCGGAGGATAAAGAAGAGAGCGAAGTGCACTCAAATGCTCCGCCTCCTCAAACTGTGGCCCTCGCCTGGCAGGCCATTGGTCTTGCACATGCTCATTGGTCGCGGATGACGACTGAAGCTGGGTCGAGGGCTGAGATACAGTCCAAGGCCATCAGATGCCTTCGCAGGTCTCTAGCTCCTGAATTCGGCCGTTCAAAGGACGTCCGGAGCTTTTTCAGTCTCGGACTCTTGTTAGCCGAGCGGCGGGAGCTGGCTACAGCTATAGAGCTCGTTAGATCAGCATTAATAGCCGTACATGGGTTTGAAGAGGACTATAATCTGTTCTATGGACCTTATTGGCAGGAGAGGTCTCTTATCCCCTTGTGGCATCTTCTAGCTCTTCTTCTGAGCGCCCGACAAGATTATGTTATGGCGGCGAGGGCTTGTGAGGGTGCCTTGGAACAGTTCAAAGACCCAACCGTTGTCTTTGGCAAGTCAGACGGTGGATTTCGCAGCGAGCACCTCAACGACGCCGAAGCTAAGGCCGCGCCGCCAAGAGGGCTTGTTGATGATATGAGTGATGAGGAGAAGGTGGGCATCTTGGACGTCAAGATGACACAAATCGCCTTGGTTGAGCTCATGGAAGGGCCAGACGTTGCTGTAAATGCCAGCTTTGAGCTGCTGACTTTGTTTTCACGATTGTTCGGCAACATCGGCGTGCAGCAGCAGGCACTCAAGCCCCCAGCTCTTGCGGAGCCGCCAAAGACTTCACGTACGTTCAAGGGCAGCATATTTGGGTCACGCGCAGACCGGTCGAGGCCACCTACCAGGCAGATAAGCAACGCAACTCTGGGTGAAAAATCAACAGTGTCGGCAAGGCCTGCTACATCTCACACTACTGCTGCCAGCATCGCCCCGGCCGTTCAGGTAACATCGGAGAACGGAGATGGGCGATCACGGAGCGGCAGTCTGGGGGCCCAGACGCAGAGGAGCGAGTCCGGAAGAAGAAACAGCTTGAAAAAGAAAACTAGAAGCGGTAGCCAGCGGCGCAGATCATCGAGTGCGGGCGGCCTATCACATCAAGCCACGGTGGTTGGAGATTCCGATTTGACTGATCACGACTTCTTCTCAGCCTCTGGTAGACGCCTACAGTCTCGAATGGCAAATTCATCTCGAGGCAGGACGCTGTCGTCACTAAACTCGTACCTCTCCACGAATTCCAAGTACACTGACGATTCAGATATGTCAACTGACATTAGCATTACACTACCTCACCTTCTGCCTCTGATAAAATTCCCCAAAAATAAGGAGAAATCTCAACGAACAACAATTCTAATCAAAGTATGGCTCATGATTGCTGGTTTCTATCGCCGAGCGGGCATGTTGGAGGACTGCAAGGGAGCAGTTGCCGAGGCGCAGAAACTCGTCCAGACACTTGAAAGCGAAATGGCGAAAGAGCCGACCAGCGGATCGGGTTCCACCAGGGGTCCGGCTTGGGGTGAAAAGAAGAGCATAGATGAACTCTGGGGTGACATTTATTCCGAGGTAAGTTGTGCTATTCTAGTGATTGAAAATGATTCAATTGGCTAACATGATTCTCAAAGCTGGGTCTTCTGGCGCTCGCAAAGGAAACTCCATATACGGCTCGAACTGATTTTGAATCAGCTTTAACGTATTATCCCGATCATCCCGCAGCAATCGTTGGACTGTCCAATATCCTACTTGACATCTACAGCGAGAAGCTGCTTCCTACGCCAGCAATTCCTTCCTTGGATGGTCACGAGGTTTTTGATGATGTGCGTCCTGCCAAATCTGATTCTTCCTCGAGCGCCCTCAAAACCCTGCCATACACCCCGCTGGGACTCGTTTCCGACGTATACACTACCGAAACCCACTCTAGCGAAGGCGACGAAAAGGAGACAACCAAGGCTGCGGGCTCTGGTAGTGATTCTCGCGACGAGGACGAGCTCCCCGCGCCGTACAAGGCCTTTCACCTCCCTCTCGTCGACCGATTGGCTGCTCGTGACCGTGCCTTTACGCTGCTGTCGGGACTTACTCGTCTCGGCACGGGCTGGGATTACTCAGACGCATGGTTTGCGCTTGCTCGCGCCCACGAAGAAAATGGGCAGATCGAAAAGGCCAGAGAGGTCCTTTGGTGGTGCGTCGAACTCGAGGAGGCCATGGGAGTGCGTGATTGGCGCTGTCTCGCTGCTGGGGGCTACATCATTTGAGTAATGGGATGGGTCAGGCTCATTCCAACCGTGCTCTGATTTATTTATTTTATTTTCTGGACCATTTTGCACGGGGAAGAGAAGGGGGAGTTACATATAAAGATGGGCATCGTGTAAAGAAAGAGGAGGAGACTGTGATAAAGGACAGGGGGCCAGCAATGAAAGGTATAAAAAAAAGACATTAGAGCACTTAGGACGTATAATATCCCCCCCTACCCCCTCTTTCTTATTCTTTTTTCTTCCACAGCTGAGCGGCAGCGGCAGCGGCATTGGTTATAGTTTTTTTCCTTCTTCATTTTTTTTCTCTTGAGATAGACTTAATTTATGGCGGCCAAGCGAATTCCGCAGATATTGTCCATCATTTTACTCTTTTGTTCGTACAACGAAGCTATGGCAGCAGCTCGCAAAGCGCCCTCTTAATTTTCCTCAGCATCACGTAAACACAGTAGAAAAGGCACCTTAAGTTGGACACCAATGTTTTGGAAAAAAAAAAGAAAGAAAAAGGCATTTCTAGTCAGTCGCCTATACGAAATTTATTTTTATTATATATGCTACCTATCCTACCTACCCAACAAAAATCCTACCAGTCAATTGAAAAGCCCTCCCGTCCCAGCCGCCACGCATGCGCGTGAACCGAACAAATGAGAAATCTGTTTCTTCCTTGGTTCTCTTCGCCTTTAGACTTTTTTTGGTCCTTTTTTTTTTCTTTTTAGGAAACAGGAAAAATAAGGTCGTTTTATGGGGGGGTTGATTCTATGATATGCCCAAGTCGCCTTCTCTTCTCCCAGATGATAACTTTGTATTCCTGTGCCCGCCCTGTCCTGGTGCCCTCCCAACCCCCCTTGGTTCACGTTCACCACCACTAGACCACTATCCCGTGCCTTGTATATAATGTCATCAATCTCACGTGTATCATAATTCCTCCGTTACCGGCTGTTTAGTAGCTGCTGGAGGAAAGTCGAGAACTGCCTCTTGTCCGTTGAGGTTGTCAAGGATCGCAAAAAGTCATCGCCGTTGATCCCCAAGCTGGGGAAAACTTCGTTCTGCATCTGTCGGATGAACATGTCTCCTGTTTTGGTATATATAGTTTGCTCCAATGCCGCGATTTCCGTCAGAACTTGCTTTGTCTGAGCGTCGGTGGACGGCTTGAAGCTGGGATTCCGCATCACCTCCCAGCACGTGGAATGGAACCTATCCATCATGAAGTGATCGAATCCAGGGATAGCCGGGTTGGGATTGCCAGTTGGCGCCGTCGGCTCTCGTGAGATGGTGGCTACATCGGGACCGCCCCAAAGAGAAGAAATTCGAGCCATGATGGTAAAGGCCAGTCGGCTCGGGCCAAGATTTCCGTCCAAGGTCTTTGCCAACTCGAGGACAGAAGCAATCATTGGCTCAAAGAAGCCTTGATTTGCCTCGCTGATAAGAACTCCCTCCAGCCCGTTGTTTAAGATGATTTGGATGAAGGAGAGGTATTCTCGCCTAAGCTCTGCCAGCTGTATCTCGTCATCCGTGCCAGAGATGGGCTCTCCAAGTCCTCCAAAGATGCGCTGGAGTAGTGGTGTCAGCAACATGTTGAGAACATCGTAAATTTCTGACTTGAACCCAAACACCACCTGGTCCAAGAGGCGTAAAAACATGGCCATCTCATCTTTGGATGAGCTTTGTGAGAGCAATCCTTCAATCCACTTTGGAAGCTGCGGGAGAACGGCAGCACCCAATACACCCAGAAGTTTAGAAAACGCAGATCTGCAAGCCGTCCTGATTTCTGCTGATGAGTTCAGCTCACGAAGTGCAATGAGGATTGCCTCGGCTGCGCGAGAAAACTCGTCAGAGACAAGCTTGTCCGGTGGCCCATGCGGATTTGATGCGCTGGATCCTGGAGTCCAGTCGGAAAAGCCATGAGCAAGCGTTCCCAGTGCCATGACGATATGATGGATCTGCAAAGTTGCCTGTGCATCGCCCCCCTTGGCCCGAGGAAGATGGACCTCCATATCCTGGAACAGAGGATCCATTACCGATCGTGCATACAATGCCTGGTTTTCCGCTGGTGTGCTATGCGTAGAAGAGATACATCCAATAGCCTCGAAGAGGTAGAGCTGACTAGTGAAAAGAGCATCCGCTGAATGATCGGACTCGTCTGACGACATGTCATCATCTGCATCCTCTCCAGGCACTTCGGCCTTGATGGGCAGCAAATCTCCAATCGACTGTATGACGGTTTCGGCGACGTTTCCTACGCGAGACCGAAGCTGCTTGATGAATCTGTGGAAAAGGTACCACGACCGAGTCTTGATACGCACATGGTTATGGTGGACTAGACGCACGAAATTCTCCAAGACTTGGGGAATGTACTGGGAATGGGACTCAAAAACGGCACAATATCGGACGCAAATTTCCATGTATTGGAGAAGAATTGCGGGATGGGAGAAATTTGCGATTCCTGTAGTCAGTATGTTAGCAAAATGAGTGGGGAAGGATATAGGAACGCCTTGACGAGCAGCTTACCAGATTCGACCATTTTCTGCATCATCACCACCAGCCGTTCTGAGGCTTCAGAAGACGGTTGGTTCTTGGTGCCGAGTCCCTGATTCGGTAACGCAAGCTCTCCAAAGAGGTACATCTCGTGCAGCGCAAGGTCGAGGTCCCGCCAATCCATATGCGATCCTGCTTGGTCCAGCGATTGAAAAGTAGTCGCCACCAGGTTGCTCAGTACGTCCATGTATAGGCTCTGGTCGATGGCCGCGATGGTTTTCTGGAGATACTGCAGCCGCCTCCTGAGTTCTTGAAACTCCGCCTCGTCAGTTTGCTCGTCCTCATTTCCCCATGATGTTGTCTCGTCATATCTCATTTTTCGAATAATTGCATTCAGTATTGGCGACAGCATGTTGGAATATTCTTGGTTGAGTTGCCCCAATTTTCGAAGGAAAGTAAGGAGGTCAGTCAATGACGGGATAACAGTCGAACACACTTCGTCATATTCGTCGGAGAAGAATCGTAAAAGTAGGGGGAGAAAGCCATCCAAGTGTTGCTTGGCCCGCGTCCGTGTTTCGTCGTTGGCCTGATTATCGTCAAGAGCTCTTATAATATCCGCCACTGTGGTGTTTACAAGCTTTGCAATGGCCTCGGCGAGATCCGTGTCGTATTGTGGGGTGCCCTTTAAGTCGTTGAGCATGGGGCTGGCAACCAGCTGGCTCACAATATCTTGCAGATTAAGGAACGATATCATTTCCATCTTGTCTGCTGACCGCATTTTCTTGCCACAAATCTCGGTGAGGGTATCGATAGCAGTATCTCGCACCTTATCCTCACTGCCGGTCCGCCCAACGACGGGTAACAGCAGGTTAAGCATGTCGTGGCTGACGACTAGTGATATGTCCATCCAGCTAACCCACTTGCCGAGAACTTTCAAGACAAGATCAACAACGATGTCGTTTCCGCTGTACCTGGAAAGCAACTGCTTCCATGACTCGGCAACTTTCTGCATGTCCTGAGCACGCAGCTGGTCCTTGAGTTCCGTGTTTCGCTTCGAGTCGCCGCTCTCCCGTGACAGAAGCATATCTGCAATCTCGTCGTGCACAGATGACAGGACCCTCAGGTAGAAAAGCACACCAGCCACATTGTCGACGTTCTGGTGGAGCCCGGTCAAGTCGAGGAAATCGTCGACGAAGCTCTGCCAGCCGTCACGGTAGAGGAAGACGAAAAGGTATGTCAAGGTCTGCGTGAGCTTATTCTGGAGGTGAGCGGGATCTGGATCCTGCTGAGCACCCGCGCCATAGGCCTGGCGGACATATTGCAGCAAGGTATGTTTGAGAAAAGCGAGGCTCTCTCCATCGAGGCCCTGTGTATGGACCGCAAAGTTGACAACCTCAAGACATACCATGCGCACGACCTCGGACGTTCGGGGGATTCGAGAGAATAGATTCGTACACGCCTGCCATCCTTGCGGGTCGCTCCTCAGCTGGTTCAAATATTCAAATGCTTGCTCTTTCACCGACGGATCGGAAGCGGGATTCGACAGAATCTCGACGGCATTCTCGACCTGGAAACCATGACCATTAGCTATATGCCGAGCCTCAGGTAACAAGAAACAAGTCATAGAAACAGGTGCCCGCTGAAGGAGATATTATGGAGACTATTCTTTTCTTTGTCTTCTTCCTTTTCCTTCCATGATGGCTTCAGAGAAAAATGGCCGATGGCGGGGCACGACAAAGGCAGCAGCTGGGGTCTCGTGGCTACGACACATGCAAACTGACGTACCTGACTCTCCATACTCGAAAAAATTCAATGTCACAAGGAAAAAAACACCAGAGGAGCTTGTATGCTAAAAGGGGATGCTGCTATAATTCTGGCAGCCTTGTGAATGCAGCATCCGCATGCTTATGATTATTAGGCGGCGACAAGGCTACCGCTGCGGCATGCCTAGGTCGGAAGGGTGTTGTTTTTTCCTCCTTGTGTCGTAGAAAAGTTCGACCGGGGGAGGCAGGTCACGAGGCGAGGCTGGTGTTGAAGGGGTTGGCAATGGAGGAGAACCACAGCAGCCAAGGTCAGCTTCCACTCGTCGCTCAGACACAAAATGTGCGTCTTTATTCGCTATTTCAAAAGTCGGTGCAAGCTGTGGGGTGGTACATTTGGAAGAAGTTTGAGGCGGATGATTTTCGGGCAAAATCCAGCGCTGTGGGCTGTGGGCACGGAGACCGCACTGTGTGTGATTCCAGCCTTTTTGGTGGGATTTGTACAGTGCGGGAGATACAAGCTCACTCGGTTATCACAGATATATATGAGGCTGTGATGGTACAAGCTTCATCCTCCCTTGAGAATATGCATGCAGACAGACGGAGCTCTTACATCAACCGGCATCTTGGATAGCGCTACGCTCACTAAAATGGCTTATTACAAGCTTGTTTTACGAATTTCAAAAATAGATTCGGGCCGTACCATGGCGAATGGCATACAAGATTGCCCTTTCACGTGCTCACGTGAAGCATTGCGAAGTTCGCATCCATGCCATATCCATACGGCAAAGTCCAATAGTCGCGGGCCACGCAGCCCAAAGCGTGGGCGATATTATCAGCGAGGCCAATAATAGGCTCTATCAGTCTGGAAATGAGCGGCGGTGGGCGTAATTCGGCGAAGTTGAGCGCATTGTTCATGTGTTGTTGACAAACAGCGTAAGCAAATCAGAAGCCAGATGCCCAACTTGGGAGGCACCAGGTGGGCATTATATACGTCTTGTACGGAGTAAGCATCGGGGGATCCGCCTTGTCCCTGCTGCATGGATGATTGATCAATATAGTAGAGTCATGGCCTCTCTGTCTCTGGTACGCGTAAAGTAACATGGATCAAACAGTGTGACGTAAGTCGAATACCTGACGCAAGCTGATATCTGCATGTGGTGTCTTTGTATGGTCGTACCCTATACCATGATTGTAATTTGCATGTCGGTTCTATACAATTTAGACATGAAGAACGAGACGATGAAATTATTGTTTGAGGCATTCTACGGAATAATGCTGGAGTAATTCATCACCCATTTAAGCCTTTATGGGCACAGTCAAGCAGAAGTCGGGAGCAGATCAAGATTTGATGTCAGTTCACCAGCATCTGACAATGAGGGTGAACTGAACACACCACCCTCATAACAAACTTCTACAGATTACATAGAGCTAATCAGATCTCATCAAGAATGCTAAACACCATTCCCTAGAGATGCCACATCTAGACACTTCCTTCACAACAGGGCGCAAAATCAACAGGACACAATGGTAGAAAGATCAAAACCCGGGGGACTCCAGAGCCACGTTGAAAAGCCTGGGCAATACTATCGCTGATGGAACCCCAAAGGCATCGTTACATTAGGCTACCTGAGTTAAAACAAGCGAAAATTGGGAGCACTGCTCGTAACATTAGCCATGAAATATGGCCGTGCGCATGTAACCAACCGATATTCTGTCATTTCGTCTCTCGTCTCGTGTCGCCGTCCAAAACCAACCTTATTTCTGGCCTGCGAGAGGATAATGGGCAATACGGAAACTCCCAGGCGATCTCAAGGCCCATGGAAATGATGATATCAGGGGTAGAGGTAATCATCTCATGAGAATACTTGCTTGCAACCGCCAGCGATACGAGGATAAACAGAAGCGCCAGCAGACAGTCAGTACTGTAGCAGGATGAGACTGACAGTCAACGTCATTGCAAGAATGAGAGCAGAGCTACTTGTGCGATCGACAGGAGTCTTCGTCGCCAAGCAGTAAAATGAATTCACCAGCTTGTGAGTATCACGGCGCCAATGCAGCTGCTGGGTCTATCGGCGGATAAAGGCACTCAGCCAGCGCGCCGACGCGATGATCTATGGGGAATGAGTTTAATTGAAGGAAACGCAGGGGAGAGCACGCGGACAAATCTACTGCACTGGTGGTGCAACATTCTGCACCTTTGCCCTCTCTCACCGCCATCGGTTGCTATGCCATTTTCTCCATCGCCACAGCAGCAGCAGTACGAGTATAGTACAGTAGTCATGTTCCCTGTCCGCCCTCCAGAAAATGGAGCAGTGCCGGTTCCCAATCCAGCTAAACGACTCTAACCACCATCTTAGAACATCTTAGAACAGGAGGAGCCAAGTCTTATTAGCACCGAGTAGCTTCGGGCTAATCATGGCCAAAGGTCGCATCCCCTCACTCGGCCGCAGCCAATGCCGCCGATTCACCTTCTCAGAGCAGCTTGGGCGGCCGAATAGCTCTGGCTGCGGCTAATTTGCGAGCTCCCCCATCTTTTGGACTGGCCGAACGAGACACCTTCTTTCTGGCGACTCCACTGAATGCGGGCGGCCGCAGAGCAAGATTGGCTCGAGGCAAGCCACAGAGGGCACAAATCTCCAACAGATGGGCGGATGGAGGACGGTTCCTGCATTAGCGCTCGCGTGGCGGTTTTTCCATCGTCGAGTGTGCTTGCCATCGTGTTTGCTGACGATGCCAAATCTAGCCCTCGAGGAGCGAGACTACCGCCGTATTTGCGGAGTAGCAGACAGCCTACAATATCGCTGTGACATTCATATTATGGATACTCGCCTCTGCTTCCAGTGCCGGTTGCGATATTTACTGTACGAGTACTTGCTGGTCGGTCGGGGGATAGGAGGAGCAAGCAACAATGCCAGCATCGGCACGGAAAACTCCGCGCTGCCCGGACAAATGTCACCGCTTCTTCACCTCGTCCCATGCGACACTGCTTTTCGAGAAGTAGATTTGCAGAAATCCCTTCAGTACCAGCATAAAGACTGATACGGAGTACGACTATTCCTCGGTTGATGCTAGTCGCGCTGTCTGACGACTCCACCCGGTCAGCAAAGAGACCTGGCATGCCTTGCTAGTAGCACAAGCAATATATGGAGCAACGCTGTTGATGCCAGTATGAGGCAAATGCAGAGCTCTCTCTCGCTGGGCTCGTTTACCCGTCCTGTAACGTGCCAAATGGGTTGGGCTTATACGGTGCACGTGGGGAGTTGCTTCCTCCTTGCTGCTGTTCTGGATTCTGCTACGACAAGGGCAGATGCCCCCCTGGCGTACGATGGTACCTGAATTCTTGTTTGTTTGGAAAGATCTGGAACTGTGCCAAGACATGGCTCCAAGAAAATAAACACGACTGGCGAATATGCTAATACTATACGGTTATGAGGAGGATCAAGGTTTCCAAGCTCTCGACAGCAGGATCTCGGGACTTGCAAACACACATGTCAACGAGGCAACTGGTCAACAAAATACGAAGAAACGCCACTGCTGCTGCTCGAATGAAATAAGACACTACTAGTATTAGTGAGGACACCCGGGCTGCAGACGGCGTCTGGAAAATCCCCTGGTGCGAAGAGATATCCATTACAGGAAGGTTGGATGGACTCGGCCACTAGATACCTTGGATATCATCCCCGGCAGCTCTGGATGACAGCGAATACCACTGCTGCTACTATACCTATGCTTCTCAGTAGGTCGGCATCTGTGTAGGTAGGTAGGTACGGATGCAACATCAAAGTACAGAATACTCGGTACTACTCCGTACCTACTTTGTTATGATGGGATGAACGGCCACGGCTGGCTTCAGGATGCTTCACTTGCTCAATAAACAGAGGGAGGGGTCAACTTCGCCAATCTCGCCAACCTCATGCAAGTCCTAGCCGTCTGTCGCCCCCCTTCCTCCCTCCTTGCGTATTCCGATGGACTTGTCGCAGCCTGGGCAACACTGTCATCAAATGCTGCCCTTGCAGAGCCCACAAAATAGATCAACTTGAGACCGAGTTCTGAAAACAAAGGCGCAGAGGCCCGCCTCCCGAGCCGATCGGTCAAGATCCTTCAGCCGTGTCACCTTTGGAACCGCGCCAGAACGTGATGCCTGTGCAAGGTACGGCGCACAGAGTACAGACAATACGAGCATGGACTATTGGCTCCAGAGATTAAAGTGCAAGCATAATCACACTTGTAACCAGCGGAACGATGAAGCCGGCGACTAGCAGAGAGACGACGAGGTACTTGTTCGCGTACTCCGTCCTCTCTTCTCCGTGGAGGGTATTGCTGCCGAAGAAGCTCCAGTCATTAACGAGCGCCAATTTAGCAGGTTGAAATGAAGGCATGTATGTCTTGGTTGAATTATCAAGGACAGCGAGTATTTTACAGGTCTAGAAGGATGGCGGTAATTAACGATCCATCTCTAGGTACTCGTACGAGTATACTTGTATACCGCCACCACTACGAATATCGCCGTGCTCATTGAGAGAGAGAGGATGAGTAGTGAAGGCGCATAATTTTCCTCCTCTTGTCTTGTGGACGGGCACCATTGCTTCAGCCATTCATGCCCAATTGCTCACGGCGATTTGCATTTCAATTGCCTCGTACGGAGGACTCGCACAAAGCGGCCAAGGCACAAGCAGGGGTCATGGCCAATGGCAAGGTGATCTGTTGCCGCTGCAGGAGCACAAACGCACAACGCACATGCTGATGTGGCTGCTCATTCGCGCGTTGGCCCTGGCCGTTTGCCACACAGTATGGAGCGATGTTGTACCTGCAGAAATCAGAGACAGGGGTGAGCTGGTCTTAAGCCTGGGAGGGTTCGTGGGTCCTCCATCTTGGCTCTTCTGAGAGGCGGATGAAACTGGCGCGACAAGCATCTCCACCTCGACATCCACTTGCGAACCCCCTAGATTGGCATCCGTTCTGGACGCAATTTCCCGGGGTATCCAATGGGTGGCAATCGAGGTGAGGTTGTTTGTTCGTCGATATGCCTATTAATATGAGGCCACGCTCGGTCGAGGAGCTTCTTCTTTTTTCCTCTCTTTCTTCCTCAGCCCACAAAGCATAATCGCCAGCTCGCTCTGACTTCGGTCGTCCATTCTTTCAAACAAACCACTTGCAAACAAAGCTTTACGCTTTCTCACACTCTTTCTTTCACCAACAAACCAACTTCGTTCTTCAAGAACCACCAAAAAAAAGACAATCAAGATGCGTTTCACCGTCGCCGCTGCTGTCCTGGCCACCTCGGTCCTCGCCCAGGAGCCCGTCTCCACCGACTACACCACCGAGTTGGTCACCATCACTGCCTGCCCTGAGACCGTCACCAACTGCCCGGCCCGCCAGCAGACTACCTCCGTGGCCACCAACTACATCCCCCTGACCACCTCTACCGTCTACGCTACCTCCATCCACACCATCACCTCGTGTGGTCCTGAGGTCACCAACTGCCCGGCTCACAGCACTGTCCTGTCCACCGAGACCATTGCTGTTTCCACCACCATCTGCCCGGTCACCGCCTCTGCCACCCCCACTGTTGTCCCTACCTCCCAGGTCTGGTCCAACAGCACCGGTGTTGTCTACCCTACCGGCCCTGCTGGTGGCGCTAGCTCTGCTCCCGTCTCCGTCCCGGTCTACACTCCTCCCGCCGCCTCTTCTCCCGTCTACACTCCTCCTGCTGGCTCTTCCCCCGCTGTCACCAGCGGCTATGCTGCCCCTACCGGCGGTGCCCCTGGCTACCCCATTAGCTCTGCTGCTCCCGTCTGCCCCAGCAGCTCCGTCATTGCTGTGACCAAGAGCTACACCACCGTCCTCACCTCTGTTGAGTACCAGACCGTTGCCGTCCCTTGCCCTACCGGCCCTGCTGGTGGCAACCCCGGCCCCTCCGGCACCGGTGCTGTTCCTCCTCAGCCCACCGGCCCTGCTGGCAACGGAACGTGAGTTTTATATCCCTTTTTGATATCGAGATTTGACCAGATGTACTAACTCTTCTACTAGCACTGGTGTTCCCCCTCCCGTCAGCGGCGCTGCCTCTTTCGCTGGCTCTGCCGTCTTCGCCGCCGTTGCCGGTGTCGCTGCTCTGATCCTCGCTTAAACGTTTCCTTTAAGTCATTTTTGAATTAAAGGCCTGCGGGACATGGCAAACACACACGACAGGCGCCCCTGAGATCTGGTTGGACATGTACAGAAGTTGAACTAGAACTTATTTTTCAATAATACTAGAGTTTACGGCAATCGGGATTATACCCCTTGGAGTGTGTACTTAATATTCTAATTGCACGGGCGTTCGCGGGGACGATCCCGTCAGACAACCGACTGCGGGTCTTGTCCTGGATGTCTTTTTTGAACGAAGCATTTTTTGGTCACGAACTGAGATATCAACTTTTAACGACTGTGCTTTTTCTTAGCCTTTTCAAAATTACTCTTGTTACTCTTTTACACCTTTTCTGTGCGCATGCTCCGTTTCACCGTGATGATTTGATTCGTATTAGCCGTATTATAAGCATCGATCGAGAGGGGACTGCTTTGACCCTGAAGGAGAGAGTCTTTTTTCTCCTCATTCAACCGTATACAAATGGCCTGGATGGGGCCCCCTTGTCGATACTCATTTCGCCAAGCGCCAACTTGCCTCTGTGGGCATAGCTTGGTGCGCACGACGGAAATTAGGCCGAAAGAAGGTGACGGCCTATGTTGATTGGGCGGGGATCGAGATGAAGTACCACGCGACAATGCTGCCGAGTTTGAAGTCATCTGTGCGTAACGAGTCAATGGAGAGGAGGGGCGTATTGTGCTGATTGTCAGTGTGGGTTTTTTGGTATTGTCGATCTGTTGGATTACATCAGACGGACGATCCGGGATGGACGCAAGGACGGTGTTTTATGTGAATATGAGGCTTTTGTTGAGTCTTGGTTCCAGCGCTCATACATGGTCTCATGGACTGTGTAGGCTACTGTCAAAGGCGAGAATGGGTGTCCCAGTTTTGTTAGATACCTAGGCTGCGTCTTGTAGATTTCTTGGCCTCTTCCTTACCTCAAGATCATGGGATAGAACTATCAAGTTCTGGAATGAGATAACGGGTAAAGAGCAGCAAACACTGAACCATAGCAACAGGGTGTGCTCTGTAGCCTTCAAAATTCTCAGCAGATGGCCGCTCACCTCTAGATTAGAAGATGACACTATTAAGATCTAGGATGCAATAATGGACAAAAAGCGGTACGCAGATAAGGTTAATACTGCAACACATTCTATATCCTTCGACAATACAGTCTCTTACCTACATACTTGAACAAAGGGATTTGACCGGCCTTGTGATGAATCAATAGCTAGGCTTGGTGACTAAGCTGGGTGCAGCCCGGCTTCTAGATATAAAGTGGATTGTTTTCTCTAGCTAGATACCTAGGAAAGACAAGACAAGTTATTTGCTTTAACCGCTATAAATACCAAGGCACGAAAACAAGTCAGGGAATCATTTGATCTCGCTTCTGACATTGAGGCGAGTAACTTGTCTGAGTTTTTCTATCTAGAGAGAGAGGGCATTCCATTTATATCTCGTATTCTTCCGGCTTAGTCACCAAGCCTAGCTATTGATTAATCAACTGGTTAATTTCCTCATGAAATTCACGACATCAAAGTACATAGTATAGCACAAGCCAAAAATACCAATGCAGCTTTTGGGGTTATCCAAATCGAACAACTATTTCACCTCTACAAGAAGAAGATGACGCCATACCCCGGACTTGGCCTGCCCCTGCGGCAGTATCCTCGAGATGGGAAGAGGTTTTACCCGCTAGGTCTACACGCCGAATGCGTTGATTCAAACTCCGCTCTTCTTCCCGTGCGCGAGGTTGCGATGATGAATATTATGGAACGATTAACTGACAAAGAAAACTGGCACAAAATGATCTTCGACGACGAGATTGTAAAACAGTGGCGGGAAGAAGCGCTCAAGCATCCTAATAAACTGTATTGGAAGCAAGCCACTGATAACAAAGGAGCCAATGCTATTAATGACGTGCGACGGCCGCCAGCGATTATGGATACCGCTACTTTTGGCTACGTTTGTCTCACTTTTGAAAGCCGTGATATACAATATGCTGATCGGACAAGTGCGTGAAAGAGCTTCGGAACAAATCCAACTACTACATTGAGACGGGCATAATCCCTACTCTCGATGCATCTGCGACGATCGTGAAGTCAGACTTATTAGTCCAGGCAGGCCTCCGAGTTGAATTGCAGGAGGCCTTCAACAAGCTCAAGGCAGACCAAGGATCGAAGCTCAACTGGCGCCCAAATTCTAATGAACAGGTGCTGGATCTAGTACATCCTTCAATGTACCCTCTAGTATATGGGCGAACCGGGGTACTTCAAGATGAGGTTGTCGGCACTACTGATGCGATCGATAAATGGGCGGGAAAAGGAGAACAGATCGCGAAGGAGACGACTCCAATTCGCCGGGATGCAGATTCGCTGCCGGCCTCTCTGTGGTCTGACACGTACCAATGGCTTCCTGCCAATGTTAGATTCATGGAGGATGGGACTGTCAAGTTTACGAGCTATATCAACAATCTACATCCTCAAAAGTACGCGCAGATCTATCGCACCATCGAGAAGCTTATCGAAGCCGCCCTCCCCACCTGGGATCAGTGCCTATCTCTTCCACTGGAGCGTGGAACAAAAATTGGCGCTGGACGCACTGAGCCTCGGTTCCCAAAGCAGGATCTGAAGTAACTCTTGGAGTTTCCTTATAGGTTATCTTTTTGTCTCAGCGACTAACCAGTTATCTAGTGATTATGTCTCGGAAATCTGGGATCCTCCAAGCCCTCCGCCGCTAGATGACGATGATGATGAAGACGATGATGAAGACGATGATGGAGACGATGATAATGATGATGATGAAGATGAAGATGAAGATGATCCAGCCTTCCTCGAATGGAAAAGAACACGAAAACCAGTGCACCCCTCTGTGCCCGAGTTCGAAGATATTGAATATACCCCGCGTGACACAGCTCGTCTCGCCCATAAATTTAACAAGACTGGCCTTCAAGTCATAGTTAAAATGACTTCTATCGAGCTCACGCCGGAGAAACCAGAATTATCTGCTGAAGAATGGCACGTACGTAAGGAGTGCAGTCACCAAGATTTTATGCCCACATACTTGACCTCTATATTAACATGGCAAACGTTAGGTCAAGGGACAGATGAACGAACAGATCTGTGCAACGACTCTATATTGTGTGGATAGTGACAACATAGCTCCTAGCAATATCCATTTTCGTATGCAAACTGCACAATACATTCAAGGTCAATATCCGACAATTAGACATGATGCAAAAACCTGGTTTGAGCGCACCCACGGAACGAGCCTGGTGGATGGGACATGTCTTCAGATTTACGGAACCGTGCAAATGCACGAGGGCCGCCTATTGACGTTTCCCAACGTATTGTGAGTGACAATAATAGTTTCCTCTCAATGGAGATATATCCTCATTTGATGCTTACGAATAATTCAGCCAGCAGAGGGAATCTTCAATCAAGCTAAAAGACACTAGCAAGCCAGGTAGCAGACACCTCATCTCACTACAACTTGTCGACCCCAACGCACGAATCATTTCTACAGCCAATGTTCCGCCACAGCAGCATGACTGGTGGGCCAGCGCAGTCTTTGGGCAGTCTCTTCAGTCCGACAGCGCTGCCCTAGCAAAATTTCCTCCCGATCTCGTTGCGATACTACAACAGAAGGGATTCGTTAGGGATTCGCCCATCTCTGGTGGAAAGCTGCCTGTTGAGCTGTTACGCATGGTGCGAGCCCACTTATACAATAACGAGTCCGGCATGCCGATGAGTGAGGAAGAAGCCCAAAAACATCGGGCTGAACTACTGACCGAGCGCATCGAGCACCATATTAGAGCCGACCTTGCCTGGTCAAACCGTCTATATTATATGTTCCTTGGTTAATACGCGCCTTCGCGTCTTGTGTCTTTTAAACATATTACAAGTGGTGAAACTAGAGTAGGCTGCTTAAGTGAATACATAATGGATAGACTATGATGTATAGAGAGTGCTATAACGTCCAGAAATGAGCTCTTGTCATTCTGTGAGAATATAACGGTACTGGAACCTGGCGAGGTAGGCCAAGGAATATACTTAGGCCATTCTGGAATAGTATGATATGTAGCTGACATGGCAAGGTTGCCCTACTACCTTTATCTTCACTTGACAGTCTGTTGTCATGTAACGACTCTCAATCGCAGCTTTTAACACCTATACGTAACATGAATTGAAATGGGGCATGTATCAAGATGTATCCCGAATGGGATGTAAGGAATAGGACGAAAAAGCCTGCCACTATCCCACGCTCGATCCATTCGCTGCTATCCCAGCTTCTTTGCCACAAGAATCCACCACCTACTTGGCAGCAAATCGACTTCTGCGTCTCAAAGTCCCTCCATAAAAATATAGCACGAATATTCCAATCACACCCCCGCAACTCAGTCCAGCTAACAAACTGACTCCCTTCCCGACACCCAAGTTGATAAACAGAGGCCGCGAAAAATGAATTGCGCCGCATCCCAGAGCGCTCCTAACGAAGTCATTTGCCGCAAACAAACTGGCGCTGTACTGGGGGTAACTTAGAGCGATGTAGATGAAGATTACCTGGAAGATGAGGAATATCCCGAGGACGACAATTCCTATGCCAATGGTGGGGACGATCCAAGGAATCTCTGGGCTAGAATTTCCCGTCCAGCCAAACATGAACAGGCCAATGGGAACCAAGAAACTGGCGGGAAGACCAGGAGCGAGACGGCGCTCCGGCTCGCCCAATCCATGCTTCACAATACTGGGTTCAAAAACCAGCTTAAGGTACCCAACATAGAGAGCAATAGATATAGAGACACCCACGCTAATGGAAAGGAATATAAGACCGACCTGGCCCTGGTTCAAGCCGTAGCCATGAGTTGGGGAGGCAAGGCCAGGGAGACCAGTAGCGTATACAAACGGGAACACTTCGAAAAAGGAGTAGAAAATTGCGTACATGAGGCCAGTATACAGACTGGTAAAGAGAACAGATGGATCGAGGATATTAATCTCAAACGGTCGCCAGAGATTTTGCGAAACAACTTCATTAACCGATAGTTTAGATTGATCGATTTCCGATTGTGATCGTAAGTCGCTCCTCCCAGTAAGCCGGCGGAGACGTCTGGCGCGCTGGAGCAGGATGGTGGCTGAAGATGTTTCAGGTAGGAAAAAGAACATGAAGACGAATATAGGAGCGTTAAGCCAAACAATCTCCCACAAAGACCAGTGCCAGTTTGTGGCCGGAACCGAGAAGCCCGAAAGGAGAGGCCCGATAGCAGGCCCAGTGGTCGCAAACGCTGCCCAACCGGTGAGTGCGTACGGCAGCTCAAGAAGATTGTAGATGTCGCCAAGAGACGCTCCGCCGGTGGCCAAGCACGGAGATCCAAAGAATCCCTGCAGGAAACGCAAGACGATCAATCCAGGAAAGTTATTAACCACAGCGGTTCCAATAGAGATGAGAATGAAGGCAAAGTATGTGAGTATATACGGTGGATTGCGGCCAATGACTGGAATCTCGGACAGAGGCGCAAATATCAGAGGGCCGATGCCGTACCCAAGGACGTACATGGAAAGGCTCAGCGAAGTAACTTCTGGCGGGGTATGGAATATCCGCTCGATATCTGGTGCAGAGGGTGTTATGATGGCGGATCCAATGTACACTGAGAGTGTGTACAGGTAGATCTGAATGGTACATGAGAGTTTCTTTGATGTCGGCCAGTTTTGTGGGTTGTCCTGATCATTGGTATTGTACCAATCGACCAAAATAATGCCCGTGTCCGTTACCTTTGGTTCGATCTTGGTTGCCATCAGCCTCACCGTTTCTTGGCGTGTCGCATCGGCGTATGCCTGTGCCAAAGAAGCTGCAGTGGAGACTCGCGACATCTGTGGTCGAGACATGATTCTCGAAATCTCTTGGGTTTCAAGATCGTTTTCATCCAAGGAGTGGCTTTCCAAATCCTCAGTCTCTGGTGTGCCTGCCGTGCGACTTGCATCTTCTCCCTCTGCGCCATCCACGCCCTCCTCGCGTTGCGTGACCGGAGGATTGTAACAAGTTGGACAATGGAATATTGCTTGATCCTCTGGATATTTGAAAGCTTTGCCTCGAGTTACCCATCGCATTAACGTGCCAAAGGCCGTATCACGAAACAAGGGAGCCATAGCGAGCCGGGCCTCCAACGACCTCAGTCCAAAACAGGTTCCCGTTTCTTGAAATAGGAATTGATGTCTCAATGGAGATTTTTGATCTCGAAGGGTGCTGCTGGACAGAGTCGTTAGTTGGAGACGTCATTATATGCTAGCAAAAGCTAGCTATACCGATCACTCTAGCAGATGTGACGCTCACTTTATTCATCAATAGAGTATGGCCGTCTTGTTTTAAGCTTTCACCTCCTCTTCAATTGTCCCTACGCTCACCTCCTTCATTTCAAATGGGCGTCTTTGGAGATGGAATCAACGGTTGATGTTTATACCCCTCTCCAAATCGCCCATAGCTCCGCAGCTTCCGATAACAACTGCCAAGGACTTAGGTGCAGAGAGCATGCCTGAACAGTTAAAGGAATGGTAGTCTAAGCAAAGCTAGTATAACTTAAAGGCGTGAGGTACGTGTAACTGTTGATGGCATATACTTGGACAGCGACCACTTAAAAACTGGCGGACTTATTCAAAGGGGGTTTAGTAGCAGCTGCTGTCTGCGCCCCATTCCGCCCGACGAAAGTGCTTGACGCCGCTGGTCGTAGCCAACAGTATTATTCGTTGACCTTAAATATGACGGCACTGGGTCGAGCTACGACTTGGCTAAGATTGATCAGTACTAATATAATCATATAATCATGTCTAACTACCTATTTGGCGACACACATTTCGACTTCTATTGTACGGTACCTGGGCAGTACCAGTGCCTCTCGCACTACTGAGGTAAGCCGCATAAGCCACATCTTGGCCGTAATAATGTTTCAAGGTTATCTCACAAAAACACCCATTTCTCCTTTAACAGTTATTTCCAAGGAAAAGAAGAGAAATACTGGTAAATTCACACTATAACCTGTTATACCCAGTTCGATCAAACATTCCTAGAATACCTCAAGTTGGTACTTTGTTTTATCACCGTCATGTTCACCATCCTCTTCAACTCTGTTCAAGGTTACACGCTTTTTATCAACCCCATCATCACTATTAGCAACTTGATTGCCATCCCAAGGGCCCATTCCCAAGACTGGCCCGCGTCTCGCAATTTCCACAGGATCATATTCAGGGCAGATAGCATTGCTTTCGACCCTCCAGCGCATATATGTTCCCAGCACTAAAGCCAATGCAGGGACAAGCAATATAAGTAAAACCAGCGGGTGAAACACGTAAACCGGATCTGTAGTCGTAGTCGTGATGGTCACGTCCGCCGCTCCTGGGGACCGCACAAAGGCCACAAGAGTCGCGGTGTTGAAGATATTCTGCATACGCTGAGCTACCTGATCAGCCGAGGAAGCGGCCTTGGGCTTGAGCAAAAGAGTGCCAAGTGCGCTGTTGTATAGAGTGTCCGAAGTGTCCCCCGCGATACTCTTTGCATTGAAGTAGTACGGACTTTTGTCAGCGTTCTCCCTGTAGATGCGGCGGATTGGAACAATGGGAGATGGCTGTCTAGACGAGGTGTTTTGCTGGTAGGAGCCCGACACAATGACAGGCGCTTTGGTACCATCCTGTGTGATATTGAGACTGCCGTATGTCAAAAGGCAGTCTACTGTATTGAGGTACAGATTTTCCGTCTGTGGATCAGTTCCGTTGACGAAGGCGCCGAATATAACAACAAACTTGCCCGGGCACGGCTCCATATCACACCCCTGGGGATACCCAGAGGTGAAATTGACGTATGTACATGGATCTCCACGGGTGAGAACGACGTTGATTTCAGGGTTGTACGCGCTAGTATATGTCTCATTTTGCTGTTCAGTCGAGATCATGGGTTGATGCACCGCGCTGGTTGTTTGGCATTGTGCTTGTATCGACCCTACCTGTGCCAGCAACGAACATTTCGAGCTTTTACAGATGATTGAAGATGGAACTGTAAGGTTGCTAAGGTAAGTCAGCGCGGCTACCTCATTGAGAACGTCAGAGGCATCTCCGCCGTTATACTGGTAGTTTGCCTGGTCAAGGTAGCCATCTCATATTTCAACAGTAGCCTGAGAAATAGAGTTGGAAGTTGTGGTAACAGAGGATAGCGAGATGCCAGAAATGAGAACCGGGCTAACGATCGCCGTAGCGAAGAGCAATGGACCGGCTACTTTGAGAAGAAAAGAGCTCCCTCCGAAGGGATAGAATAGTCGGCCGATGGGGGAGACTGCCCACGTTGCCAGTCGATGCGCCTCTCCCACCGTCAACGGCCTCTTTACTGTCCTAGGGCTTAGTTTGAGCCACAGTGACTGTTCAACACATGTTGTAGTGAATGCAGAGGTGGCAGCAACACAAACATTAGAAATTAGCGTGACTGCAGTGGTTGGCTTGAGACCAGAAGCATTGGGTTTGGTGAGAGACGTAATGTGGAATAATGATGGGTTTACGAAAAGTATAATAAAGAGCACGTAGGAAGTGATTATCGCAAGCAGCAGCACGATTTGAGTAATGATTGTGATTTCCCTTGAACGGGCGTCACAAAATGCTTTGACACTTCCCATAGTAGGCAACCAAGGAATATGGGTACTTACTGAAAAAAAAGGAGTTCAAGGGTGCAGCTTTGGTTGCATCTAGGATGCGCTCTGGTTCCAGGATTATCACACTTTATACACTGTTGAATTCGAACCTGTATCGTTAGTCGCGTGAGTATAGGTTGTATATCATCAGAATGTGGTCGAAACTATTCACAGCCTCAGTACTATTATTTTTGTAGCCAAGCTCAAGATCACGTCTGAGTGGTCGAAGTTTGACGCCTTCTTGAGGTTCTGGAGCTCCCTTATAAGGATGCTCTGGCGTTGGGCGCCACTCCCCAATGTCTTTTGTTTCCAATCGTTGGATGGCAAAATTGTGGCACCGGCTCGGTTGTTAACATCAACGAATCACTCGCTTCTATCGATTTGGTAAATATTCCGCCGCTCTAGCAGCTGTTGCGCCTTGTTAGCGCAGCGCGGTGTTTTGACAGGCTAACTGGACAGCCTCCCCGCTAGGGACTATCGAGTCCTAATAATAGCACATAAAGAGGAAGCAATTCGGAGAGCTTCAACTTTCTCAAGAGCTAGCTGCCGCCTCGTAAGAGGCAACGTCGGCAAGTTCTGTGCGTCGCTTCGCAAGAGGCTCTGCCGACAAATTGTCTCGCAAGAAGCTTGAGCTACAAGTTAGACTTGCTGTAGAACGTGAAACTAACTAATGCTGAATATACTGAGTGGATGAGAATGGCTTGATGGCTGAGATTGGGATTCTGGCTGCCGTAGTGAGAAAGCGAAATCGATCGGTGTGGGATGAATGACCAGCGTGGATGGCTGACATTTGTCGCTTTTACCGCTGTAACGAGTAAGTGAAGCGGCTACAGAAGAATGACTAAAATATATCAGGGTTAATATTTTAATCTTATTAACAAACCGTTATAGAAATAGTACATTTTTAATTTTGCGAGATGTGTCGAATAACATAGCTGCTTGTTATAGCTTCCATACCAGGCATTGATATTTTATAGTCTGTGAGATTGGAGAGCTAGTGTTCATTGCAGTGAAAGAGAATATGCGGTGATCATGAAGGAGGTTAAGAATTTCGTGTAATGTGCACCTGTGAAACATGGACACAGAATGCGGCAGCACAGACGTTAAGCATCGATCGGTGCGAAACGACTGCGTCACGCAGCCACGTGGGAGCCACGATGGTACAAAGATCAATGGTTCGCATTGTTGGTTCGAGCTTGGCAACAGTTTCTATGTCGGATACGGAGTAGGTTGAGATGGAATGTGGCTGATTGAGTCGAATATCGGCCGATCAAGACATGTGCATCTTCCCTTTCAGCTGCGAAAACGGTCTTCTCTGGATAAGGGGATCGGCGGCTGCGGGGGGTTAATTGACTGGGGCATGTTTGAATGTCTCAATGTAGCTCTTTTCTTGCGTGTGTTACTGTTTGGTGCCTCTGGGCTCGTGCTGTATCGTGTAGTCTCCAAGAGCTGTTGCTGTAAATATGGTATCAAGTGGTCTTCGGCAACAATAAAGCGGATGTGGAACGTCTTCGTTGATGCAGCAAATAGAATACCTCCTCCTAATCTATACTACCTAGTAGGTACCAGGTAGCAGATAAGGTATGTACGAAGTACTTCGCCGTTAGTTTGTACTTGCAGCTGATCCTTTATCGTGGTATCATTGCAATAGCAGTATATGGTCTCTGCAATGCGGTCAGTTCTTGGCAAATCCTAAATCCTACAGCCACCTGTCTCATATTCCGACATATTGCATATGTCATTTGTGATGTACCAGCGCCCAATTATCGAGCACCGTTCAAGATGCAGTCGCAGTCTAATGCCGAAGCCCAATCTAGTCGACGAATGGCCTGGTAGTATATAGGGCCCACTGTTCATATAGAATCACGAGTTGCGGTGGTTGAAAACGGGGATGAGGATCAGATGCCGAATCAACCTGGTGCGCCGTGCCATTAACTCGATGGACGAGCAAGAACATGAACTCGCAATGCGATACATGACGCTGCGCAATGGAGCAGCTGAGTGCCATGCCAGACAAGAGGCTACGCATTGCGTTGCTGTAAAGCCATGTACTGGCACGTAGTGGAATGGGAGAATCCTGCTCGAGTGCGTGGTCGAAAAGCCAAGGCTTTACGCATCCCTCTGGGCCGTGCTGTTGTTTTCTCCTGTGGCTGTGTTGAACCGCAGGGCTTCGGATGCGTGATGTGACGATAGGGCATACGTAAGGCATCGAGACTTGGTCTCTGATTTTAGACCAGGGACAATACCAATAAGCCGTCTCTGTGCGAAAGTAGTGTGATTTTTTGGTGTAGCTCTTTGGCCAAAGTATGGTGATGCGTCCGGCTGGTTTCCTCGGTGTATTGGATATTAAGAGATGGAGAAGGATGGAGAAGTGCTGACAGGCCTTGCCCGCATTCTGCAATGCTGGACGACAGGTCGACGAATCAGATCGAGCCGTATTCCTCGTTTCGAATAAAAAATAGAGTTGATGAAATGAAAAAGAGTCGGTGGCTTTGACCACGTCAATCTGCTCCCCGCCGGTGTCGTTCTTGCAGCCTATCGGCGTCGTGGAAACGGACTGGCCGTGGAGGAAGGATCGAAGCTCTCTCGCACTCGCCAAATATGCTTCTTTAGGCCAAATAAGGCGGCACGCTTGAGGCTTGACCTTGCCGGGCGCCACAGGCCCCGCTTTCGCTGGCAGTGGCCGCGTCAGTCCGATGCTCTTTGTACTGGTCTATATTCCGATGGAATCTTGCGCTTGTCTCCCTGGTTCGCACTCGTTTAGGTGGACTTGCAGGGGCATCTTCTTATAAGGTCACGGTGGCTGAGAATTCAAGGTTGGCGATGGAAGGATTCGGACATCAGCCCACTAGCCTACGACAGGTGCTATGCGAGAGCGAGCAGCTCGTTTCAACTCTGATGCGCCCTAGCTGGATCCTATTACGAGGCTTATCACTTGCTATTACCGCTACCACTGCAAGTCTATTATGCGACCGGCCAAGCTGAGCCACGATACGGTAGCCGCGGGCATGCGTATCACCGTCGTTGAGCCCTTTTCTCGGCGTCCGCAGCGAACAATGCCAGTGGCGCCACCTTGAGCACGGATCCTTGCAATTTGACTCGTCTCCCTCTTTTCATATGGCGTTTGATAAGGTTGGCCGCGATGACGTTGCGCGCGTCTACGAGTGCTTGGATGCGTAAGGCTGGCTTTGCTTTGGGCTTTGTTGGCCATGTGGAGATTGGCGCAGGAGTGCCTGGAACGAGAGCGAGGAGACGGGGCGAGAGATGATCCTATAGCCCAAATACGTGGACCTGGCCCGGGAATTTGGCACTGCTGTTGACGACGATAAAGAGACCCTGTTTCCCCTTTGGATTGTAAAGCTATTGAGAGCACAACAACAAAGACACTCAAGACATTAGCTCTTCTCCATCTACAAGGAGACACATCCGGCTATTTATATCCAAACTCAACAAGCTTAATACAAGCAAAGCAACCAGCCAACCAGTCAACCAGCCTATCAGATCAACGGATCTCGACCAAATCGTGCAATCTCAAGCAACATCAGACCACCATCACCATGTCTCAAGGCCCGCCCCCCGGAACCATCACTTTCGGAGGCGACGCAACTTGCAACTTGCACAACTGCCCCGTGGAATGGAGCATCTACGGCTATCGTCCCTCGCTCGCCGCAAACATTGTCTTCTGCGCCCTGTTTGCCATCGCTGGCATCGTTCACCTCTATCTCGGCTTCCGATGGAGAACCTGGGGTTTCACCATCCCCGTCATCGTCGGCTGCGTCACCGAGATTATTGGATATGCCGGCAGGATAATGCTGTGGGACAATCCCTTTTCCTTTAACGGCTTCATGATTCAGATTGGTAAGACAAGATCTCTATTCGGGAATCTATTATATCCCCGCTTTCCTATTTTCCTAGGCTAACCGGTGCATTTTCTTGATTTGTGCAGTCACCCTCACAACTGCCCCCGTCTTTTTCACGGCCTCGATCTACGTGACCCTGTCGCAGTCAATCATGTTCCTCGGCCCAGATCTCTCTCGCTTCAAGCCCCAGCTGTTCTATTACATCTTTATCCCGTTCGACATCATCTGTCTTGCTCTCCAGGCCGCAGGAGGCGCCATGTCGGCCGGCACCACTGGCGCCAACCAAACCGGAGTCGATGTATCCCAGGCAGGTCTTAGCCTCCAGGTTATCGTCTTGACTGCCTTCATCGTCTGCTTTGCAGACTACATGATCCGTTACATTCGGTCTGGCCGTGCTTCCAACTGGGGCTGGCGCCTCACTACTTTCTTCTCCGGCTTAACAACAGCGACGCTCCTCATCTTGGCCCGTTGCAGCTACCGTGTGGCCGAACTGAAGGACGGATATAACGGAGGCCTCATCAAGGATGAGCCGACGTTCATTGTCTTGGAAGGTGTTTTTGTATTCCTGGCAGCCATGGCGCTCTGCTTCGGCCAGCCGGGACTGGGATTGAAGCGATCAACTATGGAGGGACAAAAGTTTGAGGTCGATATGGATGCCATTTCGGTCACTCCGCTTGAGCAGAGCAAGCAGAGAGAGACGCGGAGTGTTTAGAACTGTGATAATAGAGCTAGGTTTGGAGTTTGACATGGATTCGGATCATGAGATTTACTGAGGATTTGGTTCATATTGGTTTTTGTTTTACTGCTTTGGTGGAGGATCATGATAGACGGGTTTACTGCAAAAGGGGGGAGGCATGGTATTGCCTTTTGGCAGCTTTTGATTTATCTGGTATTGAAAAAGACGAGCATAGAAGAGCTACTGTTTAATACTCATTAGCATTGAATTAGCCATCTATATCTGTACGCTGTCTCACGATGAATTACAACATTCGACACCTTTCATCTTGTATAGATGTCTTATATCCGTAAGAGGTATCTTTATCGCGGGTCTTGACGGCCCTCATCGGCCCCACATTGCCGCCAGCAGTGCCGAATCCGGGAACTTTTGACGTCGAGCTTCCAATTTTGCCCAACCGCCCGCCTGAAGCCCCTCCAAAACCCCCCCCCCCCTCCATTCAGCTATCCCATCAAGACCTTCTCCGCACTCTCGAGATTGATTCGCCAACTTTTTTTTTCCCTTTTCTCTTTCTTCCCCCATCACACCTCCATTTCTCGTCGCAATCTGCATGATCTTCTCGTCGACAGCGAGACGGTCGAGGATAGCAATCCAGTCTTTGGCATTTACAGGCTCAGCTAGAACCAGAAGAATATCACCGTTTTCGACTACTGCCTTCATCATGGCCCCTCCTCAAGCTGCTCTCGACTTTGTCGACTTTGTCAACTCTTCTCCCACTCGTACGCTACATCTCCCATCTCCTGCTGCTCCCAGATTCAATCAAAAAACGTGTCCATCCAGACTAACAAATCCCACCCCCTCAATCCAGCCTACCATGCCGTCAAGTCCGCCTCCGCCCGCTTCGAAAAGGCCGGCTTCACCCTGATCCGCGAGCGCGACTCTTGGGCATCGACGCTCCGGCCCGGCGGCAAATACTACCTCACCCGCAACGGCTCGTCCATCGTGGCCTTTGCCATCGGCCGCAAGTGGCGGCCCGGAAACCCCGTGGCCATTGTCGGCGCCCACACCGACTCGCCCTGCCTGCGCGTCAAGCCCGTCTCCAAGAAGAGCAACGTCGGGTACCTGCAGGTCGGCGTCGAGACGTACGGCGGCGGCATTTGGCACTCGTGGTTCGACCGCGACCTGAGCCTTGCCGGCCGCGTCATGGTGCGCGAGGGCGACAGCGTCGTCCAGAAGCTGGTCAAGGTGGACAAGCCGCTGCTGCGCATCCCCACGCTCGCCATCCACCTGCACAGACAGGCAAACTTTGAGCCCAACAACGAGATCGAGCTGTTCCCCATTGCGGGCCTTGCCGCCGCCGAGCTGAACAAGGCCAAGCCCGAGGAGCCCAAGGACGAGGCCATGGAGGAGGACGAGGACTTTAAGCCGTTGGAGAAGATGACGGTGCGCCACCACCCGGCCGTGCTGGACGTTGTTGCCAACGAGGCCGGCGTTGATGTCGCCTCCATTGTCGACTTTGAGCTGGTGCTCTACGACACGCAAAAGTCGGTCATTGGTGGCATCAACGACGAGTTCGTCTTCTCGCCGCGCCTCGACAACCTGGGCATGACGTACTGCTCCGTCGAGGGCCTCATCGCCTCCGTCAGCACCGCCGACGCTCTCGAGGCCGATTCAACCATCCGCCTGACCGTCTGCTTCGACCACGAGGAGATTGGCTCCCAGTCCGCCCAGGGCGCCCACTCCAACTTGCTGCCGTCCGTCCTGCGCCGCCTGTCCGTCCTGCCCGGCAACCGCGACGCCGCCAGCGATGGAAGCTATGAGCACGTCCAGCACGAGGCCGAGGAGGCCACAGCCTATGAACAGACTCTCACCCGCTCGTTCCTCGTCTCCGCCGACATGGCGCACGCCGTCCACCCCAACTACGCCGGCAAGTACGAGTCGTCGCACCAGCCCGCCATCAACGGCGGCACCGTCATCAAGATCAACGCCAACCAGCGCTACGCCACCAACTCGCCCGGCATCGTGCTGCTCCAGGAGTGCGCCCGCAAGGCCGGCGTCCCGCTGCAGCTCTTCGTCGTCCGCAACGACTCGCCCTGCGGCAGCACCATCGGCCCTGGCCTGGCCGCCAAGCTGGGCATGCGCACGCTCGACCTGGGCAACCCCCAGCTCAGCATGCACAGCATCCGCGAGACGGGCGGCACGGCGGACATTGGCAACGCTGTCAAGCTGTTCAGCCAGTTCTTTGGAAGCTACGGCGAGATTGAGCCCAAGATCCTGGTTGACTAAATGGCTGGTTTGGGGTGTTTTGTGAATTAAAGTTAGCAGAAAGGCATATGGCATTCATGTAGTAGTAGTAGTCAGTTTCAGGCGTTGATGGGAAGGGAATGGACGGGAAACACGAACAATGACTGAAAAATCTCCAAAAAAAACACTATGCTTTTAATGGTGACTTACAATGCGCCCTTGCATGGACATGGACAGAGACTACCTATATATAAAACAAACAGCTCATCAAAAGATGGAAAGCCGCTTTAACTCAACGTACATGATCACTGTTCACTCACTCTCTGCTCTGTATAAACTGCCGTGCTGACATCCTCGTTATCATCATCATTCAAAGAGTTGCGTGTCTAGCAATTATAACAATACAGTATGCCATGACATTAAGATGGATCCCAAAATTCATTTCCTTATCCCAAGATTGGAACCCCCCCCCCCCCCCCAAAATAGGAAAGATGTAATTAAAAAATCACTGTGCCTTATATTTTATCCACTTCCTCTGTGCAAGTGCTCCTTAGTGATGATACCGGTGCCGGTGCTGGACTTGACATGAAGACTCTGGAAGGAGAATCTACTTCACTGATTGCAAGCAGAACAGCCTTGTCTTTTTCGTTCCCAGCTTCCTGCCCATCGACGTGGTCGGGCGTGTTTCCTCTTGTTTCCACAACGACGCTCTCCTGAGAGGCAGCAATAGTCACTGCGTCTGATCCAACCGACGACACTGATGATTCCTGCGATAGCGCCGGCACATGTGGGATTGAGTCCACGCTTCGGACCCTAGAGTGTGTCTTCGTCCGTGCCGCATGGGCAATTGTATTTGCTCGTCTGCGCGTCGTGGTCGTGTTCGAGGGGGGGAGAGGTTTGCGCTGGAGTTCGGAGAGGGGAACGGAGGTTTGGCCAGTGCGCAGCTTGTACCCCGCGAGACCGAGTCGTAGACGGAGGATTTCTGCTTTCTGAATGACGGCCAGGCTTGTTAGTTATCTTTCTTGCTGTACAAGAGCTATGAGGAGAAAAGGGCGGAGAGCTTACCTCTCTGGCTTGTTCCCTAGTCAAAGCTCGAGGCCTTGTTCCAGCCAGTAAAGTTGCTGCTGTTGTGGCTGCCATGATATCTGGTTCTGTTGTCGTAGTCCAGGAAGCATCTCCGGCCGAGCTATCGAACAGGGAGCTCGTCTCAAGACTGGGTGACCTTGATCGCGTAGCCTACATGCATCTCTCCGTTAGCGACAGTGCCAAACCAACCGCGCGGATCAAGTGCTTTGTTATTCATATTATTACGCGGCATATGATTATAAGAGAATGGCGGGTTTGCAAGAAGACATGGACAAAATAAAATAAAGCAAAGGGGAGATTACTCACCCCATCAACACACGTCTTCTTTGGCTCTGGACTCTCATCCACCACTTCCCCGCCGTCTTTCTCAGCCGTTCGCTTCTTTCCCTTTGAAGACTCACTCCCAATCAGCGGGCTGCTCACTAGCAGAGCTGACGGCGTCAGTAGCATTGGCGATCCCATCATCATCGTTTTGCTTGCGATTGGTGTTGTCAACGCCGCGTTCGCGTCCTTGGAGCCGAGCACGGCGCGTCGTTTCATGGGCGATGAGCTAGCTTCCATTGCGTTCCCAAGGAGCAACAAGTCTAGAGGAAAGGAAAATATGTCTGAAAACTAAACCCAGAGCGCGGCCAGATAGGAAGAACCGTCGCGCCCACGAAGTTATCTGTGCAGAAGGACTTGGTGGGGTGTCGTGTTAGCGGCAGCGCAAGATCGCGTGTGCGATTATGCACAAACGAATCGGCACGGACAGGGACCAGGATATTGATTGATGCGCTTGGTATATGATTGTCCTCCTGGGTAAGTAGCAGACAATGCAATTGGCGTGTCCAAAACACCAAAACTGCGCGAAAGCCCGCTGAATGCCGAGTGATCAATCGAGGGCCACTGACGATTGTGCTGTTTTGGAGACGGGACGAAACAATAGACCAAAGCCAATGCAAACTCAATTAGAGAATGAGGATAGCCCGTAATTACCTAGTACCACACAATAGGGAAAACAAAAAAAGAACAAGGGCAGCGCGACACAGAGGAGCGAAATGACGAGGATATGGCAGGCACGCCGAAAGAAGAAGAAAAAAAACAAAAGTAAATAAACCCAGAGCTCAACCATGTCCTCCGGCTCGGCTTAGAATGAACGAGACCCGACCTCGTTCCTCACGCACGCGGCTTGTCCAGGCGCGACCGCACCCTGAAGCCCCACCTGCCGTGCCAAAGCCGCCGCGCAGCACAGGAACGAGGAACGGGTACCTTTGTACTCTTTCTTTCTTTTCCTTTTTTCATTTTTCAATTTTATTTATTTATTTATTTTTTTTTTTGGGCTGGCCTTTTTATCTGTCCAGTCCGGTAGAGAGCTCCCCATATTATTTTCACCCGTCTTTACCGCATCAAGTCTAGCCCCCTCTCAGTCGCCGCGTCTTTCCTTCCCGTCAACGAACCGTGTCGTCGGATCTCCCCTCCATTCCCTATCCGGATTAGCGCTACCTCGACCACGAGACGGAAGGTACCTAGCAGGCTGTGGGGAAGGAAAGCTCTTGACGTCTCGGCGCTAGGAGAAACCACACACACCAACAACCTAAGCATGCACAAGGCTGGCTCCATTGATCTGATCCCCCAAGCATCGGCATCGGATCCGGTCACATGCAAAACACCACAGAGATGTGCGATCCTTACGTAACCGGACCACAACTCTAGCTCTCTGTGGGAAACAGTTTAAAAGGACGTCAGATCAAACTACACGGCGGCTAGCTGCTGAACTTGGGTGGAATCAATAGCATTTTCCTCAGCTGCCATCCTGATCATGTCATGGAGATGGACCAGTCTGTTCTACATATACAACATTGCAAGACATCAACGGCCGAAAAACAAAAACACAAATCCTCGTATAGTTCTCCATTGTTCCGAATTAGACTCGTATTCGTCATGTAAGCCGCTATATTATCCACCGGTACTCGCAAACTCCTCCCCATCTCGTCACGATAAAAAGCAAGAATGTAAAAAGACAACGGCCGTGGCGAAAGAAAGAGAAAATGGCCTCTAAAATCACGCGTGTTCCCGCTCAATAGCATCCATTGCCGCCTTGCCCCAACGCCAGTTGCGCCCTCTTTGCTCCAATTTTTTTTCTTTTTCTTTTTTCCTTTTTTGAATTGTCCCCCTCCCCCCCTCTTCGCCTGTTGTCCAATAAACAAACCACTGCGATATCAGTCATATCATAACGCTGGGTATATATCCTGGGTCCTGGGCTCCAAAGAAACAAAATCCGAAATAGAGAGACATAAAAGGGAACAGGTGGACGAAACGATAAAATGGTATATAAAAAAAAAATTCCTTTGCCTCTTTGCTTTTTTTTTCCGCAACAGTATACGTATGCGTATGGTTGTTCTCCAAGTTCAAATCGCTTTCGCTAAGGGAAGGGGCAAAAAAGGATAAAAACAAAAGACAAAAAACTGGTCGTTCTCAACAGTCCATCGAGTAGTGGCTCAGATCAAACTCAAACGGCTTTGTAAAATCGGTCTGCATAGAGTCCCAGTCTGGAACACCCGGTCGTCTATTCAACAAAACTGGCTGGAGAAGAGCCAGGGCTTCATCAGGTAAACTTCCGTCATGGTTGGCAGCGTGGAAGTCTGAAATATAGTCTTTGTCCAGGCTGTGCCAAAACATTGAAATATCAAGGGCAGCACCTTCGGAAATATCACTGTTAGGCTCACTTGCAACGTCCTTGCCCGAGTCTGGAGTACCCTTCGGCGTGAGCAACTTGAGTATCTTGGCCTCATTGGCAATGGTCGGTAGTCCATTTTCAAAACCCAAATTCTGGAGTAACGTCTGAGGGTCAATGGTCGAGCTGGCCCATGGATCCACCATTGTAGCGTCACCGGCCTGTTTGCCGTCACCATGCTTTGTGGCCGTATCCGACTTGATGCCGGCTTTGGCATCTTTGCTCATTGAGCTGACCGACCTCTTCATGCCTGTGCCATCCTGGGACATGGGCGTGCCGGCAAAATTTCCGGAACCGTGGCCTTGTTTTGACGTGGACGCACTCATGGCTTGGGCGCCATCCACAGGCTTCTGCTCCTTTTTGACGCTGCCATCAATTTCCAGACCTAATGCCAGAGCGAGGTTCTCCTGCAAAAATTTGACCGGATCCTCCTTGGGCTTAGTATGCTCTTCGTCGATGTGGTGCTGGAGTGCTTGCTCGTTGGGGAAGCCGACATATGACATGTCACAGTCGGGCTCAGTGCAGAGGATAACGGGCTTCGGAGTGCCTTGAGGGCGGCGGATGTCAGGAGAGACAGTTTTTGCAATCTGTGGCGAGGGTGTAGCTCCCTGAGATGGCGGACCAGAATGCTGTCCACTGGCAATCTTTTGCTTCTTGCGGGCGGGTGGTAGCTGCAGGTTGAGATCTTTCGGCTTGCTCATGTAACTTGGATTACCATGAGGTGAAGTTGCCCCGAATGGGAAAGGCGGTTGGGTTGTGGTCGGTGCAGGGGGCACCTGACCTGCTTTGTTGGCTTGTTTCTGCTGATTCAACTTCAACGCCTGCGCATTCTTCTCCAGGTTGGCAGCGTTCAGGGGAGCGGGGTGCCCTGGCTGGTTCTTCTGCTGGTTCTGCTGTTGAGCCTGCTGTTGGGCTTGAAGTTGGGCCTGCTGCTGAGCCTGCTGCTGTTGCTGCTGTAGAGATAATTGCTTCACCTGTGATGGGCCCTGCTGCTGGCCCGGCGCTTGCGCACCGGGCTTCATCATATGCCGACCTATTACACTGGCCGCCAAGTCCTTGGCCATACTCTCAAGCATAGCGCGGGCCTGGTCCAGATCGGATGAGCGAATACTAAAGACGTCCTTCATTGCCTCCATCTGTTCGCCATCTACGTGTTGCTTGATAATACGCAGTCGCTGTAATCTAAAGTTAGCATCTACCCAAGGTAACAGCATTTTCGTTAATCGACTTACAGTTCTAAAGAACATCTTGGCACGTGCATCATCTTGAGTGATGGCGTACCATTTGCTTAGCCCTCGTCCAACTTTGCTCATGTCTGAGACGATTCGCTTCAGTTTCTGCGCAGTTTCCGCATATTCTTCAGGACCCATTGGAATATCCACCATCTGTTCTTGACTAAACTGTCTTTGCTCTTCTTGCCCGATAAGCTTGAGGCGATTGAGGGAATCGCCGCTGGCAGCTGTGGCTGCCGCTGCCACCTTGCCGTGATTCTTCAAGATCTGATCATACCTGGCCTTCTGTTCGGGAGTCAAGGACGCTTCCTGCGCAGCCGTAAGTGGTGTAAAGTTCGTGAACTTTGGTCCCATCCTCTGAATTGGTTGTTGGGCTGGTTGTGACGGTGCTGCTGCCGGTCGCGTGACGGGCGTAGGAGCCTTTGAGGTGGCAGTATCAGCACTGTCGTCTGGGTTGGGGCGCTTCAGATTCTTCGGAGGCTGAGGCTGGTTGTTGCGCGCCTGATTCTGGTTTGTATTTGGCTGTTGCTTCTGGTTGCTAGCTTGCATTGAGGCAGTCTGACTCATGGCATTTGGCATTACCTGCGCCTGAGACTGGGGAGTGAGATTAGGTTGAGGAGGCTGTTGAAGCTGCATAGGGGCTTGAGGCACAGCCATGTGATTGGGAGCAGGTTGCTGCTGGTTGGCCTGGACTTGTGCCGCCTGAGCCTGCTGGGCTCTTAGCTGCTGCTGCTGCTGCTGCTGTTGCCAGCTAGACCTCTTCATCTGGAGAAGCATATTCCGGAGTTGCTCGTCGGGAACATTGACCAACCCAGGCTTCTGACTGCGAATATGCATTATCTCCTGAGCTGATACCTGAAGCAGTTGTGGCGGTATATTGCCCATTGGTTGCTGCATTGTTGGTTGTTGGTTAGCAGCCATTTGCATGGGCATGCCTGCATTTATGTTGAGACCCTGTCCGGGTTGCTGGGGCAGATTGCCAGCCCGCCTCTGCATAAGCATCTGAAATTGCCTCTGCTGGATAACTAGCAGTTGGTTGCGATTTTGTGGTTGAATGCTGTTGTTGTTTTGGGTGATCCATGCCTTCAAATCTCTCCATTTCTTAACTTCCACAGGCAAGCCAGGAAGCTGGTTCACGACATTGGGTGGCAAATCCATCGAGTCCATCAGGAGCGCAAGCTGGGGACCTTGAGGCGGTGCCATACGCCCCATCTGCATTGGTTGTTGCTGGTTGCCTACACCAGCGGCATTCGCTTGCGACATCTGAGGGCCAGGGCCCATGCCGGGTCCCATCTGACCAAACTGGTTCTGAGGTCGGTTGGCCATCTGTGCCTGCACCATCGGGTTTCCATTCGCTGCCCGCATCTGCTCCTGACGCTGGCTCTGCCACCGACGCAGAACCTCGGTGAGCTTCTCCTGAGGAAGGCCATTGATGGCTTGCCTCTGTTCTGGGGTCATGTTGGCAAGCATGGCATTAAATGCGGCATTGTTGGGCCTTTGGATTCCCTGATGAAATCGCTGGTCACCAAACTGGATGCCGGCTTGTCCCATGCCCTGTGGCGCCATGGGATTGATGCCACCAGGCCTTGTTACCGGAGTGTTCAAGGTGTTCATGCCTGGGCTCTGCGATGTAGCCATGCCTCCTGCCATTTGCTGCTGGTTCTGCAACTTCATTTGTGCCTGTGCTTGCAAAGCCTGGGACTGCTGAGCAGCCTGGTTGAGCTTGGCCTGTTGTGGTTGCTGCTGCTGCTGCTGGCCAGGGCGAGGTGTCTGGTTCTGTACCTGCTGATTGGGAATATTCTGGTTTCCAGGCTGAGGGGTGGCGTTTCTTCCAGCGCCATTGCTTGCTGGTACGACTACTTGGCCAGCCTGTTGGGCCATTAGGCCGGTCATTTGCTGATCCTTGATGCTCTCCATGTTGGGAGTAAACTGTGTAAAATCGTGAGCTGAGATGGACTGTGGATCAGCGCTCATCATATTCTGTCTCTGCTGTTGGAGGGATTGCTGGCTATGCTGCTGCTGCATCATGGCGGCCTGAGGGTTGGTTTGGTTGGCAGGGCCACCTTGCTGAAATCGGCTGTTCAGGGAAGACTGCTTGAGAGCTTGAAAGGCCTGATGCTGGTACCACCAAAGAAGAGGGTCCTTCGCCTGAGCATGGAATTCAGCAAGCTGCTGAGCGCTAAGCCTTGATTGCAGATGCAATCGTGTGGCGGCTCTTTGCTGTTCCGTAGCTTGGTTCATCATCTTAGTTGCAAGGTCGTTCACCTTGGTCCTATCAGCGGGTCCCAGTCTCGCCATCTCGACTGAGAGTGCAGGCCTATTAGGAGCACCTGGCATGCCCATGGCCTGTTGATTTGGTCCAATACCGCGGCCTGCCTGATTTGCCATGCCCATGGCGATTTGTTGTTGCTGAAACAGTGGTTGTTGAGGCTGCTGAGGCTGCTGTTGGGGCATCTGGGCTGCTTGCATGGGGTGTTGCATATGTTGAAACCCCTGCTGAGGAGTCTGCCCAGCACCACGTCCCATCTGAGCCTGCAACATCAACGCCTGAGCTTGAGCTTGAGCTTGGGCCTGGGCCTGGGCCTGGGCTTGAGCATGAGCATGGGCTTGTGCTTGGGCGTTGGCATTGATGGTATTCTGAAGGGTGGGCTCGTTTGCCTGTCGCTTCTTGAAAAAGTCCATGGTTTTATTCTGCATGGCTTGATCGTATGCTTCCTAAATGGCTTGTGTTAATTCAAAGGGGCTCTCTTTTTGCTTTTCTCTTCTTTGTTGGGCTGAGGAAGAAAGGTACGGTGATTGGTACGCACTTTAGTCGGTGATTTGTGAAACACCTCTCGCTCGAATTGGCAACCAAAATTAGTTGCTTGGTTGTAGTCGAGGCCGCCCATCGCCAGAGAGATATTAGAAATTCTTGGTTCAAAAGTTAGTTCAGTTTAGCTTTTCTCAGCAATTTCTGCACCAGCAGAACAAGGGTCAGAGTACATACAAGTCTAATGCTTTGCCCATTCGCTCGTTGGCAGAAAAATTCGACTGCCACGTCATGCCGTTCATTGGTGGTGTGTTTTGTTGGATATTCTGATAAACAATCTGCTGTAACTGGCCAGGTGTTGGCTTTCGCATCTGTTGAGGAATCATCGGGCCTCCCCCAGCCATGTGCTGCATGTTGGCAGCCATGGCCGCTTGAATTTGCGCCAGACACGCTCCAAGCTGACTCGAAAGCTCTAATTGCTACCCGACAAGTCGAACAGAGGCCGAATATCGCGATGGGGGTTGAACCGAAAGAGATTCGACGAGTCGATGTTTTCTTTGGATCGTGGTTGTTCGGGGAGCAGATGCGGTGGTTGGTGGGATAAGGCGGGCGGGCGGACGAGCAGATGGACGTCTCCTAGGCCAAAAAGCAGGTAGCCGTCAAGAATACGCTGCAAGGCGCCTCAGTAGCCTCCAAGGCTGCCTATAATGATCCCCGTAGGGAATGCACCCTCGCAAAGACTTGGGCCGCGTTCGGGACAGACGCTCAAGTCGCACATGCGCTCAATATCAGAGGTGGGCGTGACCTGGGGGGCGCGGCGTGTGTGATGAGTCCTGGGTTCCAGGCGCTAACGTATCGGGTTGTGTTGTTGTGATGCGGCGTGGTGGTAAACAACAAGGCTCAACTCAAATGCGATGCACAGAGCTTGATGGAGGTTGTCGGCGATGGAATTCTGAGCCAGCGTCGATGGGGTGCGCCGAATGGAGGGTATCGATGTGTCGTCGACGTTGTGAAAGGGCAGAGTCGGCGGGTAAGCAGCAGAAGAGGGATATGAAGGGCTGCCAGCAGAAATTGTTGTGAGCGGCAGTGGATGGCCGGCAAAGACACGAGAGCGGCGGATAGCGCGAATCCAAGGCGGAACCTCGAAAGTGAAGAGAGAATCGAAAGGAAAAGAGTGGAGAGAGAATAGAACAGAGCCTCTGCGAGAAGACAAAAACGAAATGGCTTCCGCGACAGGGTTGAGAAGACGAGAGGAGGAGAGGATGAGGTGAATGTGACAAGGCGGGAGAAGAGGGATTGTAGGGCGAAGAGAGAGCAGCAGTGGGAAAATCGATGGAAATCCAGGCTTGGGGTAGAGGAGAGAGCCTAATTCCACTAGCAGTTGGGGGGTACGTACCTAGGTACCTGCAACTCGGCATCTTGCTGCAAAAGCAAAAGGTACATGTACCAGGTACCGCATCGCACCGCACGGGACACAGGGCAGCAGAGCATTCAACTTTGGAACTAAACCTTACGGGCGACAAGGCGGCTCACCTCCCGCCTGACCATTTGATCAGGTCTTTGTGACTCGGCACTCACTCCTCACTCGGCAAGCAAGCATCACAAGCCCGTGCCAGCATCAATTCCCGCGAACGACAAGAGACGGAGCCGATCCGGAGGCAGTCCACGCACGGAGATTTCAGAAAAGGTGACTTGGACATGGAGCCTCGCCGCCAAGAGCGAGGGAGAATGGGCGGTGCCGCTTATGAGCAGCGACGTGTACATGCCCAGCTAGCGTTGTATTAGAGTTGCAACAGGCAAAGCCATGCTAGGTCCTGTCGACGCCTCGATTCACGGCCCTATCATCAACGATTCTGTCACCACAGACAGATTGCGGCATCGCCAGTGCATGTGTCAGTGCCAGTGCAGCATCCAGCGACAGGTACCCAAGACGCCCGGTATGGATACGTGGATCATTCGGGGGGAAAGCTCTGAGCCTGGCAGTTGTCTGGCGCCTGGGTCGTGCAGTCCTGATCGAATTGTAGGGCTTGGACAGAGATTGAGGCCAAACAGAGGCGTGGAAGCCTTCTCGCGGCGAGTGGACCAGGCCAGGATCCCTTGTCCCTGTCGCCATCCCTGTCCGGCTATCCACTCAAATTAATCCTTGGGCCTGGCACTTGCTCCTAGGGTCGCTAGTAGGGATCCAACACCAGCTAGTCCTCCGTGGCAGTGGCTCTTTGGTATTACAAGTACTCGTCTTTTTGAGCACGTTGGTGTTTGTCCTCTGGCTCAGTAGAGAGTTGGGCGATAAGGAGTTGTCGACGAGAATCGAGACGAAGACGGTGAAAGACACTCGGCTTGCAAGCACGCCACCCAACCAGCGCAGGGTTGTCCAAGTGAGATCGAGCCCAAGAGGTAGGTACTAATGAAGCAGGATGGGTCTCTCTCTACCAAGTCAGACTCGCCATTGTCACGGATTATGCAGGCGGGCTGCAGAGCACCAGGCACATCCCTTGGTAGTGCTCTACCTGCAGAATTCAATCATCAAGGTGGCCATCTTACGTTAGGTGCTAATATAGACTGCAAAAGCCATCCATCGCTGTTAGAGAAAAAGGAAGACGACCAGGTTAGCACCTTGTCCCGAGGTACCTTGTGCTGGGAATGCTGGCCGCGAGCTAGTAGGTACATGTCGACCCAGGTCTAGCGTCTGCATGGGCACCACCTCGCAGCGCCTATAGCTGCTCGACCCCTCTTCTTTCTTGTGCTTGTTAACCTAGAGGCTTGCGGGTGGAAGTCATCAATGCTTGTACAAGGACGGAGTACAGGTCTCCCCTGGCAGAGAAAAGTACCGGGGAGATAACATCCATGGCCACCTTGTACTGTAAGAGTTACGCTGCTGTGAGATGCATGGAAATCAGGATAACGGCACACGTACTAAAGTGCCTGCTCGTACGGCAGCAGAGGCTCGTGATTGGCAGAGGCTGCTATGCGGGTGATCTGTCTCAACGCTGAAGGCAAACGTTGGCACTAGGCGCGTCATGGAGACAGTTACTCCCTAGCATTGATTCAAACTGTATTAAGAGACCCGACGCCTTTGTGAGTTGGTGCCAGTGATTCTCTGCTTCCCGTGCAGCACCTACATATACATGCCCTACGAGTCAGACCCGTAGGTACCTAGGCAAAGAAACCCAAGACTCAGCCACATAACGTTACCGAAATGTTTTGGACAAGGTGGGTGAGCTTTGGCGACAGGGCAACAGGCGAGAGTTTGATGGCACAAGCACAGGTGCCCAACAGGTATAGTACCTCGTAATACGTCCTTGGATGTGTAGGTACTTGGCAGCAGATAGCGGCACTTACTGCTACCTGATACAAGCTTAGTAGGTACTGCTAACGGGCTGGAGACTGAAGTATAACTTCCATCAGACGCAATTTACCCTGGGCCTATCTAAACTCCAGGTCAATCAGATGAAAGGGTAAAAAAAAAAAAAAAAAAAAAGGTCCCGCGTTTGCCGTTTTCCCCTTCATCATCATCACCATCCTTTCCCCGTCTGCCGATGCAAGAATCCCAAGGTCAGATGATAACGCACGTAGGGCTCTTCGGATGTCCCCCCCCACTGATTCTCATTGGTCCGTGGCCATGCTTGACAAGGGAGGTTCTGATACTTGCACCTTAGCAACCTCTGTTGGACTTCCACGAGCCTTCCTGGAGGGGGGATTCAAGATAAAGTTAGTAGGGCAATGGTTAAAGCCCAAAAACCCAATTGTCTCTTTGCGCATTCAAGCCGCTAAAATCCGATCTGCGCTGTGGTTGATGGATCCAAATCCAAGCCCAGGCTATTCTCAGGGCACTTGGAAATAAGCCTCCGCAACGTTGCTGAGTCGGTGGTGCGGCTTGCTCTACCGCCCGATAAGGTGCATGTATCCGGTACCCGGGGAAGAGGATGAATCCTCCGCAGCAGAACTTACTCGCGGCCGCAGCAAAGAGAAATGCTCAATTGCCCTGCTTGTCGTCCATCTCGTCTCGGATGGTGGTGAGGTGGGAGCAATGAAGCAACGAGGGAGCAATGAGGGAACATGCCGCGACCCACGCGCATTGGCTCTGCATGACTTTTACTTCTACTGTTTCAGTTTTCCACCTCCCAATCTCAGAAACATGGAAGGCTTCGTTTCTGGCTGGATGCGCTGCCCGCCAAGCCGTTTGTGGCAAGGGTGCGAGAAGGCTCATGGCCGCCACACGCTTGGAAGCTGATGAAAAAGAGCACGCACATCCATTACGATTCCATACCGTGCAGCTACCCCAAGCTGGGATTAGCCAAAGGCAGCCGCCGCCCACGGCTTCTCCCAAGGCTGCCTGGCCCTGCGATCGATTGACGCTGCTGGCACGGCGTCGCTGCTAGTCCCAAGAGCATGGAAGCCTTTTTCTTCTTCTTATTCCCTTTGCCGGGTGGACGGCTGAAGCCATGGTCTTGCCCCTTGCCAAGGGCCTTGATGCCATCTCGCACCCAGCGCCGTGGTACAGCAAAAACCAGGGTTAAGGGATGAGGAAAGGAGACGTTGAATCCCGGCGCCTTCATCGACCTCGATCATTGATTAGCGGTCGAGCCCTGGCCCATTTCCCTTACCTGGCTTGAACCTTGGAGCTCCACTCTCGATGGTGGCAGATCTAGACATTCACAGCGGACCCTTACGGAGAACTCCATAATATTACCTCTCGTCCATCGTCTACCACAGCGAGTACCGAGAGCAGATAATACGCGTGCTGCTGATAGTCATACTCGTACAAATGCCACAACAGATGATGTGATTTAGTCCTTGGTACCTTGCCTGCTCGCCAAGCAGTGCGCAGGGCCAGAGGGCTCAACCTCAGCCCATCTCACTGTGCTGCCAAGTCGCCGCTGGTCAGCTTGAGCAGAGCTCCGTTGCAATGGGTGGCGACTCGGGCAGTCTGTGCGTCGCTTAGCTCCCGTTCAAGCAGGCCAGAGGGGATCGACAACTTTGCTTTGTCTGCTCTGGAATACGCACAGCACTGCGAGAAGGGACGCCATCTAGTTTATATGGTGGACGGGAGACGCTGCAATCTCACTATCGCTATCATCATCACGAGCATGTTCATATGCACCAGGTCAGCACTGCACTGCACCCGACGACCCCCTTGTTGTGGTGCAAGTGGCTTCGAAACTAAGCGACAGAAACCCCCAGGGTCTGTCAGAGCAGCTCCGAGACATCTACAGCAAGTCTCATCTCAGTCCCACGCAGGTACCAGAATCACCGTCTCTCGAGGGCCAGGCCAGCATGGATGGGCATGAAGCACTTCAGCTTTAGCTCCCAAGGCTCTTCTTTGGCCTGTCCGGGGACCATTCTTCGGGCGCCAGACCTCGTCGTGGCGTTGCGGGCGATGCCCAATCTGACGCTCTCTATTGGCTGGCTGCTATACTCAGTCAGCAAAGCTACCTATTCATTGACCTGGGACTCTTGTCGACTTGCTTGCTTGTTTACTCCCGAGTCGTTCCCCCCCCTCCTCTGCTTTGCCGCTTGAAAACGGCGCGCCGGGGCAAACCACCAAAAAAAGGAAAAAAGGGTAATATGCAATGCCTTTCAACATTGTTACAGTTAGATGCCCGTCCTTCCGCCGAGCCGACATGCAAGGACGAGGATACTGCACCTTGTATCATCCCGCACTCTGCACGGTTGCCCGGCCCAGCGTGCCGTGCAAACAAGGTGCTAAGCACATCCTCACGCATTGCTTGAGCCAGGGCCGTTGTTACAAAGTAGTACTTGGGAAACGACTGATTCCACGGGCGTCTGACTGACTTGGGCTGCCTGTGCAGCATTCACCGCCCCAACCCAACGGCTCAGAGAGTTCCAGGTCAGTCAGTCTGTATATGTATACGAGCCCGAGTATACGAGTATACTCTACCAAGTCTACTCGCGCAAGGGGGCCGCTCGGCAACGGCAATTTGTCTCTCCAATGCAGGCTGCCTAACCGCCACGCTTCTCCCGCGCTGTTGATCTTCTCGAAAAGGGCTCAGCTGGGAAAATCGGTGGGCTGGAGCGGTGCGGCGCATCCCTCGTGTCACAAGGGGCCCAGTTCCGCCGACTTTAGTGCTGCTTTGTGCTGAATATTTGCCATCCATCCTCGCCCGTGCCTTGTTCCGACGGGGTGTGGCCCAAAGCCCCCCCTCCCCCAAAGCAAAGCTAAGCTGCGCTTACTCTTGTTTTCATACCGAGATGCAGTCGAGTGCTGTGCGGCCGACGAATCGGCGATGCGAGGGCAAGGTTTCTTTTTTGCAGGCCGCGGCTATTATTGTCCTTATTCCCCTTATTTCCCTTGGGCAAACCACTCGCTTTCCATTCCGAATGCGACTTTCACAAGAATAAATCCATGCCCTTTCCAGGTCCGAGTACCACGGCCAAGCACCAAGTACAACACTGTACATACATGCAGCCCTTCCCTCGCCATGGTTTGGCCCGGACTTGTGCCCCAGTTCGTGTCAGCTGGCTTGGCCTCTGTGATTGGACGCCTCCTCGGCAGCGCTGCGTCAGTGGCAGAAGATCAAGCGCCGATTTTCCCTTCTGATTCCTTCCGCTAGCTGGCCATTTTGGCAGTGCCGAGGAACAGGGTCCTGTCCTGCTCCAACTGTCAAAAAAAAGTGGTGTCGTGTGTGCCATCGCTATTTTGGAGGGAGGGAGGGGGGGCAATACTGCGTGCGACATGGTGCGAGTTTTGCCTGCTTGGCCACCTCTTTTCTTTTCAGACAACGACGCTTTGAGAGAGCCTTGCGGCGCAAATAATCGCCAAAAGTAGGAAGATGAGGGATTGAGGAATGCTGATTCCTTTTGGTCACCTTTGGATTTGCCAGTATGGGGCTAGCAGGATGTCGGTGCGCGCAAGGTTACATCCCGTGTGAGTCGTCATGCCTGATCTTCTCTCCGATTTGTACGCTTGCTTTTAACTATACATTGTGTTGTTTCTTGAACAAAAAAGAAAAAGAAAGGAAAAAACACTTGCGCAATACAAAGAAGATGAAGAGAAAGCAAGACAATAAAGTAAAGGGAGAGGGAAACTATCGAAGCCCCCCCCCCTTCAACCGTTGGTACTCACCTTTTCGGAGCTTGTGGCGTCTAGGACGACGTACCCCGAACGTACCCCGTACCTGCGACAAACGCTCAATGTACACACCATTCGATGCAAGCCGTGCTTTTCGCGATCCGCAAATACGGCCCTGCGCCATGGTCCTGCACCTTCTTTTGCAATGCACAGACTAACAGGAACAGCGTCGTAAGCCGTACCTCGTCTTACCCGAGGGACCTCTCAAGTGACCTAGGTTCTGGAGAAGGCCTGGCTTTCGTTTCCCCCCTCCAACCAGATGCCTTGTGTGCGAACGCCTTGTCAAGCCACCGGACGCCTTTTTTCCATTATCTTGGGGGACCTCGGGCGTTAGAAAGCTTATGCTGGCCTTCTAATTGACCAGAGTGTATACCGCCTGGCTGGGTGGATGCTATTAAGCCTGCGCTAGAGAAATCTTAAAACGAACAACAAAGGTTGTGGTGAGGGGGATGGTCTACTTATATACGTACATAGGTACTCATAATGAGAGACACTCTTATCTATCGAAACTGCCCAAGTGGCGAAGACCTGCTGCGTACATGATTGTTTTATCAAGATGTTCTAGCCTCTCAATTAGTTGATGCTCTAACAGTGGCTGTTCTGCCCAGGGTTTGCGGCATGTTGTTATTGCCATGACCGTTCGAAGGGACTTATAAAGGCATGCAGCAATGAATGCAATCATCACTTGGCAAAGGCTTCTGCGCCCTGTAACTCTAATCTATGCCGGTACGAAGTGGGCTTCCAAACGTGGTAACAGAAACCTTCCATGGCTGAGGCAAAGGGGGAGGCTGCGGTGGCAGCACTGCAGATTCAGCATCGTTTGGCAACGCCTTAGCATCATCCCCTTCTCCCAAGACTGCAGTCGTCACTTGCACGTCAGCCATTTCTCTATCTCCGTTCCCATCATCGTCTGGGCATCTCTGTCGTTCTAATTTCATGTCCATAATCATGCTCAGCTCCGGACAATATTCGAATATCTCCTTCCGGCGAGCTGCATCTCCCCACACACTCTTGTCCAAGCTGCCACCACCTTCACGAATGTGATAGCCCATTGGTCTCTCCATGTATACGTCTTCAACAGCAATGGCATCGTCGAATCTGGATGCCACTTTAGCACCAGGGAGTACCCACAGGCGTTTCCCGAACCACTCGTCTTCGGGCTCCGAGTCGTTGAAGCGCGCTTGAAAGCTAAGCACTCGCTTGATTACTGATACTCGACGTAGCGAGAGGCCGCCATATCCAGAGAAGTGGCCATCACCCATGCTAAACCGCGTGTGCCATGTTAGACAAGAGACTGAAAGAGTGAATGTCGATTTTGAGTACACACCGCGCAGCGCCAGTCCAATCCCAGCCAAGCCCGTCATCCACGCTTGTTTCCGAGTTTGCGCATAGAATACTGTCATGTTCGTATTTCAGAATCCATTCTACGTCTGTGAGGAACTCGTCGTAGAATCTCGAGTCAGTGAGCAACCTGAAAACGTCCTCTTTGCTTGCAATACTCCAGGGAGGGGGAAGCTCCACCAAATCCAGTTTGCCAATCACCTGCTGGTGCTTGATCGAATAAGCCCGGCTAACACCAATTATGCTCTCATTCGAGCCGATAAAGAGGAATCGCCAGTCGGGCGGTATCACTGCCATCATATGCAGTATCAGCGGAGGCAGGTGAGGCAGTGGCCTGGCCTCGATCAGAAGAGCGAGCTTGGACGAATTGAAAGCGGCACGGGGGTCTTTTGCCAGAGGAATTGGCCAATCTAGCTTGACGCTTGGGATCATTTTTCGCGCTTCTTCAAGTCTGGATGAGACTTTGGATGTGACGATGGGTTCGTACTGGGAGTGCAGGCGGCCCAGATACCACCTCCACAATAAGATTTCTCAGCATTTGGACTTCTGTTTGGAGAATAGAGCGATGGTTGTAGACGACATTTGTTCTACGTACATAAGAATCAAAAGTATTGGAACGAGCATTCGAGCCGGGGCGACGCTGAGGACGCCTGAAGTGTTGAATCCAGACATGATAGCGTGGTGATGCTTCAGTGATCATGCAAGGTGGTAGAAAGAAAACTCTTCTGCAAAGGCCGAGTTACAATAGAACGAATGGAATCAAAGCAATCAAAAATGATCAGATTATCAGAGTGCTGCGGGCGGTGAAGATCGAGTGGACAAGCAGCCGCCTCAAAGGGAAGGATCGTTTGTGAGATACACCGGTACTTGCACATTTCCACATGATACCAGGCATCGTGGAAATGACAACTATTCGAATAGACATGAGAGCATATGAGGACAAGTGCCAATGGCAATCGCATTTTCTCAATAGCCTGTCCCGTCGCTGTTGATTGACTGTCTTATTAGAAGCACTCTCAGGCCGGACCAGCGGAATGCCAACACACGAATATGGCCAATTCCTCGGAAACAGACTACGGGCTTGTTTCTGGAGCTTCAGAAGAAGACGATTCGTAATATTGTGTCTCGTCCTCATGTCAGTTCCTACTAATACATTCTCCAATACCACCATCAACGACGGGTTTTAACCATAACACCAGTCTCTTCGTCTCAACACTCTTACACCTCTCTTCCGGCTCCGACATCTCCCTCTACATCCCGCATATCACCATCGAATTCCCGGAAAAGAAACGGTCCTCGCCCTACAACACATCCAAAGTCGCCCTCCTCATCGAGAATCGTCCTAGCGCCATCCTGGCCCCCCTCATGCTGCACTTCATCTCCGTCGTGCCCCCCGACTGGCGCTTCCGCTTCATGGGCTCCCCCCTTTCCGTAGCCTCCATCAACCGCTCCGTCGCAATCCGCCACCAAGTCGCCGCCGGCAAGCTCGACCTCACGTTCATCCCCGAAAACATGAGCACCGGCGGGCAGGAGGAGATTAGCCAGTTTCTCACCACGCTGTGGTTGTACGAGGTTGTGCTCCAGCCGGCGGAGTGGCTGCTCGTCTTCCAGACCGACTCCATGCTCTGCGCAAACAGTAGGCTGAACCTCAACGACTTTCTGGAATACGACTGGGTCGGCGCGCCGTGGAACCCCGACGGCCAGTGGGGTGGCAATGGAGGATTGTCGCTGAGGCGAGTGAGCCGCATCATCGACATCCTGCGCAACCAGCGGCGTGCCAACGGCTCTGAGCCCGAAGATGTGTGGCTCTCCGAACGCCTTGCTCACCATCCCGGCGGAAGGGTGGCCAACGGGTCCGTCTCAATGACCTTTTCGGGCGAGATGCACGATGGACGGTCTGAGCAGACTATGAATAGTTCTAGCATGTCTCCGAGCATGAATCACATTGACAATGGTGATTACGTTCCAGAGATTGATGACTGGAGGGCAGGATTCTATGAGCCAATGGGCTACCATATCGGAGGGAGTGGTTCTTTTCTACATAGTCCAGTTTGGGGAATGCCAGAGCTGAGAGAGCATGTGTGGAAATACTGCCCAGAGATCAAGATGACGCTAGCCATGGACGTAGCCGAGTACGTCCCTGGGAACTGCGGCGCGCGATGGACATAGACATGATGTTGAACAATGAAAGGGGCAAGATAACTAAAGTCGTAACAATTGTACATTCATTAGCTCCATTATATGCTGCTACTTCTGAGACGAATTATCGTAGAGAGTCCAGAGCATCTTATGCCTAGATGCTTGATTTTGGCCATGGGGCGAATAACGTCCTGGCGAAAGTTGAATTTCCCACCCAGCTCCTAATTCATCATACACAGTCAACTACCAACCACCATATTGAACATATCATTACATGGAAACGAGAAAAGGAAAGGGGGCGTTGCCGATAAAACAGGGGGCGTCTTAAGCCAGCCCTTCCGCCACAGCATGACCAACGGCTCCTGCCAGCTCGCCAAACAGAATGCCCCTGAACACACTCTCTCCCATATTCTGCGTCCACGCACCAGCCTGCTGCATTCTCTGCTTCCAGGCATCCTTTTGCGCCGCGGGCAGCTCATCCCACGTCTTGGCGGGGCCGTGGACCTCTTCATCGTGGACATCCACGTTGATCTTCTTGCCCTCACTGTCGACAGCGGGATGATCAGCCTCCCACATGACGAGCGTCTCAGCAGTGTCGATACCGCTGCCGGCTAGCCTAGAAACGAGATAGTCTTTGGAAAACGCGGCGGGTGGGTGAGCTGGATCACGCAGAGTGCCATGCCAGAACCTTTGCACATTGAGGACGGGCTTGCTCATGCCGTACAGCTCCATGACTCCCTGTCCGATGATGGCCATGATGAGCACCATGATGGTGAGGGTGATGACGAGAGGTCGCCTGGAGGGTGCCTTGGCACGCATGGCTGTGACGTATCGGACAGGTGCATCACCGGGCGTCTTCGCAGACGACGCATCGATGTGTTTCTTCAAAGCAATGCTGTGGACGGCGACACCTCGCTGGAGAGATATGCTGGCCAGTTTGAGGAATTGCTGGGTGAGGTGCTGTTTCGGAGGAATAAAGTTGGAAAACGCCAGGCCGGTGATATTATCGCCTTTGTGAACGTCTTTCAATGTGTAAAGTGGGTGAAGGTTGGCAAGAAGCTCAATCGAGGAGAGAGCTTTGTGATCCATGGTATAAAAGTAAATGGAGGCATCATTGCCAGCTACGGCGATGACGAATTGCGTAATGCCAACAGACGTCGACGAAGATGTGGGCGGCGACAAGTTTGCAACAGCGAGGGCAGTCGCAGATATCTTCTTCGGGATGCGTACGGCCATAGATATCCGTGCCGTCGCATGGCCTGGGCTTGGCAGTCGGAATCCCTGGAGGAGAACGCCGCTTGATTTCGGTAGGTTGGACGCCGCGAGAACAAAGTTGGGTGTTACGAATCGAACCGAGCGGAACGCAGGTAGCTCGCCATGATCGTCTGTCATGGTGAAGATGAGTTCTGGCTCCGAGGTCTTCTTGCCAACCTTAACCAAGTGTAGTTCGTACTTGTGGCAGTAGACAACCAGGTACTCTCCGTTCTTTTCATCCTGAATGACATCCAGGTCCTCTGCGTCCTTGGTCAAGTCCAAAACGCCCTTGACTTTGGGTTTGGGTCCCGTTGCATCGAATACGGCGAGTTGGGGCTCCTTTCCCATGCCTGTGGCAGCGGCGCCAACAGATCCAGACACGCGCAACACTCGCTGGTAGGTTTCGGTATCCCGGTCGGTGAAGTAGGAGCTTCGAGACACCTCTGCGACCTGTACATCAGGGTCCTTAGCTCCGGCAGCTCGCGACTTGGTCTGCTCGACGGAAAACGTTCGAAGGTGGAAGTTCTTCCCCTTGGAGATTTCTTTGGGGCTCGAGTTGATGCCGGCGAGGACGTATGAGGTCTTGTCATCGACGCCGCCGACGACACCGAGCGACATGACGCTGTCTTCATCGCGGGAGAGGTCGATATCTCCAGCCAGTCGAAGCTCGCCCTGATCAACGGTTTCAACAACGGACTGTCGGGAAGAGAACAAGAGTCAGCATCCAAAGCCAGCAGGTAGAAGCTGGGAACCAGTCCAAGAGGTCACGTACAATCTTGTTGCCCACACCAGAACGGCCAACGCCGCCACCACCACCGACAACTAAACGATTGGCATTCTGAGGATCAAAGCTGACCGCGTAGAGCGGGTACTCGAGCTTGATGTTGGCCTGCGGGAATGGGAGGGCCATGGTCGATGATGTCAGGGCTGGATGTTGCGGGTTGGTTGCTCAACCCCCGCCTGCTGGTAAGAAACTCGGGGAGAGTCGCAGCGGTCAATGCCACTGAAAGAACGATTGACGTCTATCGACTGGGAACTTTGCACGTGCGCGATCGCGTTCAGGGAGCTCAGGGAGCCATTGGGGGTGGGCTGGAAGAGCTTTGTGGCCAGATGTTCAGATTGCGCGAGCTTGGAGAGATTTGGCGGGGGATCGCTGTGGGTTAGTGAGCTGACAGGGGTGGCGGGATGCTGGCTGCCAAGTACATGTACTTTGTATCTACCTTGTACCTCGATGGAAGCGGAGTGCGAGATCCGCCGCGTGCAGCATCACCAACTGCTATGAGCATCAATGTCTCTCTATATAAATCGTATTTTCCGACCATCACCTATTTCGATGCTATCAAAGAAAGGTACAACCCCAAACTCACTCATCCGTCAAATTTACATGCACCGCCTTGACGGTATAATATCCTCTCAGCCCGTCCTCGCCAAGCTCCCTCCCCAGACCACTCTCCTTGATCCCTCCAAACGGAACTCTCGTGTCAGAATCGTTGCTGCTATTCACCCATACCATGCCAGCCTCCAGATCCCGAGCCACACGGTGTGCTCTCCCCAGGTCCCTTGTAAAGACGGCGCCCGCGAGTCCATATCTCGTCGCGTTAGCTATCTCCAGTGCTTCCTCTTCGCTGCTGAATCGCGCAACTGCTGCTACCGGCCCAAAGATCTCCTCTCGAAAGGCCGCTGTGTTGGTGCCCACGTTTGTGAGAATCGTCGGCGGGGTGAAGTAGCCCTTGGATGGTACAGGCTGTCTGTGAGGATGAAAGACATCGGCGCCGGCGTCTCTTGCGGATGAGACGTAGGACATGATGCGTTCTGCCTGGGCCTTGCCGACTTGTGGCCCCTGATACGTCTGAGGCTCAAATGGGTCACCCAGAACCGACGCTTCTTCAGTGAAAGCCTTGAGCCTCTCCACAAAGCGGTCGTAAATGCCGTCTTGCACCAACAACCTCGATGTTGCCGTACACACTTGCCCTTGGTTTGCCATAACGCCCTCATGTGCCCATCTCACTGCCTGCTCCAGGTTTGCGTCGTCAAAAACAATCAGCGGTGACTTGCCGCCTGTCTCAAGAGTAACAGCCTTGAGTGTTCCGGCGGCCATTCGCATCACCTCCTTGCCCGTTGCCGTGCTGCCAGTGAAAGCGATTTTATCCACGTCTGGATGCCGCGCCAGAGCGGCACCGGCCTCGCCGCCACTTCCGTTGATGATGTTGATGACCCCCGGAGGGAAACCCGCTTCCCGAACAAGTGACGCCACGTAAAGCATCGACAAGGGCGTTTGCTCCGCCAGCTTGAGCACGACGGTATTTCCGCACGACAAGGCCGGGCCAAGTTTCCACGCTGCCATGTCAAGCGGGTAATTCCAGGGGATGATCTGGCCGCATACTCCGACGGGTTGCTTCACAGTGTAGGCCATCTTCTTTGAGCCAACATCGATAACCGAGCCTGGGTTCTTGTCTGCCCATCCAGCATAGTAGCGAAGGACCTCGGAGAAATGCGGCACATCGTAGCTGCGGGATACCGACAGCGGTTTGCCATTGTCGAGCGTCTCAATAGCAGCTAGTGTCTCGCTGTGCTTCTCTACCAGGTCTGCTAATCGATTCATCAGGTGACCGCGTTCGGTGCCAGACAGCAGCCTCCATTCAGGCTGTTTAAGTGCTTTGCGAGCTGCTTGAACTGCTCTATCCACATCAGGCTCTCCAGCTGCGAATACAGAGCATATGTCTCGTTCCGTGCTGCACAAGATTTAACACGGGCAAGTAAGTAACACAGAAAAGCAAAGGAAAGCAAAACAAACAAAAGCAAATTTCGCAGCCAAAAGAGAATTTCTGACAATACGTACTATGGGTTTATTGTCGTTATCATGTCTCCCCCAATGCTTTCGCTAAATTGATTGTCAATAAACAGCCCCAAAGGCTGTGTCCATCTTGTCCCGTTTGGTGCCGACAGTTTAGCCTCCAGGCGGGACGATGCCAGCCTTGGAGAGCGACTAAATCGCCGAATGCAACCGTGGCGAAAGGCGACACTTTGGACAGGCTTTGTCAGCCTTTCCATTGTCATACACCTCCCTGTTGACATTTCAAAAGGTGTTCAAGCCGTGTCCTGAGCGGTCTACCTGGGCTGTCAAGTTCTTCGCATCAGTGTCAGTAGATACGACAAGTCTCTGTATAGGTATGCTGTTGCAAATAGCCGAATAGACAAGAATTCGCTCAGAAATTCGAATCCATATGAGACTGCTGATACTGGTAGCTTTGTATCTCTTTGCAACAAGGTCGCTTCAAGCTCGGCTTGTTCATCAGTTACATGATCCCAGTTGTTTGTGTCAAAAGACTGCGAGAGAGATTCTCACTATAAAATTATACCAAAAAAGAAACAACCTACATATAAAATATAGTGAAGCAGTAGATGTCGTTACATCAGATATGAGTGTGAGGGAAACGATAAAGATTCTCTCCTACTTACTCACCCCAGTAGGTATCATAGGATAAGGAGGTATAGAATCGTCGTACTCTGTAATTTGCAGTCCCGCTTATTCTGTCTGTTGGAGATGTCATCTGAAGACGGGCGTATCGCCCCACACTTCGGAGATCGGATCTATCTTCTCCGATACAATATGGTACGTGCCATGCTTGAATTCGGCATTCAACATCACATCACGGAGCCTATTCCGACTCTGGAGATCAGATACATCACTTATCGTCCTAACGAGCCTCGCACTTCCAGTTGACCACAATTAGTGTATATTGTTTTCGGTCGCCCGTGCCCGTAGTCTGGAGCACGAGGATATGTGTCATATATCTAGCTAGTTCCCAAGCAAACCCTTCTTTGTTCATCAGTTCTTTACCGTGCTGAACCCCAATATAGACAATCGGCTCTTCAGACGTTTCGAGAAATGAAGCTTCATCCAATCTGATTACATATGTGTTGTATTCCCAAAGCCAGAGTAACACCAATTTGACAGCCGTAAAAGAGCAAACGGGGGCAGGTAAGGACTGAATAACCATCATTAAGCAACTTCCATTCGCATTCTCCCTTCCCTCTTTTTTCAAATAGTCTTCTTCTTTTTTCCACAAGTGGCATTGATCCACAGGTGCATCTCTTCGCCATTCGTAGGTGGACACCCAGTTTGGGCAAGCATTTCATAAAAGTGAATAGATAAACAAGCGAATGTAGTGTTGAATCGGAGAGCTGTTCCGTCCAACTCGGTGTATTTTGATTTTCGGTTTATGCTTTTTCCAATAACTGAATAAATCATTCCCCGTGCGGAACAAGGCAAAAGAAGGTATTCATTGCCTCGGACCCGCTGTGATGCTTGGGCGAGCATCGATCGCGACCAGTCGCTTTATTAAGCGGACAAAAATAATGTATAAATGATAGTAACAAATGAATAATTAAAGAATGAAAATAAGTAGAGCAAAGACGAATTACTATATGTAAAGTCAGAAGTGTCGGTTGCCCGACGGAGATTGTATTTGTGCTGGTACAAGCCAGGAACCCAAAAATTAAAAGCTTTGTCCAAAATCCAAGAAAATTGATATCATGGAAGCGATGATAGATTATGAGTAGTATGGTGAGATTGATCCTCAAGTGTTGCATCAATGCAGATGCTAGTACAGACCTATATTATCAAGAGGAGGTGTGAGGCGAACTAAGCGTCGCGCAGCAGAAGGGGGAGAGCAGAGGTTACTACCAGTGGTCCTGGTGCTTTCGTGGTGCAGTTGCCCAACCGGTTTCGAAGTGGGATGACTGGGCTGGCCTCCATTGACCAGTCCTCAGATCCTGCTCTTGAGGTTGTCCGGGACCCAATCCAGGCATGGGGGGAGGAGGTCCCTCCATTACCCGCAGAGGGGGCAATCTCTCTCCGCTCGCGGACGAAGTCGCAGACGAGGGCCTCGGCGGCGGCACTCCATAAACTGGGCTGTGCATCGACGGGAGGCCGTGCGGCGGACCGCCAGATAAACCATATACCGGAGGAGAAAAGTCCGGACGATCGTCTGTGCGTCGAACCGGTACGGGCCGCTCCGCCGATGATACCTCGCTCACGTAACCTTGAGTGGGAGTTGGGATGTGGTGGGATTGCATCAAGGGGCTTCTGTCCGCATAGCTGATGCTCTTCGATAAAACCGGGCTTTGTGGTCCAGCAGCATGATTACTTATGGCAGGTGTTCGGGCTACGATATCCCTGAGCCGATTGCGTTCGTCCCTGTAAAAGTCCCTATGTGCTGCGAGTTCCTCAAGTTGTTGCAGCATCTGCTGTCGCTCTTCCTTGAGCTCCTGCAGCTGCTTCATGTTTTCCTCCTGTAGGGTTTTCTTCTTCCTGCGGTGGCGAGTCGAAGCCTTTGCATTTCGCTGCCTCTTCTCGTCCGCTTTCTTTGATGCTTGGGAATAGTCTACTTGAACAGGGATAGGCGTATCGCTTCCTGGGAGAGTCATGTAAGCTTGCTGGGATTCCATCCCAACAAACGACCCTCCCTGTCGACGCAATATCTCTGGCCATGCCGGTGTTCCCTCAGTTGGACCTCCCATTCTTGAAATCGGTCGGCTAACGGACAACCCGGTCATTCCGTGCTGGAACTGCGATGGTGTATGTAATCCATGTGATCGGTTTTGAAGGTCTCCCGGTGGAGGGATTGGTGGCGGTTGTATATGAGGGGCATCCAAGGGGCGGGCTAACGGTTGAGAAAGAGATCTTGGTGGGGTCACCATTGGGGTATGCGGGCCAGAGGCAATTCCTGAGGGCTGGTGAAGCCCAGGAGCGTGCCTAGGCTCATCGGGAGTATCTGATTCGTAAGGTCGTTTCGTGGGAGCCATGCTGGGAGCCAAAGGTTGCCGCGGATCAAGGTCTCGAGGAGGAAGAGCCTGGCCAATACTCAGAGGTCGAGGGGCTCTGGGGCTGAGTATCTTCCTCTGGGTGCTCATTACGGGGAAAGGATATGCTGTTGAAGGAGAATTTCGTTCGGATATCGGAGGTCTGCCTGTGGGCGTAACACCTGTGGCAATCGGGGTCGTTGGCAGAGAATTGGGAGCAGCATGGCCATGGAGGTAGGGACGCGGAATGCCATAGGGAGTTGAAGATGTTGGGTGGAAAGGGTCAGCATCCCTTGCTCGCGAAGGTGGTCGTCCGCTAACGTCGGGGCCCATGGAGTGTGACTCGGATGGATTCAGAATATTGTGGACTCCGAATGATTTGGCTGAATGCTGAGCAGCACGGCCAACGTCAGGTGATAGTCCAGAAGGTTCATACCGTTGCGAAGTAAACTGGGAGAATTGTTCATTGTTGACAGGAGATCTCGAAGAGAGACGAGAGGGCGGGCGAGGGCCAGGTCCCCTTTGTGACATGACCTGATCACCTACACACTCCTGATCTCGAGGATCAGTGCATTGATTTCTTTTATCGCCAATCAGGAGCCGCAGTTTCTTGAACTTAGGGGAGGTAATCCGGGACAGAGTCTTGGACAGCCACGAGGGAGTAGTTGGTGTATTGGGAGAATTTGGCGTACTGGCCCCGGAGGAATCGGCGGAGTGAAGATCAGGGCTATCCTTGATTGGAGCAGGCAGCGCCCGTTGCCGCACGTCTACGGAAGTGTTCGCCAGGTTGATCGTGGTGTAGTCGGGGACCGGCTGGGAATATACCCAAACAGCCCCAGAGACTAGCGGTGGTGAATAGTTCGGATGGAGACTCGGTTGCAATACGGGGAGGGACAGCGGGCGATCAGGCCGACAGTCCAGGATGCAATCCGTTCTTTTAGCACAACAAACCCCTCGTCCAATGACTCAAAATATGTCCAAACGAGTAGATCGACAGGTCGCAGCCCGCAGAGTTGAGTATTAGTTGTTTCGTCACGGGTATTGTGCTGAATGCCACGGAAAAACCAGAAGGTCCAAGAGGGGTCTGTCTTGGGTCTTTGACCGAAGATGTAAGCTTGCCCACGAGAAAAGGATCAAGTCAGTTAACAGGTATTATAGTATTAAGCAGCCCGGCGTCTGCTAGATGAAGGGGCTCGTTCAGGCTCCTAACTCGGATTAAAAGCTTTTGGTGGTAATAAAGTCAGCTAAACTGCAGCAGAACATCACTTTTGGTGCAATCCAGATTGTGGGATTCTTCCAGTGGGAAAGTAAAACAATTATGAGATATCAGACGGTTAGGAGGCCCGGCCAACAGCCCGTCCTCCACACAGTTTTTTGCCTCCGCGGAAGAAGGAGAAGAGAGGGACTGTGGCCGCAGGGCTGCCTCCTATTGTGTATGAAGGCGAGGCCAATGTCGAGATACGCAGTTTTCGAGGAGTCTGCAATCTGCCCTCATAGTATTCCAGAACTCAGAGGAATGCCAGAGTATAACGGGCCGCAGGACTGAGTTTGCGTGCAGTCTCCTCTCGAGAGCGTACTCGGGTATTGGGGAGGAAGATTGGTGATGGTGAGGGGGCGTAGGGGGGGATCGAGGGGGGGAGGAGGCGAGAAACGAGGTCACGAAGTCGCAAAAAAACAAGTCGAGATGAGGTAGAGGCCAAACTGGGGACTCGAGCAGACAAGGCAAAGGCAGGGAAGGAGCTGCTTACCTGAACAAGAACAAAAAACAAAAAACAAGTGAAGCCTTGGTGAGGAAGGTACCGATTAGAGCAGATTACAGTACTTGGTAGTTGGTACTGGGTACAAATCACGCCGAGCCGGAGGTAGAGGCAGTGCGTTTGGACAAATTAGATGCACTTGAAGTCCTACAACTTGCCGTCGAGGCCGCCAGCAAAAGACGCCGGAGCTTTCTATGTCGAAGACGTCCAACGAGCCCGAAGAGATGGGCAAGTCAACAGTATCAGGATTCACTCGCGGCACTGGCAAAGGTGGACAAGGAAGAGAAGGCGGAAGCTGTGTGACGAAGAAAAGGTGATGGAAGAGGTCTCATCAGAGAGCTTTTGGCCGGCGAAGGATGACAAGCCACAGTGGGAGCATTGACTGTTGACAGTTCGGCTTGAAATATGCCAGCCGGTGGCCCCTTGTCGTTCTCGATGAAGGAAAGTACTGCTACGAAGCATTCGCATGGTCACGCCAGCCGAATGGTCTGTCCCACAGCCCAGGGTTTCTGTGAGCGAGCATGGGGGTGGAGGCGCCACATACCTGTACATGGAGGTTTTTCGTGGACGGAGCCATCAGTGATTTGACCCATGCCGGAGCCAGACCAGGGAGAGCGAAACGTCAGTCGAGCTACAAGCAGGAAGAGGTGCAGCAAGCCGCAGCACGACCCCATCGCCATCAACCGCGGTCTCTCTCCACTGCGAAGAACCCGCTAGTGGTATTACAGCACAGCTCTTGTCTTTCTTCTGGGTCCACGACGGTGTTGGAGTCGGCAGCGACGGGCAGGGATGTTTGAGTTGCGCCTTAGCCTAGGTGACGGTGTGCACTCACTACTATCACCTTTACCCCCCCCCCCCCCCCTTTTTTTTTTTCTTCCCTCCAACAACCCTTTTTACCCCCGGCAGCAGGGCTCAAGGCACCAGAAGGTTGGTTTGGCCTAGCACGGGCCAGCGGGCTAGCTACTAGGTAGCTAGCACATAGTCCTCTGACTAGGTACAGGTTCTGGCTTCAATTCCATAACGATCAACTGGCTCGCCGTCACCAGACAATGTGACGGGTCCGGGGGCTGCTTCTACCCGTATCGGTTCTCGTCTGCATCAACGGCAAGCCGACGGCACCAGCACACTGCCGCGATTCTTGTGCGCGCTGCGAGTGGTGAATGAAGAAGGTTTGATGCGATTGCGATTGCGAATGGAAGCCTACTGGACCAGGGGATGCACATTGTACAGCTGGCATCCGGGGAATAAAAAGGTGGATGGGATGGATGGGCTAGGAGGATGGCGCGCCACGGTTCATGTGCAAAATCACCAAGCCGCCAAGCTGTGTCTTGACTGCCCGTGTTCAGCCTCTGCGCCAGCCGTCCATTCATTTCCTCAGCAACATCACCGGGTAGCCTTCCGGCAGCGACTAGCTCTTTCACCCAACGATCATAGGTTGCGATGAGCCACACGTCACATTGATGCGTGGCTACTCGTACGAGTACACAGGTACTTTCTTACCTGCAACAACAGATGAAGCGGCTTGTGGGCAGTGCCTATCCTGGCATTCTTCCTTCTTTCGGTGCCCACTGACGTGCGGTGACAACGATCACTTCCGAGCATGGGCATGTATATGACGCTCTGCCGAGAGACACCAACTGCGGCGCATGCCAGTCCTTACAATGCCATTGTATGTACGAAGCATGTACGAAGCATGTACGCACGGAGTACTCCGGCACCCCGTAGTATTGTCGCTGGCTACGGCGGCTGCTCTGTGGCCTGAGAATTATATCATCTCTCTGCACTGAACCAAAATTCGCATCCATGATCGCATATACGACACATGAAGCCATGTCGGCCACGACTGTGCTGCCGTTTTAGCTTGCTAGCTGTCTGTCATTTTACCCGGCATCTGCGCATGTCTTTGCCTGGAAGCTATTTGTCGGTCTAGGACGGAGCAGAGTCCGGCCTGCACATGGCCATCACCACCAGAAAACCACCGCCCTGCACTGTACCCAGGACCGGCCCATCTCGTACAGTACACCCTCCGGATCGGCCTGAGAGTTAGACTCCCGAATTGTCAGAGGAAACGATGACGGTCAGCTCTCCTAAGCGCGTCTTCAGGGCTATGACGCGCTGCCACATGACGTTTTCCACGTTAGCAGACAAGGAACAAGGGGTGCCAAGTGGCCTACCTGCATATCTGTAGCCTGCACCCAGAGCATCCATCGATGGCCCGTAGGTACGGGTGCCTGGTCTCTGGCGGAATCGAGCCGACGCGGCGACAAGGCGACGCCAACTGGGCCAGATTAGCAGTTTTGGCGCAGACTTTGCCCGGTTTGGGATGGGGGAGCTTGTGGCGGTTGCCAACTCGCTCGCGATGCTGCGAAGGGCGGTCAGCACCAGCGGGCTGGCTGGCTAGCTGGCCATCAAATGGAGCGTCCAGCACTTCATACGAGGCATGGATGCAATGCTAGTTCTTCTTCGATAGGCTAGGCGTCCAGAGAGGGAACCTGAAGTCTGCAAGACCCACGACGAAGCGCGGGCTCCAAGCTCTCCAAGTTTATTAAGTAAGCTGGCCACCGTTCGACGAGGGCACATATGCAGCTCCCGAACCATTGGCTCCGACACAACGCCACACATCACACACAGCTCGCCCTGCTGCGACGAGTCGCTCGCTGCTCGCTGCTCGCCCCTCTGGCCAACCCCGTCCAGAGGCCTCGTGTAGAAACAGGCGGTGCGCAGATATGCAGATGCTACGGGTACTCAGGTCCGGAGCCCACAGACACGTCGACCATACATGCAAAAGTCGCATCGGCGGCGCTAGCTTGAGCGGCAATGGGTTTCCAATTGAGCGGTCGCCAAACAAGCCTTGCAGAAACAGCGCTAGTTTAGCACGGCACGGCGTTGCATGCAAGACTACCGTGGGCCATCTATTGTGGATGCCTGAGTGGATCGTTGTCTACCTTGAATAGGCACTCAATGATGGAGCCCAAATTGTCCACATGCTCGGAAAGAAAGCATCGCCAGGGGGGCTCCCTGGCTAGCAATTCCGACAGTTCCCAAGCTCTCGTCGAAGCCTTGCCATGCCTGTCTACTGGACTGTGCTGTAATATTGGTACGGAGAACTCCTTGATGCTTCTCACGGGCAGTGGTAAGTACGATATAGCACAACCGGGGTACAGTACTCCGTATACTACTTAGTAGGTATGTCTAGGTACGCACAGACATACAGTACATCAGCTGCGGTACAGGCTGTCCAACGGCAACACAAGTCACGGATCCCCTGGTGAATACAGGCAACGCTGTCTGCTGGCGCTCCATGCTCCAAAAGAACTAGTGCCGACGGCGGGAGTGGGAATGGGGGCACACACCTGAGCCAGAAACAGAAGACAAGGCATCAAGGCTACCTATGTTTAGCTACGCAAACCCAAGGGCACAACCACCCTGGCTGCCAGAACCAACCTCTGCTCGCTTGATCTGAGCTCAAACAATTGGAAGAATTGCCCCTACGAGCACGCCTGGTAAGCCATGGCGCAGCAGGTGCTCATACTTGCGTACTTTGGGGCATATCAGCTCATTATTCCCTGCTCTGCTGTACAGCACCGCAGCTACTGGCAGTGCGAGTGATCAAAGGTCTCACTTTAGCTGCATTCAATCACTGGCTTGTCCGTCTCGGGAGATTCCCATGGCGATCTCTTGGTCCTCCCAGCTGCTGAGAAGAAGCGAGA